ACCCGACCTCGTTGTTGATCCTGGGCCTCTCAATCGCCGTGCAGAGGTTTCTTAGCTGGTCGTACCTGGAGTGACAGGAGGATTTCAAGAAAAATCTCCCTGTTTAGGGTTTAGGCTATAAGGCCTAGGGTTTAGTGTTTCAGGGTTTAGGGTTCAAGGTTAGGGTTTTGGGTTATATTCCTCAAGCCTGACAAAACTAAGGCACGGAAACTCCAAACCACATGCTACAAACGCCTGGAAAACTTAAGCTCGAAACCAACTAAAGCATGCAGGAAGAAGAAGAACCACAGGTTCAACAGCTAAGCCTTGAAAATGAAGGCTTTCCCTAGCCTATCTGCCCCGATTGCGGGCTGCCGCAGTTTGTGCATGCTGTCTCGATCGTCACGTCAGGCGAGACAGCACCAGTCCAGGCAGCACGCACTCGAGGCAGCACGCAGTAAGAACGGCCCGACTTCCAATTCGAAGCCTCCAACCCAAAACCATGAACCCCCTCACGTTGTAACAACCCCTCGGCAAACCTAAACCCTAAACCCCAAAACCCTAAACCCCAAAACCCTAAACCCCAAAACCCTAAACCCTAAACCCCAAAACCCTAAACCCTAAACTCCAAAACCCTAAACCTGCAAAAACCCAAACTCGAAACTCCGCGAGGGCGGTCGCTCGATGCGGTCGTCCACCCATGGCGGGGGCATCGCCTTCAGCGGATGCACCTCATGCCACCTGTCAAACCCCCCCCCAAAAAAAAAAAGAGCTCTGAGTTTGGAGACCTAAGGGCTTCTGGGGTTTAAGGTGAAAAGGGTCTGGGGATTTAGGCTTTAGGGTTAAGAGGTCTGGGGATGAAATAACTTCTTGGGTTTCAAGGCTCGGAAGGATTCGGATTTATGGATGTCTACGACCTGGGGTGACTCTTCAAAAACATGCCAGGCTGGCCAATGGCGGCAGGATGTCCTTCGCGCATCTGATTCGCGAGTCATGGGCCACGCAACTCCCAAACCAGATCGAATCTAAAGCCCAAGCCATACCCAGACACACACCCGCAACTCTCGGACATTATCGGCCCTACCGCGTCCCGCCCATGGTCCTCTCGCAGAGTTGTGTCCTGTTGTCGCACCAGACTGGACCTGCAAACAATAACAACGAGTTTACGAATCTGACATAACGATGCCGGGCTCGTGTGCAACCATGTCTACTGGCTTGTCATTGTCGCTTTTGTAGACGCAGACATGTCTGCGTATGTATGCAGTGCGTGCATGCAATACGCATGTATGTGTTTATGAACCTATGCTGTGTGCACGAATGGATGGATGTGCTTTCTTGAACAGGATTTACATGTATGTGCGTGTGTATGTATATATGTATGTCAATGAGAAAACGCTTCATTGTGCTTTTTCTTTGTATCATTGTATCACATACAACCCAAACCCTAAACCCTAAACAGGCTTCGGCGTGAATTGATACTTCGTCTGAGTTCTTCCAAGGCCCGAACTGTCGTTCGGCACTGGCGCTCGCTTCTTCCCAACCTGCAACGGTTTAGGGTTTAGGGTTTGGGGTTAAGGGTTACGGATTTACCAGACCAAGAGAGAAAGAAAAGCCGCGATCTCCGGTTGTGCCTCGCAGGCAAGCCGCATTTCATTGTACATCTTTGACCTAGGCATATTTCCAAGCAACAGCTTAGCTTCATGATGAGATGAGTGTAGCTGACGCCTGAGCACAACTTCGAACCTGCAGTGTCCAACTAAAGTCGATCTTTTCTAGCCGCAAGCCGATGTGAGCGGAGTGTCCATAGTGGTGCCGGATATCCCACCTCGGGGAAAAAAAACAAGTCGCAAGTGCGTTGCGAGACGGTTGATTGGTGCACTCGTTAAGACACAAGACCCCCGTGGATGCTGCAGACGGTACACCACCGGAGCTTCCTGAGCGGCACAACAAACACCCGAAGTTGATGGAAACGGAACTTTCGAATTGACATGCTGTGGCACAGCTTATGCTCAAGAAAGCTGAGTGCTGGGCCACCTCTCGCGCAGATGGCATCCGGGCAATGCCAGATTTGGCCAAGCGAGCCCAAAGCGCCTGCGGTCATCGTCGGAGGGTCCACAAAATATACTGGCACATAATATACTGTAAAAATGAGCTAGATATATTGTATTTTTTACAGGAGGAAAGGTGCTTGGCCCCTGCTACTGTAGTCTGAGGCTGCCCCTGGCTTCAGCACTCCCGACCGCCTCAGCGCTAGCGCGATCCCGAGCGGCGCCTGTCAATTCACAATGTTGAAAACGGCGAGGTTTAGGTTTAGGATCATCCGGAAACGTGCAGGGTTGTCCTGGAACACACATGTTGGACATCTCCACAGCATCACCTCAATGTTGACTATCGGCTGTTGCCCAGGGGCATCAAATGGCACACCAGAAATTCAACACCTCTGAAAGAAATCTGCTGCCCGGCAGGTTGGCATAGGTCCGAGGTCAGTGATGCCGATGTACTCCGCCGCAATGCCAGACTCGGAAAAGAGGGGTATCGGATGTTATCAACCATTGCTCAGATGCTGTTCCGTCCACACACACGGATCTGTGAGACTCAGGGAGCGCACATGGCCGCGTTTGCGCGACGCATCGAGAAGGGCTACGAGCTCAAAGACTGGCCGGTGCAAGCCTCGACTGCACTTCAAGACCAGAAACGTTCACCAGGGCAGCACCATCGCAGCTCCAACGCAGATCAAGCTACTTTTGCGACGGCGCTCCAGGAATCTTGCGATAAGCTCCACCGTGCGCTCGACATGAGTTGGACAGCACCACCAACCTGAACGTGCTGCGCAGTTCTGGCTTCTGGTTGCATCTCAGGCTTGCCTGTTTCAAACCTATCTAAAGCTATCACTGTCACTTGCATCGCAAAGAGTTCTAGACTTTCGGGACTTCCTGAGAAAATCGCGCTCCCAGGTCAAGCTTCCATCCGTTCAAAAGCACGTGGGAGACCTAGGCCGACAGACGACAGCAAGGCATAGATTTTGTGGTATACATGAGAATTACATCTTCAAAATATGTTGTACAGTGAGGAAATGATATTTATGGATTGTATCTTTCATCTTAAGTAGTGTATATTCTGTATCATATGCCATATGTTTTATACTAAATAGTGTATATTAGATATTGTACGTTATATGTTATATACCATGTATCATATAATGTATAACATGAATTATCTGTTTTTAGTGTATATATAAAAACGTAGAATATATACCAGATGTTACATCTTGTATGCTAATTGGTATACCTCATAAAACATGTACATATATATGTATACATATCATGTATACTGAATGTTATATACTACAAACTACATATATTGAATGATGTATTGCTATATACTGTAAATTTCCACTATATAACAAATACTCTATGCTATATGTTACAAAATGTGTGTGTATATATATATATATATGTAGATATGGATATGTATATATACATAATGCCTATATATATATATATATATATTACATTACATATCTATATTATTGATTATGTGTGATATAACACATATGTTATATGTGTGTGTACATACTGTTACATATTAAAAAAGGGAAGACTGGCATACAAAAAGCCTCCGAGGCGAGGGCACCATGCTTCACGTCAATGAGATCTCTGGACGAGAGGGTCTGGCATTGCAGGCCAGGCGAGCTGTTTTTGGTACTACGGCATCTGCCTAAACCCGAAACCCTGAACGCGCAAACCCTAAAACCATAAACCCTAAATCTCAACTTCGCACCTCTTCGCTCAGGCACTCCAGGGTCCTCCGAACAGAACATGCCAGCTGATTGAAAGGAATCCATAGATGTCTGCTGCTGAACCCCCGAAACCCTAAACCATGAACCCCTAAACCCTGAACCATGAACCCCTAAACCCCTAAACCCTAAACCCTGAACCCTGAACCCTAAACCCTAAACCCTAAACCCTAACCCTAACCCTAGGCCCAACCCTGAAGCCCGAAACCCTGACCCCTACTCAGTACGAGGGCCAGCCAACTGTTTTAGCAGCAGAAGCGAAAGCGAATAAGATCTAACTTTGTACACTTCTCGATTTAAAAAACGTCTTCTGTACGTGCCTGACTGTCTTCCTTGCTGCAGGGGCCATGCACCTGCGGAGTCAAGCGTGTCATCCTTGCAGCAGGGGCAGGGACATACACATCTGCGCTCCCCCTTTTGGCGTTCGCCAAAACACCACCAAACCCCAACAACCCAACCACACTTAAGCAGCTGAAGTCCAAAGGGCCCTCGGAAAAGGGTGGAGAGAAGTCCAAGTGGAGGAGTGCAAAGGAGTGTAGCCCAAGTAAGGCTCAAGACGCTCCTCAGTTTCTGAGGAAAAGGACTGTGGTTGCACAACAAACGGCGCAAGGCTTCACAGTGCTTGCAAAAGATGGGACATGTAATCCCCTGCACGGTTTTGCAGAAGCACGGCTCTTCACCAATCTGCAAGCTACACAACCTGAGAACCTGACCCAAACCGGACTTACAACCGGAAGCTAAGAAAATCGTCAAAAATCCAAAGATGAGCCGATACTGTACTCCAAGGGTCAGAAAGGATTAGCATGTCTCAAGCAGATATCCGCGAGACTGGCACGCCTAACAAACTAAGACCCACAAGCCACACCTTTAAGGACGTATGACAAACCGACCCCTAAAAACCACGCCTAGAGCACCTTACTTCAATCCACCTCAGGGACTCCATCCTGGTGCATGCGCTCGAGGCGAAAGCCCTCGTTCGTGTAAAAGATATGTTGTTGAGCATCTGACAACTGTTCAAGTGGCACTTCAATGCCATTCCTAATCAGAAACGCTGCAGCTGAAGCGATAGCATGATTTATTTCTTCATCAGCCTCTTCAATCTCACTGTCAGTCGCAAGCGGAGGAAATCTTGTTGATCTTAAGACCGCAACGTCATCAACATACCTCACCACAGCATCAGAGGAGCTAGCAGCCTCATTGGTACCTGCAGCCCAGGGTGTTAGAGTTGGCAAGTCAGGATAGAGACCTGCCTCACGCATCTCTTCATACTGGCGGTACAGCTGTTCGGGTCCAGGGACTACATCGATTCCATGCCTATTGATCTGGTCACGGTGGGGGTAAGTAGGGTCATACCTAGCCCTATACTCAGCAGCAGGAACTATCCCAACCCCTTGAACCCAGTGCGGAGGAGTTCCAGATGACGAGCTGGAGTCTGATCTCGTTGCCATATACAGCTCGAAATCTCGCCGCGCTCCGCGGTCATAATACTCAGCTGACCGACCAGACTGTATCGAAGAAGACTCTGCATCACTACGCGGGGATTGAGGTTCCGGCTCGTAGGGAAGGGCCTCAGGAACAACTACTACAGGATGATTTCTCGGGGCCTCGGGTGGAAGCTCGAGTGCGACAGTTCCTTGCATGTCAACAACCAGGCTGCTTCTTAACACGCGATCAATGAAGTTTTCCCAGCTATTAGGGTCCCCAAGATCAAAAAAGTTAGGAATTTCAATCCGGTTGGTGTTCCTTCGCAGCGGGGGAGGTTCAACCGTGGGGCTACGTTGCTCTGGTGCTCCAGGCAGGAGGGCCCACGGAGAAAACTGCACGTCTGGGCCTGCACCAGTGCTAACTCGCCTTGGCCTGGCACCTCTGCCACGGCAACGCAGTCCATCATCGTAGTCAGCAATGACTATAGGCTGCGGGATTTGCTCGGAAAGCGGAATGGGTTCAAGCTCTGGCTGCTCAAGGCCATCTTCGACTGGCTCAGTGCGTCGTGTGCTAAAGAACCTTCCCACAGCACAAAGCAGAAAAATCCCTATTGCAACCACAAGAACCGGAACTATTGAAAGCCACCAGCTGCTCCAGTCATCCTGCGTCGATCCTTCAACTCCTCCCTTGCCCTGAGCCTGAACAGGCAGCGAACCGACAACAAGCAGCGCCACCGCCTGCCTCAAAAGGTTTAGTTTCGCAACAGGGGCCTTAACCTTTGGCACATCGTACCCGCACAAAAGCAAGAGGTCTCTGACACGAGTCCAAGGCAGCACTTTCGTGGCAATATCTGCCAGCATGTGTTCTCCTTTTAAGTGCGACAGGTGCCACTTTCCAGACTGGAGCCTTTCCCGGAGGGCTTGAGACCGAACCCGCAGGTGGCGCGTGCGCCAATTGCCACTTTCAAAAGAAGCGATTGAGATGGATGCAAGGTTATCGCAGAAAGCCTGACACGCTGGAAACTGCTGAACCTCTGGGTGAAGCTCATGCACCAGCCCTTCAAGGGACTCCGTCAACGCTACACCCTCAAGAACCCCTAACAGCTCACACTCAGCAGTAGAGAGAGCTGTGAAGGGCTGCTTACCTGCACCCCAGAAGACTAGATTGCGACCGACCTGAACCAGGCCAGCTTCAAAGCTTCTGTCACCAGCTGGAGCGAAACTAGCATCAGTGAAAGATTCAAGCAGGTAAGGAAGAGCCGTGACGCGACGCTCATTATGCATGCCATGGGGAGGCTGATCTGCGGCGCACTGGTACTTCAGAGCGACCCGCTTGGTGCCTTTAAGATAGCAAAGGATATGCAGACCGAGCTTGAAAGCAAGCTCCGGACATCGACTCACCAATGATGTTACCCTCGCAACCCCATAGACAATGTCTACTCTTGTCTTTCCAGACACCCAAAGAAGCTCACCCGCAAGTGCCTGGGCCTTTCTCAAAGCAACAGGGGAAGAAGGTTCTGGCTCTTCTGGGTCCTGAACCTTTACAAACGGGCACGAAGTCTCTACCAGTGGAGCCCCAAGACTCTCTTCGTAGCGCTTTACAACATCTTCTATATACGATGCTTGGTGGACTAAGAGCGCACGGCCTTGTCTCTCTATTTCAACACCACAAAAGCGCACAGGATTCTTAGAGCTAAGCTGGTCCGGCTCCGAGCACTGCCAGATGTTGCGAATTTCAGCGAGGACTGCGGATGCATACTTTGCAACACCTCCAATCATGAGGTCATCGACATATACGACCAGAAGGCCGACAATGCCTCCTGACGATGCCGTCAGTAGCCATGCATTTGGCTCAGAAACTAGCTGTCTCAGGCTTATTTCAATATCTCCAATCTTAACGCGAACAGTCTTTAACGTGCGGTCCCTAAGTTTCGACCAACATTTAGGAGACCGGTCAAGGCCGTACAGAGCACCTTCAACCAACCACCGCTCAGCTCTGCTGACTACTCCGGCAAGCTGAAAGATACGGGGCGGATCAAGGACGATCAGCTCCTCGGTCCCTGACTCGACCAGACTGCTATCAACACCATCGGACAACTTCGCGTTTAAGAAAGCTGTTTTGACGTCTGTCACCCAGACATCCCAGTCGGGGTGCTGGGATATGAAAGCCAACGACAATCTTAGTGCGCTCGCGTCGATTCCACCGGCATATGTGAGCATACGATGTTCATACGCGGAGCCACCAGCTGAAGGCCCGTGATTTCCACATGCGACGCACCTAGCCTTCCTTAAGCCTGACACCGCCTTGCGAGTGAAGACTCCTTTTGAGGGCAGACGCAGCACCGCACGTCCCTGGGCAAGCCATTCCGCAATTTGTTGTTCCGAAATCGGCCTTAGCACTCCTTTTACACGGAGGCTGTCATATTCGGCACTTATCGCTGGCTTCCACAAAGGAAGTTCGCGTTTGACCTGATCGAGGCTCACAGTTTTCGTTTGCAACGGTGGTGGCTCATGGTCCGGAGCATGGGCATCAGAAGCAGAGGGTGACTCCCCCAGTCCTCTAAGACGAAGCTCTTTGACTGCTAAGGGGCACTTGGACTCCCCCGGGCCCGACAGCACCTGATAATAGGCAAGGAAGTTTTCTATGCCTTCAGAGCGCGCCTCGAGGACCTCACTGACAGCACTACTTGAACCACTAGCTGCCTGCAAGCTGCGAAGATTAACCCTAGCCCTATTAAGCTCTTCGATCCCCTGCAAGACACAGGTCTCTACCGGACCGTCTATCAGTACAAAGGACTCAAGGGGGTCATCGGGAGGGGTCTCATGATCATGGCAAGGGCTTAAGCTCCGAGCCTCAACCTGAAGGGAGGACGCAGCTTCAGCAGCCTCAAACCATAACTTCGACTCAGCACTGCAGGCCGCATCCAAACCATAAGCCTCTTCGCTGAAATCAGACTCCGCCTCAACCTCATCAACCAAGAGCCCGACACCGGAGGAAGACTCTTGGGCAGGAGGAGAAGTATCAATCAACGCACTCAGCTCATGCGGTCGATTTTGATTTTGAGTTGCAAGCCCCTGTTTGGAACAAGAAGGCGAAAGATTACTGTGGGCTCCCCCCCCTGCGTCAGACGCAGGGCAGCAAGAAGGCAACGGAAAGCCGGCGCAAGTCAGCTCCGCCACAACCGGGAGAGGAGCCTTCACACATCGTTTGAGAGTGAACGCAACAAGGAGGTATTTGTCGCCAGACCACGAGTCACCGGCATGAAAGCAGTGCGGTGAGAACGAGAACGAGGCACCAACCGTATCCCACATCATTCCCGGCAGCCACCGACGCGGAGCAACCTCTCGAAATTGCAAAACCCCTGGAGCGGCAGTGCTAGCAAACTCTGAACTAACCTCGATCCAAAGCCCGCCACGCAAATGCTCGGCTCCGCCAACAACATAGTTCAAGCTATCCGGAGCATTGAAGTAGTCACGGTGGATGGGGGCGCTGCAATTCACCGACGCTACAAAAGAAGTGAATGTAGCCTGAGGGTGATAGTGCTGTAGCACTGCCAAAAGGTACCTTTGCGTGTGCGGAAGCTGACGACTAGCCGTCGTCACACCAAGCACTCCCCCGTGCGTGAACATCCCAAAGCTACGATACTGAGTCCCAGGCCCCAGGGCTGACATAAAACCCCTGCGGATTGACTTATGGGGCAAGAGGCGCAGCACCTGAGACCACGATGCATTATCATACAATCCCCGACGCAACAAGTCCTCAGAGAGAGCCTCGAGAGAATCAGCAAGGGCTCGCACAGCGTGCGGGAGGTCAATGCACAAGGGGTCAGGAGTTTTACGACGCAAACGAGACGATGGACCAGGCGGCCCAGAAGAGGCGGGAGTCTTCCTTGATTCCTCAGTCACCGGCACCCCTTTGCGCACCTCGCTAGGTGGGATCACCGAAACCTCACCGGATGCCTCAAAGACAGGTTCCTGAGCCCTTACCCCTTGAATCAACGCCGTGGTTTCAAAGTAACCCTGGAGACCATCCCAAAGATCGGAAGGGTGGCTCGGTTGAAGGCGCACTACGTAACCACCTGGAGCGGACTCAGAGGGAGCCATAACGCGGGCCTCTATACACTTTGGCGCCCACAAGTGCAAAGTCCATTCCTTCTTTCTTACCCAAACCTTGGTGTAGAACGGAATCGGTTCGCGCTGGGGAAAACCCAAGACTGTAAAGACCTGCGACCTCATACTGAAGACAGCGTGCCGCATAGCAAAAGCCCAATCCGCATCATCAGCAGACGCCGCCGCAAGCAATGCGCGAGTGAGCCCCTTGACACGCCCTATGTGGGCTTCAGTGCGCCCATTAGCCTTAAAGTCCGAGCCAACCGTTGTTGTACGACGAACCTGATGATCCGCTAGGAGCTGGCGAAACTGTGCATTCGTGAACTCTGCTCCTTTGTCAGTATGGACTCTGCGTACCGGGAGCCCCCAATAAGCGATGTCCGCTAGAACTTCTTTCAAGGCATTGGTGACGGTCTTGGCCTTTTTATCTGGCAGCATGACTAAGTAAGGCACCTCATGCATATGCACCTCCTTCAAAGGAACTTCACCGGTTGTCACACCATCATCGCCATCACCACCTTCATCACCTGTCATGGCGTCGCCATCACCAGCCCCTTTAGGAGGCTCATCTTCGACGAAACCCTCTTCAGGAAACTCCCAAGCACCCGGGACCTCATGCACATTTGGGGGCGAAGGCTTCATCACACTAACGCTCAACTCAGCATCATCCTCTCCGAAGGGCTCAACCTGCAAAGTAGAGGCATCATGCTTTTCCCCCTCACCCGGGTCCGACGGCTCGTAATCATATTCCTGCTTGAGGATGTCTGTTGCCACCACCGGAACGGTAAGCACTGCATGCAAGCAGTATCTAACCTTCTTAAGCCTTTCATGATTGCCATTAGCATACGGACCGGAGAGATCACAGCCTAACACAAAAGAGTCAGGAACCTTAATCCTACGGTGAGGTCTAGACTTCAATCTACCTCTCAAGCAGGTGGCGCAATCTCGTCGGAATGGCAAGTGGCCGTTGGCGACGTGACGCTCAAAGGATGCATCAATCTTCCCTTTTGGGGTGGATGTTTTCTCACGGTTTTTCGCAAGCTTAGCCACTTTCAGGCATACCGCCCGTCCTACTCCATCATACTCCCGGCATTGCTGCTGGTGGAACATCAGTGACTTAACCAAGCCATGACTAACACTATGCCACGGTGATGATCTGACCAAAGCCCCGACCTGCGGATCGTTGTCACTTTCGCACAGGAACAACGGTGGGATTGTAAAACCCGCAGCCTTTCGGCCACAATCGGCTTGACCACACAAATGCAGGATTCTAAGCAGTACCAGTGCATCCTTAGCCGCGTTGGCTTCAGGCGATTGGCAACCGTTACACATAGCGGGAAAAAGACTTGGAAGATCAGTGCACACCACTTGCCTGATAAGGCCTATCCGCGCAAGCTCAAACAGGAATGCGTGAATTCCTTCATCCCTCACCTCCCTGTGATCTAGGCGGATCGTTCCCCATTTTGAAGGCACGGTTCCTACGTAGGCTTTAGGATCTCCAATCACAACAGCTATCCCTTCACACTGGCTTAAGGTGCGGCGAGTGCGACGGTTGAAACGTGGCTGTATGCCAACGGCTTCCATCCTCGGCTCATCGAGCACCTGCGAAAGAAGAGAGCTACTTTGAAGACCCACTAGTTCGGTGAGCCACGTCCAACGATCGGGATGCGGGCCCTTTCCTGCCAACAGCGCCGTGGCTAGACTTGTGAGGGGTACGTCTTGGCTAAGGTGCCCATTACACGCATAAGCCTTCACAGCGACCCCACTCAGCTTTTCTATCTTAGATATCATATCCAAGGCAAGCTTTGACGAAACCTCCGGGCAACCTGCCACCAGAACAACTGGCACCTTAGAGCCTTCTGGATCTCGCAACACAAAGCCTCCTGAGGTCCAACGAACCTGATACCCTAGGCTCACAAGCTGATGTAAAGCAACAATCGGAGCAGCTTTCTGCTGACTCAACGACGCTGGCTCTGCTAGCAGGACGCCTGTGCTGGCGATCCGAAGATTGTTTGTTTCCCCTGAAGCTAAATGCACTACCACTGGGGCGGCAGCTTCCCATTCTTGCAGACTAATGGCTTGTCGAAGTGAGGTTGTGGCACCACCGTCCAACAAACCCAAAACGGCGTCTCTAGATTCTTCGGCTTTAACAGCACACAGCTTGGATATCCTCAAAGACTTAATGGCATCAATGGCTTCCTTCACCAAATCATTTGAGGGCCCTGTCGCTGCAGCTGGTGCGCCCTCAGACTGCGAGGCCTGAGCTTCCGAACCCTCAGGAACCTCAACTCCACCAACCTTGCGAACTCTCTTCCGGGGACCCCGCTTAGGTTCAGCCTTAGCTGAGGCCTCTACACCCGCCTTATGGTCAGCGCTGCCAGCGGCAGTGGGTGGGCCTCTCCCTAGCACTGGGCACGCATTCCTCCAGTGCTCAGTGGATGAACACTCAAAGCACCTACCACTACCATCCTCAACAACACTAAGATCGTGATTGTATTGGCATGACCGTCCGGCGTTACACCCCTTTGCGGAACCCCAAAACTGACAGACTCGGCGATTGCTTTCAGGCTGGGCATCAGAAGGCTTGCCTTTAAGTCCTTTACCTTTACCTGCATCCTTGCCTCCTGTATTGTTCGCGCCCTTTCCTTTCCTGTGTTCTGGCTTCTCCTCCTTTCCTTCCTCCTCAGTGGCCTTGGCTCTCCTTACCCGCTGTCTCTTCTCTTCCTGAGAGAGCGCCTGAGCGCTCACCGCGAGCAGCTCCATCTCGGCATGAACCTGCCTCCTGAACTTTTCAACCTTCTCATGTGTTGGCACGTGATCTAAAGAGAGCTCAAGCTTCAGCACACTAAGCCTGAAAGCCAACTCCCTATAAGTGCTCGAACTCACGATTCCAGACACGATGCTCTCAACAGCCCTGAGCAGGAGTGAAGGATCGGGGAGGGAAACCTTGAGCTGCTCCGCACGCGATCTCCATCTTGAGTACTTCCTCAATTTCTCCAATGCTTCCGCCGGGTTCTGTGCAGTCCCTGGCTGAGTCAAGAAGTTCAACAGTGTCGCGCGCTCAGCAGTTCCTCCTGGCTGCCCTGCAACCATCACCCTATACAAAACATTCACCGAATTGAGAACCCTAGAAGCTAGGATGTCCTGTCTCAAGTTCTGTGGAAGCGAGGCCAACAGCATCGATGTTACTCGTTGCTCAAGCCGGGCATACTGCGGCTGGGAAAGCTCAGATCCTAAGGTTACTTCAATTTGTGCTCGGTGTAGCGGGGTAGCATTAAGCCACTGTGCATAGAAAGCTTCAGCCCTATCCTTAACCTTGACCCACCAAAGACCCGCTCCAGTACTAATGTCCCCAACTATAGGACCCACTAATGTTATCCAATCGCCCACTGCAATCGGTGCCTCATCAGTTCTCAGCTCCGAGAGCTGTGGAAGATCATGCCAGCGCTGCCATTGAGGCGAGTACCGAAGCTCCTGACGGCGGATTTCAGACGTTGGAGTTGGGGTTAAAGGTGGAGGCAACGGAGGCACCGGAGTACCACCTGGCGTGCGATCTACCCTAAACCCTATCTCTTGTCTCACCCCAAAGTCAGGTCCTAAACCACTAGGAGGCGGGGGTGGTACCGGGCTTGAGGAGGTATTAGGCACAACCGACTGCTCATCATGATGACGCGGGAAGGCTGTCTGATGTGACACCAGATAATTCGAATCCCTATCATAGCCCTGAGTGCTATACAATCCTGGAACCGACTGCTCAACAGGATACTGCGGATAAGGCATCGAAGGTACCTGGGGCAGAAATGAACCACCCGAACCAATGCCAAAACCCTGAGTGCATTGCATTCCTGGAAACGACTGCTCAACAGGATGGGGCGTAGGGATCGGAGCTACGTGGTGGAGTGGAGGACCAACTAACCCACTATAACCCTGAGTGCATTGCATTGCTGGAGCCGCTTGCTCAACATGATGTGACATCGAAGCTGGTCGGTACTGCGGAGGGCCACCTAAGCCTACAAACTCAACTAAACCCTTAGGCAACCCACTAAGGTCTTCAGGAATCTGCGGCGGCGTAAAGAAGCCTGATCCTCCTTGTACCGGCTCCGGCACACTCTGCTGCACTTGGTGAAGCTGCTGTGCGGGGCAAGTCCAACCGTGCCCTTCAACAGGAAGCGCTGGCCCCCGAATCCAGGAAGGCCCTGGGAGACTTGCCGAAGATTGAGGTGCTTGGGGCTGAACAGGAGGAGGAGGTGGTTGATTTAGCACGCTAGGAAGTAAAGTCCAAACTCCCTGTGCATTGAGGGCAAGCTGCCGGTAACCACCATCAACATACACCCATTTTCCAAGACCACCCACACTATTATCATTGTGTTCATTACTCACACTTGTTAACCCTGGGGGATCGCAGAAACTTGTCTGTACAACGGACGGGTTTCCATCCACATTTTCAGCATCTACTCCTACAGCTCTACCAGCACCACCTACCGCCGACTTCATCGACACTGAGGTTCCCGTATTCTGACCAGCAGCGGACTTCATTGACACCGAAGCTCCTGAGTTTCTTTCCGCCACTAGCGCATCTTCAAGGTCCTTGACCCGTTGCAGGAGCGCTGCAACGGTAGCCTGGCTAGGGTCCCTGACGTCAGAAGCTCTGCCTGCAGTAGAAGCTCTTTGCGAGAACATCTCCCCATCCAAACTCCTAACCTTTGTAGACTCCTGCTCGCGAAACGGAGTGTCACCCCCATCCGAACCAATCATGAAGTACTGAGCTCCTTGATGGTCCGGCTGTGTTGGTCCCGTCGGGGATTCCGTCACCTGAAGGGCATAGCTCCTGACTTCCACTTTCGTAGTCGTCTCACCACGCTCCAGGATCGACGCCTTGCCACTGGATCCCGGAGAGCTCGCTCCGAGACCCCGGTGCAAGAGTCTTGACTCACTTCTATCATCAAGTTTCCCAGCATTTTGCCCAGAAGATGCCATGGCTGGCTCAGAGAAGTCATACGGTGGATGCACGTCCACATCATCATCTCTCTCAGTAGTGCTAGGTAAGTCGCGCGGTCGGGACTGGTTCAACTGAAATTCTGCTGTAGCCTTTTCAGACCAAAAAGGATTTGGTAGAGGCTTCGAAGAGGCTGGGGCCTCACCATCAATCCCAGTCTGACTGTTGGCTGCTCCCGCTGCATCTTGGTCCTCGTACGAAGGCTCAAGCTCATCTCCTGATTCAAGTGGGACAGGTGTGTCAGCTGCCGTAGCACCGCCACTAAGCCCACCAGGAGGCACAGAGCTCGACTTTCTCCTTCTAGAAGCAAGAGTGTCCATGGCAACAGGGCACACGAAGGCTTGGGCTCATAACCCTCGAGTACGAGGGCCAGCCAACTGTTTTAGCAGCAGAAGCGAAAGCGAATAAGATCTAACTTGGTACACTTCTCGATTTAAAAAACGTCTTCTGTACGTGCCTGACTGTCTTCCTTGCTGCAGGGGCCATGCACCTGCGGAGTCAAGCGTGTCATCCTTGCAGCAGGGGCAGGGACATACACATCTGCGAAGGGTTTCAGGTTCCGCTGTTGGGTTCAGGCTTTGGGTTTGGGGTGTAGGGTTTGGGGTTTGGGATCGCTTTGCTGTTTTGGTTCAACGGCTCGGCTCTAGGGTTGGGCTGGGGCTTTCAGGCTTGCGCGCACCTCCAAGATGCAAACGGACCGCGTGAGCTTGTCCAAAACCCGAAGTCATAAGGACTTTTAGGGGGTGGGGGGTAGGGGGGTAGGGGGAGGGCCTTCATGCCCATAATAAGGACTTAATAAGGCCTATGTAAGGAAGTATAGTCCGCGACCCCCTTCTCCCCCCTAAGGGTCCCTATGACTAAGAAGCCGATAAGGCCTGGTCTCAATCGCATGATGCGGTGCATCATGAGCACGGGCTTCGGGAGAACTCATTCCTAATACAGGCCACGAAACAAGACTCAGGCTTTGGGGAGTGCATTACACTAGAAATATGCTAAGGAACCCGAAGGAACGGCATCAGCAAGTATTCATTCAAGGCCCGAACCCTCAACCCTGCACCCTTAATTAAGCCAATTAGCTGGTCAGGGGCCCTCTCGATCCAAACATAGCACCAAAAACCCTAAACCATTTAACCCTAAACGCCTAACGTCCCGCAACACATTATTCGTCAGCCCTAAATCAAACACAGCATGGAAACCAGGCCTTTCTCATGGTCTGTTCGCAGATTCGGCAGAAAACCTCTCAGATGAGGCATGGGCTGAGGGTCCCGGGTTTGAGTTTAGAGTTTAGGGTTTGAGGTTTTATGGGTTCAGGGCTTTTTGGCTTCAGGATTCTAGGCTATAGGGTTTAGGGTTTGGGTTTAGGCGTCAGGGGGGGTGGCCGGTGGGCCTTGCATTTCGAACCTGGGGTTTCCCTGAACCCTGAATCTTAAAATCCAGACCCCAAGCCCCAGCCTTTAAACCCGAAACCCTAAAGCGTCATAAACCCCAAACTCGAAACCCTAACATTGAAGATTCAACTTCTTCCTCCCCCTGTGCTGAAGGTCATCCAAAGTGTGGCTTCCTTGGCATCTTCTGAACAGCGCAGGCCCCGACCTTCCAAAATCCTTTCGTTGCGGAACATACCCTAAATCAGAGTAGAGATCCTACTGTGACAAGGAGTTAACGTACGTATCCCTAAGCCTTGAACCCTAAGGCCGCTAAGCCCTAAACTCGTAAACCCTAAAATCCCCTGAACATCTCAGCCTTGTCTCCTTGGTGCTGAAACCTCAGTCGGGCTTCCTTTCTCGAGTTTGGGGTCTGGCTGTTTTGTTCGAAACTCCGAAGGATTAGGCGGTCGCGCTTTGTCAAGCTCCCAAATGTTGGGGTTGAAGGTTTAGGTGGATTTTTGGATGCCCTAAACCCTACACCCTAACCCTAAACCCTACACCCTAAACCCTATATAACCCGCTTCAGCATCTAGGGTGACATTTCTTTGGCTTAGCTCCGCTTGAGGCTCCTGGAGCAGAGACTCGCGGGTTGAGTGCTGAAGCCCTAAACCCCAAACCCCTACAGTTTATAGGGTTTAAGGTTTAGGGTTTTAGGGGTTTAGGGTTTAAGGTTTAGGGTTTAGGGTTTAGGGTTTTAAGGGTTTAGGGTTTTAGGGGTTTAGGGTTTTAAGGGTTTAGGGCTTTAGGGGTTTAGGGTTTTAGGGGTTTAGGGTTTAAGGTTTTAGGGTCTAGGGGTCTAGCACCCCTACCCAACCGCTGAACCCGAAACCCTAAACCCCTAAAGCCCAAAACCCATCAGGGCTCAGGGGGATGAGGGTAGAGGGTGCGCGTCCTGAAAAGGACGCGCCTGAACCATCACCAGAAGGCGAAGTTGGGGCGTACCTACAGTTTAGGTACTGCCCCCTTACAGGAAGAGTCTATAATAGGGCTACTATTAAGGTCCTAGTATACCTACATTATGAATATTATTCAACTATTCCTGAGTGGGGTCGTACCCAACCTATAGTCTCCATTGTAGTTCCTTTTTTTGGTTTAAGCAATTATATATTAAGGATCCTATAAGGTAACCCAAAAAAGGAACTACAATGGAGACTATAGGCAGCATGGCGAAGACGGTTCAGCTGCGCCGGATTTAGGCGCCCTAAAATCCCTGAACCCCATGCCCCAAATCCGAAACCCCCCGAAACCAGAAACCCTCACGTCCAAACTCAAAGACCTCCATGACCTTCCCCTTCCACAGAACACAACGAAAAAACACCGACAAGAAGAGCTAGAGTGGGTTTTTAGTTTAAGGGTTTCAAAAGGGGTTAGGGTTCAGGGCGAAACCCCAAAAATTACAAAAAGGGTCCATCAATACCACCATTACTTGATTAGGCCCCTGAAACCATAACAAGGGTGGTCCTGCGGGGCCTGACTCCAGAACTGTGGTATATATGGTCGGCTCTAAGCCTAAAGCAGAGCATGCACCGCAAATCCTCCCTAAGCCCTCGTCGACTCGAAGCCTTATACCTTGTAACCGTAAACCCAAAATTTAAAAGCTTAACCTAAACCCTAAACCCCAAGACCCCACAACCACCCCACAGGAGGAAGAGGAACCCCACACCCCACACTACAGGGGAGGGGGGGGCCCCACCCTATATCCGGACCATTGACCTTTTGGGGGGGGGAGGGGGGGGGGGGCTGCGGAGCGCGTGACCATATATGATCCCGGTTCGGCCGCCCCCCCCCCCCCCTCCACCCCCCAACGGTTCCTCCTCCCCCACCTGTTGTGGTGTGGTGTGGTTGTGGGTTGCTTCCCCCGCCCTGTGGTGTGGTGTGGTTCGGGAGTCGGTCTGCTTAGGCTGGTTACCCCACTCCCCCCTGTGGTGTGGTGGGGTTTGGGTTTCCTGCGTGGGTCTGCTTGGCGTGCGAGCCCTGTGTGGAAAAAGCTTGCACAGTCACACACAGATTCGGCTTGGGGAGCGTGGTGGGGGGGGATACCAGGGGGGGGGGGCTCGGTGAACCGAGAACCGGGATCATGTATGAACCCTTTGGGTCAGAATAGGATTCTAGGGTATAGTAAACAGAAAATACAAATGAAAACTAAGGAATGATGCGGGTTTACTTTCTTGAGGCCCTTACATTCACCCGGAACCCTACAGGGATGCAAAAGGCGCCATCCAAGCAGCTCGCCGCGCGAGAGATCCGGGAAGTTCTGCGAAGGCAAAGCCGTCCGTTTTCGGATTAGAGTTTAGGGTACATCAACTTCGGCCTTGAACTTCGATAGCTTTGGGATGCAAGTATGGATAGCTTGTTCCTACCTGGAGCAGAAATCACTGCGAGGAGCGATGTGCTGCCCCATCGCACGTAAACTCGGTGCTGTACACTAATACTGTAGGGGCCTTAATAATTTTCAATATTGTTTTGGAGGTTCCTTATTATAAGCATAGTATAGTATGCCGCCAGACCCTATTATTCAAATTTGTTCAGGCCCCTAAATGGGAGCTTCCGAAAAAGGGGACCCGAATATAGTACCCTAAATAGTAGGATTCTTATTATAAGGACCCCCAAAATGAGGTACCCCCTAGTTTTCGGAAACCCCATATTACAATTCGGATATCCCATACAAGCCCCCTGTTAATGCAGCCCAATAAGGTAGGGATATCCCCATATAATGCTTCTGCTTACGTGCTGATTTTGGGTCCCTAATATTAAGGCCCGTATATTACAAGGCTCAAGGCTGGGGCTAGGGCTTGCTGCGATTATGGGGAGTGTTGCAGGTCGGGTTTAGAGTCTGCCTGGCGGTTCGTTGTTGCCCTATGCCTGTAGGGACCTGATTATGGGGTCCTTTAGGGCCCCAATTATGAGGTCCTTGGAAGGATAGGGTTAGGTTGAGGCGTTTCTCTGGTTTAGCCCGTGTGGTATCCTCGGCTTGTAATACTGAACCGTTTGAGCGCCATCTTCTCAAATAGAGTCTTTCTTAGTTCTTCCTTGGGCGCGCACCGGCTCACTGTACACTCTAAATCCAGATCCTTACCCCTTCTATCAGAACGCGCTGATAGCACTCTGTAAATCCCGATAAACTGACAGGGTTACAGTTTCCCGCTGAGTCCTATGTTTGGGTTGGGCAGCAGGCCCTCAAAATAAGGGTAGCCTTGTTCCTACTTTTCGGCTTCAATAAAAGCGCCCAGTCCGAAAAAGTGCCAGAGAATATTACTGGGAGACTTGGCAGACCTAGGTTAGAAGCTGCCCCCACCCTGTAATAGTGACTATAAGGATTATATTGGGGCCCTATTATGTTCCTATTATACCACCATTACAGGGTGGGGGGCCCCTTCTAAGACCTAGGTGTGGTCTGAAGGTTTTTAGGTTTCTCTCCAAGCCGGCTCCAGGGTGCAAAGGTTAGGGCAAGTCAGGGTCCAAGGTTTAAGGTTTAGGGTGTTGGGTTTAGGGTATATAGGGTTTGGGGTTTAGGGGTGTGTAGGGCTTAGGCATAAGGGGTTGAGGGTTTAGGCCTGGCCGAACTTGCGAAGTCGAACATGATGTTAGGCCCCTTCCCCTCTATGCTCCCAGCCACTCCAGAAACCAAAACCCAAACACCAAGCCAACAGAAACACCTTGACAATATTTGACAACCAAAACCCACGCCTTCCCCCCCCCAACATTACATGCCAAACAGACCCGGAACCAGCTGCCGTGACACTGCCTATAAAGCAGCAGACAATGATGACGAATCCCCTCATAATGGTTCGCTGTACAAATCAAGCAGAAACAGTATTCTATCAAGTCTTGCCGTCCTTTCGCCCGTTGCCACGCGAACCAGCACTAAACCTTGAATTAAACCCTAAGGGGGAGAGAATCCCAAACCCTACAGCAGAGTTAAAGTTAAAACCCGAACCATCAAGCGGAGGCCTTGCCCAACTCTGGCAAAGGTGGCTCTCGTATGCCGCCACCACCATCAGCAGGAGGACGTTCCTGGGATTTCTTGTGATCTTAGATTCAGGGCTTGCAATGTAGAGCCTTAGGGCTTTTGAGTTCAGGGTCAAGGTCTGAGGGTTTCGGAATTCAGATCTCGGATTTCGTAAGGGATTGGAATTTAGAGATTTAGGGTGTTATGGTAGGATGGGTTTAGGATTTCGGGCTTTGGGATTTGCGGGCTTATGACTTGAATAAGGCTATAGGGCCGTGCCCTGGTAACGCACCTTGCGGGGATGCACACCGTCGTGCTGGGTCCTTGCACTTCTAGCATTGCGACATATGCACAATGAACCACCTTCCCATAGCAGTTCCTTTTTGGGGTTACCTTATAGAATTGTAAATATGACGTCTCAAACTTGCGGACTGACAACTCCAGAACGTCGGCGGCTGTCTTGCATCTCTCCATATCCTTCCGCTGGAGAACCTTCATGATGCTCAACAACGAATCCGTTCCGCCCCGCGGGCTGGAATCGAGCCACATGTAAATCAGGTTCTGGCCGCATGAAATGTTCATCAGCTTTTCTTGCCAGAAATACATGTATGCTGTGTCTACCAGGAGCTTGGCCCGCTGAAGGCTGGCACCACTGCGGATCTTCACCAAGGACTCGTTGATTTCGACGGATCGATATTCGAAGGCACTTCAGTGTCCCGTGGCACTGGATGATCCTCCACTCTGCAGTTCGAGGCTTTTTCTTCCAATGGCCCCAAGTCTCGTCTTCCGATGAAACCGTAACCGTAGGATCCGTAGAACCAGCAGGAGCCGACTCTCACGTGGTGGAGTCCTCTTGAGACTGACCATCTGTGCCCTGGCTTCACAGCTGGAATGGCTTAGGTCGGCTTCCGCTGTGACTTTGTCAAAACTACGCAGGGACATGTTATAGCTTCGTAGGATACCATCCTCATTCCTGCCACGCTGGGGAGGAAGACGTGGAACCGAGCTACGAAGATTTCGAGCTCAATGAAGACCCAAAAAGGAACTGCAATGGGGCCTAGGGGCTAGACCCCAACACTGAAAGCCTCAACACCACACCGCCCGAATCCATTAAAAAAACCCATGTCCAAACGCTAAGCCCAAACCCCCGAAACATCGGAGACTGCAATATAGTACCCTGAATAGTAGGATCCTTCTTGTAAGGACCCCCCCCCTCAAAAACAAATCAGGTACCCCCTAATTTTCGGAAACTCCCCTCAGAGCCGGAACCCCAAAAGCCCCAAAAGCCGGGGCTCTGGACCCTAAACCCTGAAGCCTCCTTAGAGGATCATGAGACTTAGTAAGTAGGTTATAACTGGGTTATAAGTTCCCTAAGTGGGGTTATCCTAATTACAACTTACTTATAACCTTACTTACTAAGTCCCCCGACCCTCCAAGTAAGCCCTGAATCCTGACAGAAGCGGGGCCCTGGAGCTTAAGCCCAAAGCCCCAAGCCCTAAGCTCAAGCACCAAACCCTAAAGCCCACCCGGACCCTGAAGAACGTACTTTTTAAGGACCTAAATCCAGAATTCAAGAAAAAAACCCTAAAACCCTGAACTCTGAACCTTAAATCTTAGACGGTTCTTTGGGGTCCGGGGGTGGCCCTGGCGCCTCTCCCATCGTCGGCGTCTGCGGCGAAGCCTCCGGCTTCGGGCGTTTTCCCCCGGCGGCTCGGTGCCTTGTTGCGAAAGGCTTGAGGTTTATGGCTTTCGGGTTCAGGGCCTACTCTAATGTTCGAGGTCAAGGGGTTGAGAGGAATTCAGGGCTCAGGATTTAAGGCTCTTTCGTATCTAGGGGCTTGGGATTTACGAGATTTAGGGTGCAGGGCTTAGGGGTGGAAGTGTCCGGGATTTGAGAGCTTAGGATTTTAGGATTAGGCTTACAAGGGATTTGGGGTTTAGTTTAAAAGCTTTGGATTTAGGGGCTTGCTATCTAGGGCTTCACCTAAACTGTCTGGTTCTCAGTAGGGAATGGGTGAATAGATCCCTATGATAGTCCCCTAAGGGTCCCTTATAGTCGTCCCTATAACCCATTCCCCCAATTCCTCTGGGCTTGTGTCGGCTCTAGGGTCCAGGCTGGAGCCTAAAACCTACAAAGCAACAACAAAGCAGGGTTTGATGGGGTTTGGTAGTTTCTATAACCCTACATTACCCTAAAACCCTAAACCCGAAACCCCTACACCCAAAATCGCGACACCCTAAACCCAAAATCCCTACACCCTACGCCCTAAACGTAGGGTTTGGTAGTTTATAATTACAACCAGGAACCCCCCCCCCCCCCCGAAAACAAACAGAGTATAGGTAACTATGAAGGCCCCTATATTAGGGCTTGATAGGGTTTGGGTACTTTACTAGGGCCCCCAAAAAAGCATATAAGCAAATATTAGGATAGGGATGTCCCATGTAACCCGCCTTATAATGAAGCCCAATAAGGTAGTGACATCCCTATAAAATGCTTTTGCTTATGTCCGTTTTGAGTCCCTAGTTTAAGGTCTAGCTGAGCCGATCTGCAGTCCGAGCAGCGCATCGGGCCCCTGTCCAGGAAAGCGACGTTTTGGGTTTAGGCTTCGGGGGTTAGCTTATTTTGAGGCCTTAATAACTAGAGTGGGGTTTGGGCGGTTTGGGGGCCCATTATACCAAAAATGAGGGACGCGTAAAATAGTATTGCTAATTTTTTTCGGCCCCTATAGTTTAGGGGTTTAGGGTTTGTGGCTTGGGGAATTGAGGGTTTCGGGTTTTGAAAGAATTTGGGTTTAAGGTTTGGGGTTGGGGGTTTAGGGTTCAGTAAAGTTTAGGCTCAGAAACAGCGAAGAGGTGTGCTGCGAGAATACTGAAATGCTTTACCTTGAGCTGCCGCTGCATGCTCTGCCACTGCGGTACTGCACCGTTTAAGTATTGAAGAAGCACCTACATAAAACCTATCCTAAACCCTAAACCCCCTTCTGCACACTTACCCCGGCACAGACTTTCGAAATAGAAACCATCGAAGCTTTAGGCCTCACGCTGAGAACCCTGAATCCTTCATCCCAAACTCCAAAAGCCCTAAACCCCTAAACCGTTTCAAACCCTAAATCCCTAAACCCCTACACCCCAAACCCTATTCGAACTTCTCCCATTTGAATCCCCCTTATCATGAAGCCCGATAAGGTAGGGACATGCCTATAACATGCTTATGCTCATGTGCTCGTTGGGTCCCTCATAACTACCGAGGCCGTTTTTCGTCAGCCGCTGTTCATCCCAAACTCCAAAAACCTTAAGCCCCTAAACTCCCTAAACCCCTAAACCCCTAAATCCCACACCCTAAACCCCCAAACCCTCTTCTAACTATCGAGGCCGTTTTTCGTCAGCCGCTGCTTTTCGCTGCCTGCGCTCCGGCGGTTGGAATCTCGCCCTTTGGTGCTTCGGAATCCTGGGATGGGTTCACGGGGCATTAAAGGTTCCTTTAAAGGGTTTATAAGGGTTTATAAGGGGTTTAGGGTTTAATTAGGGTTTAGGGTTTAGGGGTTCCTTTAAAGGGTTTAGGGTTTAGGTTTTAGGGAACCTAGGACTACAAAAAGGGAATAAGGGTACTACTGGGCATCCTAGTTAAAAGTTCCTTTAAAAGAGTTCCTTTAAGGGTTCCTTCAAGGTTCATGGAGTTCTATGAAGTAGGGTTATAAGTAAGGAGCCCTTTAGAGGAACTTTTAACTAGGATGCCCAGTAACCTAGGAAAAAAAAAGGGCCCTCTTTTTGGTCTTGGATACCTTTATAAGGAACCTAGGACTACAAAAAGGGAATAAGGGTACTACTGGGCATCCTAGTTAAGAGTTCCTTTAAAGGGCTCCTTTAAGGGTTACTTGGAGGTTCGTGGCTAGTTCTAATAAGTAGGGTTATAAGTACGTCGGGTAGCTATCCTTACAAGCGATGTTCAGGGACTTATAACCCCACTTATTACTACCCGTGAACCTCCAAGTACTGCCAGGGTTCCTGCGCGAGTTCCTCTAAGCGTTCCTCTACCGGTTCTTTTTTAAGGCCTTACAGGGTTCCTTTCAGGTCCGTTTCCGGTTCCTTAAAGGTTCCGGAATGCGTTTCTCTTGAGCTCGAATAGGGTCGTCATAGAGTTGTGGGTTCAGGAGTTTGGGGGTCACAAGGCTTTCTACACTTTCAAGAACACCGTGCTGAATGCCTCGCAACTTTCAGAAAGCATGTCTTTGCAGTCATCAGCTGCCATTGCTCGTGGTAGATCTCAAGTCGCTCATCTGTACTCGCCTTGGCAGCGAAACACGACGGACCAGTACGTGGACAAGGAAATGCGCGTCTGTTTTCTCACGGTAATGCAACTCCTGGCCGAGGGTAGCAGCGTCCTCTGTCTGTGAAGTTCCAGTCCTTGTAGCATCTCTGTCCATGTCGGGCAAGAGAAGAGTGCCCGGCCTCAATCTCAAGGGGTCTGCCGCACCGCCCTCGGAGGCCGTTTCGGGAGGCCGGATCCACAACCGCAGGTCGGACTGCGCAATGGAGTAGCATGCACCCTACAACCCCGATCCCTTAACACTAGAAACCCAGAAAACTCCCTTGTTCTTGTTGCCCCCCCCCAGACCCCTGAACCCCTACAGTCAACCCCATAAAGTTCCAACTTTTGGGCTTCTACTGTATCTTCTTTTAAGGAGATACCATTTCTACAAGAAGCTGTCCGAGTCTCGAGGTTGCATGGGGGCTTCAGAGGTAGTCGGGGGTGGATTTCCTGGTTGAAGGGCTCATCCAAGGCGAAAGAGATTCGAAGGTTAAGGCCTCCTTTCAGGTTTCGATAAAAGTTCCGTGATGAGTTTAGGGTTTAGGGTTTAGGGTTTAGCGTTTAGGGTTTAGGGTAGGAAGGTACTGTAGGTTCTCCAAGTTTTTTGTCGGTTTTAGAGCAGCAGGCAAGAAGAGCTTACAGGGTGCCAGGGCTTGGGTTATGGCGCTTATAGGGTTATAGAAGTTATACGGGGTGGAGTATACGGGTTATCTAGGATTTTCTGGTCAATAGAAATCATCAGGATCCCTTATAGTAATTACCCTAATGGGAGGACTTGCAGCAGACGGATTAGGGTGCAGGGTCCTGAACCTTAAATCCTAAACCCTAAACCCTCCCTAAACCTAGATCTTAAACCCGAAGCCCTGAACCCTGAACCCCTCGAGCGGTATCTGCAGCGAGACACCTGGCGTCTCTTTGCCGTCCCGACAGGCGTTGCATCAAGCAGCAGCCTCATCTGTTGTCGGAACCCCGACAAATTTAGGTTTCAGGGTTTAGGCATCTAAAGAATCTAAATTCAAGCTTGAAAGGTAGTCAGTCTCCCTACAAGGGCAAGGGGCTTAGGATTCAGTACGGCTGATGATAATCCTGCATGACCAGTCATAAGGAATATACCAAAACTCCCATAGTTTATAGGGTTCTTAAGGTAATGCAGGATTTATATCATAGCTCGTGTTTCTGTGGCTTTTGGTCCTAGGGTTGTGGGATCCGGCCGATGCACAGTCCACCGTCTCGGGTCTCGGGCTGTTGGTTGAGATTGACGTCGCGAGGCTCACAGTTTTAGGATTTTTTCTAACTACTTTTTGAAAAAAGGAAGGTTTAGGGTTCAGGCAGGGTTTAGGATTTTTTGAACTCCTTTTTGAGAAAAAAGGAAGGTTTAGGGTTCAGGGTTTAGGACTGAGGTTCATTCCTACGAAGGCTACTCATACTCTGGACTTTGTAGTAACCAGGGAGAAAAAAGTATAGACTTTTATTTCAAAATGGCTCCTTTAAGGAACAGGTACCAAAAAAAGTAGTCAAGTATGGTACTCCAAACGCAGGTACTTCAACCCCCGCACCTCAACTCTGAACTCGCCTCACAGAACTCTTAAACCACCCTTCCCAAACCCTAAACCCTAAACCCTAAACCCTTGAACCCCCCTAAAGAAACGACCATCCCAAACCCCAAACCCTACAACCGAAGCTAGAACCCGATAAACCCTATGACGCCCTTTAAACACCCTATAACCAGCCTCTGAAACCCCGAGCCGAACACCGACGCAAAGTCTGCACTGTAGGGGCCTTGATACTTAGAATAGGGTTTTGGGGCCCATAATACTCGATTTTTTTCTAAGGAACCACCAAAATAGCATAGGTAATTATTAAGGCCCCTATGCTATAGAATCCTACTATAGATCCCTTATAGACCACTTTAAGGAACCCGTTGAAGGAACCCCCAAAACAGTATAGGAAAATTATTGAGGCCCCTAAAGCACTTGGCGAAGGCAGGGACCTGTTGACGTGCTTCCGGGCTGAGGCCTCAAAGGCTTTCCTTGGCTGTATAAGGGGCTCCAGAAAGTTGGAATATGGATTAATGGTAGGATCCCCTATAGTTTACCTTAAAGGGGTTACGATAATGATATTCCAACTTTCTGGCTTCTACTGTAAGAGCTTAGTGAGCTTAGGGTTTAGGGCTTCGTTTTGGGGTTTAGGGTTTAAGGCCATTTAGGGCTCAGGGTTTGGGGTTTCGGGGCGTACTTTTCTCGGGTTTCGGGCTTGGGTTTAGCTTCTAGGGTTGAGGGTTACAGGGCTTCGGGTTTCGGGTCGAGGGTCTACGGGTTAGGGTTTGAGGTTCCGGTCCCTGACTCGCTGCATGATTGCAGTATGGTTAGTGCTCGATTAGACAAGCCTTACTTAGAGCTTCAGGAGCTCGTCTAATTACCGTCTATGCCACCTCATCCCGTCGCATCCTAAACACTATAAACCCTAAACTCTAAAACCCTAAACCCCAAACCCACCGAAATAAATGGTAAGCCTGACTCCCAAACCCACCTGTCTTGGCCTTCCAGGAGTCGGCCAGGGTTGAGCCATTTAACCAACACGAGGGTTAAGGGAAGTTTCGGGTTCGTGGGCTCATGGGGCTTAGGGTTTTTTGCGGCGTCTAGTGGTTTAAGGGTTTATGGTTATGTGCCTCAAGAACTCTCTATGTAAATTACCCTCAAGTCTAAACCTTATATAAAGCCTATTCGACTTGTTTGTTTGGGGGAAGGGGTGAGGCTTGGCATTCGGGGCTTTGGAGTTTTTTAGGGATGTGTTTCAAGGTTTACAGAGCTTAGAGTGGGGGTTCACAGTCTCGCGTTTCTTTGGGGCTTGGGCTTCTGGGTTTAGGGTTTAAGGTTTGGGTTTATGAGGCTTCAGGAGATTAGCGTTTTGGGGTTCAGGGTTGAAGGTGTTGGGCTTAGGCATAAAATGTTAGGGTACACCCGAAGTCGTCCGGCAGCAGGGCCGGCAATGCAGCAAGATAGTCGACCAACTTTCTGTTCTTAGGGGCATTCGGCTAGGTAGGGGAGCCTGAATCGCGCAGGTAAAGGATACTAAAACGATAGCAAAATGCCTTAAGGAATAGCTTTTGGATAATTTTTCATGCCCCTATTATACTATGTCTCGATTCCGAAATTATGTATAATTAGGGCTCTATATTCAAGAATGAGGAAAATTAAAAATTGTCCCAAATCGATACCCAGTATATGGGAGTTTCCGACAAGAGGGGACCCCAATATAGTACCCTACATGCTAGGATCCTTATGGTCCTTATTATCAACCCTAAATGGGTTTCCGAAAGCAGGGGACCCTCATATAGTACCCTAAGTTGTAGGATCCTTATCATAAGGACCCCCAAATAGGGTACCCCTCATATTCGGAAACTCCCATATTGCTAACCTTTCAGCGCTGCAGTCCAATCGGCGTCCACGTCTCCTCCAACCGCTGATTTACAGCCTCACAGGCTTGAGCGTGCCCCTACACCCTAAAATCCTAAACCCTAAACCCCTAAACCCTGTTGAGATTCGGGTGCTTTGGGGGTTGAAGGTGTCGGGTTGTAGGGGTAAGGGTTGGGGTAACCCTGAGGGACTTCAGAAGGTGCCTCTTGGGTTTAGGGTTTAGGGCAGAGGCTTGTTGTTTCCCGTGGCATGCCGCAAAGCCCAACAACCCTCACCCCGACGGTTCTTGGTTTGATCCTGCTACGCACTATCAGGGCAATGGTCGGGATGGCGAACAGGTCTTTCGGCTATATAAACTACAGCGAATCGAAACCTGAAACAGTGACAACCACAATTTTCATCATCTTCTTCTGCATCATCATCACCGTCACCATCACCATCATCATCATCACCATCATCCTCATCGTCCTCATCATCCTCGCCCGAGGCCTCAGCGGATTTGGGCCTGCTACAAGCCAGGGAACCACTGTCGTCAGCCATATCTACTTATATCCCAAATCCGACATCTACCTGCAGCTATCTGATCCCTGATTTTATAACCGCCTTCGGCAAGATCAAGTCTCACAACCCGAACCCTGAACCTCCCTCCCTAGACCTCTGTAGGCCCTGTTATCGGAATCCTGGAAGGAACATGCAAAGGAAGCCTTGAAGGAACCCTTAGTTGCCGAGTTCAGAAGCCCCAAAAAGTTTAAGCTTTCAGTTTGCGCAGGGTTTCATTACACCAAAAATCTTACAGTTTAAAAATACAACTACTAAGAATCCTAAAGCCTGTGCCTTCGAGTTCCTCTTTGCAGTCTTCTCCCACTCTTTGTGCTTGTTCTCATCGAGGTGGTCTTGGACAGAAGATCACCGGGATTCACGACCCCTATTATCAAGCTTTTGGGGTTCAGGGTGTAGGGTTGGGGCTATACATATATATATATATATATGTGTACACACCCTTGCATATATACATACATTTATATATATATATATATATATACATATAATATCCACCTCTACCTCTAAAATCAAGGTGTGTGGGTCTTAGAGGCTTAGGGCCAGCCCTAGTGTTCACTCATGCAAGTAAAAAGACCCTTTCTAATATCTGCTATAATCATAAGTTTCAGAGGGCCAAATGAACAAGGAATACTTCGTTAAGCTTTTTAATTAAAGAATCAAAGGTCCTTCGGGGGAATCCTGGTCTTGATTAAGGGGTTTTCTCTCCAGATGCAGCCCCTTAACACCCTGAAGCCCTACCTATGGTCTCCATTGTAGTTCTTATTTTTTGTTTAACCAATTATATATAAAGAATCCTATGAGGTAACCCCAAAAAGGAACTACAATGGAGACTATAGGTAAACCCTAAACCCCCCCGAAACCATAAAACTATGAACCCTAAATTCAACCCTAAACTCCCCTACTGCCCCAATAAGCCACAGAAATGGAAGGTTAACCTTTCTGGTCCCTACTAAACCATAAGGACTCGAAAAGTTTAAAGGTTGGGCATTGGGGATTTAAGATTAAGGCCCCCATGTTATAGTACCCTTATAGATCCCTTATAGTACCCAGAGCCCAATCCCCGCTAATTAAGGAATATAGCTTAAACGATAATATGAGCCCCTATAGAAATTAAGCCATATTCCTTAATTAAGGGGGTATTGGGCTCTCTGGGTAGCCCTTATACAGGCCCCTTTAAAAGCTTGAAGGTTGGGTACTTGGAGGGTCGGGGGACTTAGTAAGTAGGTAGTAAGTAGACTTATAAGTACCCTAAAAGGGACCCTAATTGGGGTTATGGTACTTATAAGTCCCTAAAAATAACCAGTTACTAAGTCCCCCGACCCTCCAAGTATTGGGGATCTAGACTCCAAGGCCTCGAGAACCCAGTGGCTTATCTGTTACTTGGAGGGGGCAGGGGACTTAGTAAGGGTTCCAAAAAAGGGATCCTTAAAGGAATCTATAGGGTTCCTAGGGTTCCTTAAAGGGATATACGGGGTTTAGGGTGTAGGGACTTCGTAAGTAGGTTATAAGTACCCTAAATGGAGTTACCCCAATTATAACCCTACTTATAACCTACTTACTAAGTCCCCTGCCCCTCCAAGTAGGCTGTTAGGGAAAATGTAAGGAGCTCCGAAAACCTTACGCTGTGAGGCCGCTGCACCCTAGAAAACGAAGCGACAATGAAACCCCCAGACCGAACACCTTACGGAAACGATACGAGTCTGACTAACATGGGAGTGAGACAAGGCCAAAAATATCCAACAAGTAGTTACGCCTACAAAGTTCAGAGAACCCCGATCTCAACACCTGCCGCCTACATGCTAGGCTACCGCAGCCCCTCGTTCTAGAGCCCTAAACCCTGGACCCCTACTATAGGGGCCTTAATAATTAGAGTAGGGTTCTGGTGCCCACTCTCCTATAATGATAATAAGGGCCCCCGAAACGGTATAGGTAATTATTAAGGCCCCTATATTGAAGCCCTAAACCCATCAACCTCTCTCCGAATCTCACACACAGCTGGGCCCCCGAGCCGGGCAGCCAAGCGCCGACCACGTCCTCACCACCCCAAAAGAGCTCTTTTGAAGGGTTCCACTAAGAGCTCCTAGAGACGCTCATGTTTAGTGCTTCGGGTTTCATGGGTGTTTGAGTTTTCGGTGGGTTGCATAGAGGACACAGTGAAGTTGTGTGTGTAATGTCGTCTTCGTTCGGAGCCCATACAGTTCCCCCCGCGATTTCCAAGACCGTTCTGGTCCTTCAGCAACAGCACTAACAGACAACAGCATCGTACAGAAACATCCTTTAGCTGCCTGCCAGTGTCGGGACTTTTACATGCACACTACTGTAAACCCCATAAAGTTGGAAACCTGATTAAGGCCAAATAGTGCTGGGATTGCCTATACATTACTCTTAAGGATTGAGGCTATTGGGTTCCAACTTTTGGGTAAACGATCTCTTCGGCGGAACGGGGGGCCTCGGGTAACTGAGGCCGGTTGGTTTCTTCCGGGGTCCGAAGTAAACAGTCAGCTGCAGCTAGAACAGCCTCCTCGTAAAACCCCAAGGTTCGTGAACTGCTTGGAAACCCCAAACCCCAGGCCCAAAAAAAATGGGTGCCCAAACCTAGAGCCTAGCCCCAAACTCGCTTTCGCAAACCCTGCAGGCTTTAAGGTTTTTCGGGTTCAGGGTACCACAGCCCTAAACCTGAATAGACACCATGCGAGCCACGGTTTAGGGTTTAGGGCTAGCAGAACTCTCGAAGCGCCTACGTATAATCAGCTGAAGTACAACCTTAACGAAGCCAAGACCCCTGATTGGCACAGTGCTAGCACCCGATAAGGGACCGCGATAGCACCCTTATAGACCCTACCATAAAGATCAGGGTAAGATTACAGATCACGAGAGTTCGTACATATTTTCCTCCAGGTATCCCGAACCCCAAAAAAGAACCCTCAGCCTTATAGACCTTTAAAGAGCCCAACTCAAAACTCCCTTAAGCTCCAAGCCTTGAACCCTTTCATGCTTCCTTTAAAGCCCTAAACCCTAACCCTCGTACGGTGGATGATACAAATCCTAAATTACCTTAAGGACCCTAAACTATGGGAATGATGGCATACTCCTTATTACGGGTAATGCAGGATTTAAATCATGAACAGCATGATTCCTTAAACGCACACTCCCTAAACCCTAAACCCTGAACTCTGACATGATTCCTTTAAAGCCCTAAACCCTAACCCCTCGTATGATTCCTTAAACGCGAACTCCCTATTGTCTGAGAGCCCTGCGCCTTTCTTCCCGCATGCACAGCTCCAGTTGCGCCCAAAGAGGTTGACACCTCGCTCCTGACCCAGAGAGCCCAATACCCCTTAAATAAGGAATATAGCTTAAATCATGATATGAAGCCCTATATAATTTAAGCCATGTTCCTTAATTAAGGGGTATTGGGCTCTCTGGGGACCACGGCAAGAGGGGGGTTCAGGGTTTCTAAAAGAAGGGTTTAGGGGGGTTTTAGGGTTTAGGGGTTTAGGGTTTCTAAAGAAAGGGTACCAAAGGGTTTGGGCTTATTTAGAGGGTACTATAGGGTTCAGGGTTTAGGGCTTCTAAGCAAAGGGTACTTGTGGGTTTAGGTTCATCAATTGACATGACAGACTCCGGTACGCTGGGCACGTGCCGTAGGGCTTGGGGCTTAGGGTTTCTAAATACCGAATACAAAACGGTTGAGGTTTAGGAGTTTCTAACGGGGTTTCTCTCTTGGCTTTTGTTCTAGAAAGGGCTGTAAAAGGTTCCATCATTCTTAGAATGACTAGACTAGGAGGCTTCTACTCGGGCTTAGGGAGACGAGTCACCTGAAGGGTCAGCCCATATTCCACACGGGGTGTTGGGGTTCAGGGTTTACGGCTCCGGGTGTGTGTAGGTCAGGGTTCCGGGTCTTTGCTGGCATCCTTGCTTCCAGCCCCTGCACCTGAAGGAATGACACCCAGATCCGAACCTAAAACCCCAACCCGAGTGCCAAAACCCCAAAACCGAAACTCTAAATCCGAAGCCGAAGCTGAAACCCTGTGCACCCCTAGAAAAATCCTAGGAAGCTCTTCGCCCTCCTTGCACTTCCATCCATCTTGCTTCAGCCAGCGCGCGAAATCCTCCTGAGCTTCAAGGAGTGCAGAGACTTCCGCACCAAACAAGTCATAGGGACCCATACGGGGGTAGGGGATCGGGGACTATACTTCAAGTAGGCCTTAATTATTGAGTCCTTATTATTGGTATTAAGTTCCCTACCCCCCCTCCCCCTACCGCTCTAAGGGTCCTTATGATTATAGGACTCCAGAAGTCCGTAGAGGGTTCCTTGAAAGCACCTCTAGCAGTGTTCGGGAACCGTTAGAGCTTCAGCCTGAGGGCGTTAAGCAAAATAATACTGTTGATGATATAAATCCTGCATTACCCATAATAAGGAATATACCATAATTCCCATAGTTTAGGGTCCTTAAGGTAATGCAGGATTCATATCATCCACCGTAGGGTTTGGGGGTGATGTCATGGTACAAGCAGACTCGCAGACCTCTTTGAAGAGTTCGTGAAGGCTTATTTTCTCAGGTGCAGAGGGGTTGGTCTAGGGTTTAGGGTTCCTTTAAGGGAAGGTTACTACAAATTACTGAGGCACCTACATTAATTATCCTAAACGATTGAAGTGTGATGTAAGTGCATTTTGGAATCTGTGGATGATCTGCAAGACTTCAATTCTGATTGTGGACTTGGGCTTTGGGGTTCGGGATTTAGGTCCAAGCCCAACGACAAAGCAAATGTTCCCACACAGACCTAAACCCTAGAAACTCAGTACGCACAACCCCGAACCAAAACCCAAGGAACCCTAGCCCAATTAAAGACAGGCCCCGGGAACTACAATATTATATTTAGCCATTTAGCCCCTACATCCCGAACCCTAAGGACCTAATCCCAAACCCTAAACCCTAAACCCCTAAGGACCTAATCCCGAAGACCCTAGACCCCTCAGCCCCTAGACCCCTACGGAGGCCCCTAAAACCCCGACGGTAGTGGTCGGAGACCAAACCTTACTTCCCCAATAAGCCACAGAAATGAAAGGTTAAACTTTCCGGTCCCTACTAAACCATAACAACCCAAGAAGCTTAAAGGTTTGGGTATTGGGGATCTAAGATTAAGGCCCCTATATTATAGTACCCTTATAGATCCCTCATAGTAGCCCTTATATAGAACCCTTTAAAAGGTAACCCTATTCCAATGATTAAGGCCCCTATTGGGAGATCTAACCCTACAAACCCTAAACCCTAAACTCTAAACCTTCTTGGACATTTAAGAAAAGCCGAGGTGCCCAGGACTTGCGATACCTCTGATGATTCCGGCCAACCTGTGTGGGACAGGAGCGGTGACGTTGCGGAGAAGAACGGCTTGGTTCAGGGTTTAGGGGTTTAGGGGCTTTTGGGGCTTTCGGGGGTTTGGGGGCTTTAGGACTTTATGGGTTTAGGGCTTACGGGTTTGGTTAGGTTTAGGGGTTTAGGGTTTTAGGGTTTAGGGTTTACGGGAGATCAAAGTTTAGGGGAGATCATGATTTGGGGTTTCGGGGGCTTTGGTGGCTGTTGTTTTTCAGGGATTCAGGGGTCTTTGGAGGTGATTAGCAAGCATTGCTCCTGCCACGCAGGGCTCAAGAAGGACCAACAGCGACAACCAGCAAAACCGGCACTATTCCCGAACCCCCCGCGGCTTGCCTGTGATCTGGCTTTGCTGAGGTGACGCCTAAGCCAGATCAGGAGCAGTCTTTTGGCTGTTGGGACGTCTAGTCGGTTTAGGGTTTAGGGTCTCGTTCTGGGATAGGGTTTTCCTCTTCTGCACACTAGCGCACACTGTGGCAAAACAGGGAGCAGCGGCATTGCAAGCATTGCCCCGTCAAAAGCAGCGTACGTAGACATGGTTGGACGATCCCGGATGTGTCAGTTGGAAACCCTGGACTCCAGACTCAACCCTGAACCCAAAACCCTTAACCTTAAGCCCTGGACACTAGGCCCCAAAGTGATGAGCAGATGGAACCTGGAACCGAACATCGGATCCCAATGCCCTCAACAGGATACAGACAGGAAAAGCAGGTCCCAAGGACACGTCTTTTCGACTAGTCTGTTGAATGTCTGCCAACCCACCTGCCTACCTATCGGTCTGTCTGCCTGCCTGCCTGGCTGTCTGTCTGTCTGGCTATCTACCTGCCTATCTACTTGCCTATCTACCTACTATCTGCCTGTCCACCTACCTATTTACGGCTACCTACCTAACTGTTTGAAACTACATCTCTAGCTCTAGTCCGTACTTCCAAAGTAAGAAACACACAGAGACAAACCAACCACTACACATACAAACGACAAAGAAAGCGACGAAACTACACCAAACAACCAAATGCAACAAATCGAAAATAAAAACAGCCAAGCCAAACAGCACGAACAAATCGAACGAACGAACGCAACCAACCAAACAAGCAAACACAACAAACAAACAAGCAAACACACAAACAAGCAAGCAAGCAAACAAGCAAACAACAAGCAAACAAACAAACACGAAACCACACGCAAACAAACAACACGCGCAGACAAAAAAAACACAACACGAGGCAGCGCAACCAAAATCAAACCAAACACACAGGACACACACACACACACAAACGCACGCGCACGCACACACAAACGCACGCGCACAAAACACACACACACACACAAACACACACACACACACAAACACACTCACACACACACACACACACACACACACACACACACACACCCACACACACTCACACACGCACACCCACACACACACACACACACGCACACGCACACGCACACGCACACGCACACGCACACGCACACGCACACGCACGCGCACGCGCACGCGCACGCGCACCCGCACCCGCACACACGCACCCGCACACGCACGCACGCGCACGCCGCGCCACGCACACGCACGCGCGCACGCGCGCACGCGACGCGCGCAGCGCACCGCACGCGCGCACGCTCACACGCGCACGCGCACCCCACACACACACACACACACACACACACACACACACACACACACACACACACACACACACACACACACACACACACACACACACACACACACACACACACACACACACACACACACACACACACACACACACACACACACACACACACACACACACACACACACACACACACACACACACACACACACACACACACACACACACACACACACACACACACACACACACACACACACCACACACACACACACACACACCCACACACACAACACACACACACACACACACACACACACACACCACACACACACACACACACACACACACACACACACACACACACACACACACACACACACACACACACACACACACACCCACACACACACACACACACACACACACACACACACACAACACACACACAACCACACACACAACCACACACACAACCACACACGCAAACACACACGCACACACACACACAAACACACACACACACACACACAAACACAAACACACGCACACACACACACACACACAAACACACACACACACACACACGTGTACACACACACACACACCACACACACACACACACACACCCACACACACACACACACACAAACACACACACAAACACACACACACACCCACACACACACACACACACACACACACACGCGCAAACACACAAGCAAGCAGGCATTCAGGCAGGCAAGCAAACAGGCTGAAAGGCAAGCACGCAAGCAGGCAAACCAACTAACAAACTAACGAACGAACGAACTAACGAGCTAACTAACTAACTAACCAGCTAGCTAGCTAGCTAGCTAGCTAACTAGCTAATCCACCAAACAACCAACTAACCAACGCGCGCACACACACAGATATAAAGCCATAAAGACATACGGACATACACATACATACATAAGTTCATACACACATACATACCTACGTATGTACGTACAAGCGTACAGACACAGATGTATACATACCTTTATCCATTTATGCTTCCATCCATCCATCCATCCATCCATCCATCTGACCCATGCAGCGTATGTGTGTATGTACGTGTGTCTATATCTATATCTGTATCTATACCTATATCTATCTATCGACATATGTTGTATGCATATATGTATATGCATATATAAGTATACATTGCGTGTATATTCAGACGCATATGTGTCTAGATTGTGTATCCGTGTGTTTGTAAGTTTAATGCCCGCAAAGGTACGCGATTGTCCAGGGGTCGTTCTCCACCAGCTGCTCACCTGAGCTGCCAGAGGGTTTAGGGTCTAAGGTTTACCGTAACCCTGAAACACCCTACCTTTTTAGGGCCCCTTATTGTAATTTCCTTATACAAGTCCTTAAAAAGGTTGGTTATTCAGGGTTAAGGTAGGGTTTAGGGTTTAAGGCATCCGAAACTTTAAGCGGGTGTCGTGAAAGGTTTAGGGGTGTAGGGTGTCGGGTTGAAGGTGCATGCATTGGTTTTCCTACTTCCCCAATACGCCACAGACATAAAAAGGTTAAACTTTCCGGTCCGTGGGTATTGGGGATCTAAGTTTTCGTTCATCAGGGTGCCTTGAATTTCTACAGGGTCTCTACTCAACCCGAGTGCCGAGCCCCTCACTGACAGATCCTTGATAATTACCTCGTTCCTTTAAAGGGTTCCTTAAAGGGGTCTATAAGGGATCTTTAGTAGGGTTCTATGGTATAAGGGCTTATAAGTACCTCTACTGTAAGTATAGTATAATGGCCCCCAAACCCTCTTCTAATTATTAAGGCCCCTTTTTTAAAGGAGCCAGTGACAGATCGTGAATCTTTGTGGCACGTGCCCTAAACCCTAAGCCCTAAACCGTGTGCAGTTTCAGGCCACGGCTTCAAGTTCCTGGGTTCGGAGGCCCAGAAACTCGGCCGCGCCGTTTGCGGGGTACTTTAGGGTTCTCTACTTGGAGGGTCGGGGGACTTAGTAAGTAGGTAGTGAGTAGACTTCTAAGTACCCCAAAAGGGACCCTAATTGGGGTTATGGTACTTACAAGTCCCAAAAATAACCAGTTACTAAGTCCCCCGACCCTCCAAGTAGGGTTCTATAGGGTTCTATAAGGGTTCTATAGGGTTCTATAGGGTTCTATAGGGTTCCATAAGGGTTCTACAAGGATTGTGTAGGGTGGAGTTTAAGGCTTAAGGCTTCCTGCTGGTGGGATCCTGCAGTCCAGAACCCGCATAGAGTCCTTATGAAACGGTTTAGGGTTTAGGGTTTAAGGGTTTAGGGTTTAGGGTTTAGGGTTTAGGTCTTAGAGTCCTTATGAAACCCTCAACCCTTGGACTCTAATATAGAAGCCTTAATAATTAGAGTGGGGGTTGGGGCCCAATATACAAGAAACAAAAAGGACTCCCACAACAGTATAGGTCATTATGAAAGCCTCTACATTACATCCCTTACAGATCCTTGAAGGGAACCCCAAACGGAATCCTTCACATGGAATCCTTCTCATTAGCAGTGTGCGGAGGACGCAGCTTAATCACACAAGACAAACCATAAGGACCCTTAAGGGGGAGGGGGGGGGTAGGGGGCCTTAATACCAAAAACACAGGACTTGATAAAGCCGATTCAAGGAAGTATAGTCCCCCACCCCCCTCCCCCACCCAGACACGCCACTATGAAGTACCCCAAGGCCCTGAACGCTAGATCAAAGAGGGGTCCTCATAATGATAAGGTGTGTATTTTGAAGTATGAGTTGATCGTGGCTTACCCTTTAGAGGCTGTTTGAATGGTTTGGGGCTTTTCCCAAAAGCCCTGGAGCCTACCCTAAACCCTACACCCTAAACCCAAAAGCCCCAGAGCCTACATAAAGACTGACTAAACCCCAAACCCTACAGCCGGGGCACAAAAGACGCAGCGATACTTGTCAGCCTCTTGGATGAGACCTGGGCTTCGTCGCTTCTGTTTCTAGTTTAGGGTTTAAGGTCTTAGGGTTGAGGGTTGTGAGGCCGAGGGATGAGGTTCAAGGTTCTGTGCTTTGTGTATAATACGGGTCTTACTAGTTCGGGTTCAGGCATATAGGGGCCTTAATACGAACAGGGTGTTGGGGTATACTATGACAGAAACAGTAGGAAGGAAAGCTGCTGAAGAAGATTGGGAATTATCCAAGCCCCTGTAATTTGGGGCCTAGGGCTTGGGCTTGGGGTAGGGTTTGACATTCTTGGGTTAAGGCCTCTCCTGTAGCGATTTCGGGTTCTTGGAAAAGACTGGAGGGTTTAGGGTAAAGTCTTCGGGCTTTGAGTGGTATATGTGGTTCAAGGTGTTGATTCCAAGGTTTAGGGCGCTTAGACAAGGCTTCCAGGATTAAGCAGTGCTGGCTTCGGGTTTAGATCTAGGCTGAAAGGCAGGGGTACGGGGTAGAAGATTTAGGGGGAATCCGTTTTGCCGAAACATCTGGAACGCCTGCCGAAGAGGTGGGTTTCTCTTGCAAAACTGCAACCGGCGGACGGGGCTGAATGTTTGACATAGGAGCTTGGGGCTATAAGATCCCTTCTCCAGAGAAAGCGCAAGCCCTTCACCTGAAAAACAAACTCAAACCCTAAATCCTAAAACCGATCCCTGAATCCTACACCCAAAACTCTACTTGTAGGATCAGGGGGCCTTCAACAGCTAGGCTTTAAATGCTTGGACCTCTGAACCTGAAACTATTCCCAGAAGACTGAACGACACTTCTCTCCCCAGCGACAGGAAACTACAATCCACGAACCGCACAAGCCCTAAACCCCTCTGGAATACACCCTAGAACCCCTATAAGCCCGATAAGTCCTAAACCTTATAAACCCCTCCCCCCCCAAGCCCCTCCAGACCCTACAAGCCCGCAGCCTAGCAACACTAAACCAACCCAAGCCCTACAACTAGGCCCACTATTTCCGAAATCTCAAAGTCAGCAACCATATCATGAACAGATACCCAATATGACCTTGGAAACCTCTTTTGAACAACACCTAAACTACGGGGCCCTGTATAACCCCCTCTAGACCCTATAAACCCTCTAATCATTATATATGTGTGTGTATACATATATACATATACATATATATATATATATATATACACTCCCTCTAAGCCCTAAAACCCTCCAAACCCTTAAACTGCAAACCCTGATAACCCCTCTAACCATTATATCCCCAATATCCCCTCTAAGCCCTAAACCCTCATAGACCCTCTGAGCCCGGAAGCCCTCCGAACCCTAAACCCTAATACACCTTTCGGGGATACCTTATAGGATTCTACATATGGACCCCTAAAAAGGAACTACTATGGCGGGGCCCGTGTGTAAGATAAATGGACCCTATAAGCTCTATAGACCCCTTTATAGAACTCTATATATCCCTTATGGAACCCTCCAAATCCTAAATTGCAAACCCTTATAGACCCTCAAAGCCCTATAAACCTCCAAGCCCTAAAACCCTCCGAACCCTAAACCCTTATGGACCCTCTGAGCCCTACAAGATACTCAGACCCTAGAAACTACAAGCCCTGTAAACTTAGTTGCTGAGTTCATAAGCCCCAAAAACTGCACACTTTCAGTTTTATAATGGGTAATATTATACCAAAAAGTGTAAAGTGTATCCACTCAGCTACTAAGTAAACCCAGCCACCATTTTCGGAAAGTCTAAACCCTAAACCCTTTATAGATCCCTTATAGATCCCTTTAAGGAACCATAGACCCTCTAAGCCCTATAAACCCTGAACCCTTTATAGAACCCTTATCGATCCCAAAAAGGAGCCATAGACCCCCTAAGCCCGATAAACCCTTTATGGAACCCTTATAGTAGGATCCTTAATTATAGGATCCCAAAAAAAGGTACCCCGAATTTTCGGAAACTCCCTTTAAGGAACCCGAAACCCTAAAAGCCGTATAAACCCAGCCACCATGACGGAGCAGGTCTTTTTGGTTGAGGCTTCTGGCCGCTTGAATGTCCTCACGGCTGTGGGAGGTCTTGCTTAGGGTTGTGGGGTTTAGGGTTTAGGGGTGAGGGTTTAGGGCTTCAGGGTTTAGGGTTTTAGGGTGAGGGTTGTGGGGCTTAGGGTTTCGGGGTGAGGGTTTTAAGGGGTTTAGGGTTTTAAATAGGGTGGTTTAGGGGTGTTAGCGCGTAGGGTTTAGGGTTGAGGGTTTAGGGTTTAGGGTTTCGGGTTGGGTTTAAGGAATAACATAGCCAGCTTTAACCATGCTTTCGTGAATCTATGGACTTGGTAAGGTTTCAAGGAGGGTGTCATGTCGCTGTCTGTTCGGTTTATCGGCTATTCGGCTTTCGCGAGTGAGCCCTTCGGGCGAGGAAACGGAGCAACTAGAGGGTTAGGGCTGAAGGGTTAAGGATTCAGGGTTTAGGGCTTCAGGGCTTTAGGGGTCGGGGTTGAGGGCTGGGGCAGAGGAGAGGGGTCTAGAGGGACTGACAGGGGATGTTCGGTCGCTGCCTCCGGGTTTTCGATCTCCACGAGAATACCTGCGGCGAGAGCTGGGTCCGTGGAGTGCCGCTTGGGTTATCGGGTTAAGGATTAGGGTTTAGGGTTTAGGGCGAAGGGAGGATTTGGGTTTAGGGTTTAGGGTTTTGTTCTTTTTCGAGGGCCTTTTTGGTGTCTGCGCAATGCACTCTCCCAACCCCGAATGGCTAGGCTCTGTCGCAACCCTTTCGTTGCTTGAATGGTTTAGGGTGAAGGGTCGACCCTGGGCTCAGGATTTGAGGTATTAGGGCTTTGGATTTGAGAAGTTTTACGGTTTCGGACTCAGGGACTGGGCTTCTGTGATAACCCCTATTGACAGTATAGCTATTCTGAGTTTTTAAGTAGCCAAGGAGAAAAAAAGTATAAACTTTTAATTCATAATGGTTCCTTTAAGAAAAAAGTATTAAAGTATGGTATTCCAAAGCCCAGTATTACTTCTGCTACTCTTTCCTTACTTCCCCAATAAGCCACCGACATGAAAAAGTAAGCTTTCCGGCTCCTACTAAACCATATAAGAACCCCAAAAAAGTTTATTAACGGTTGGGTATTGGGGATCTAAGATTAAGGCCCCCCCACATTATAGTACCCTTATAGATCCCTTATAGTAGCCCTTATACAGACCCCTTTAAAAGTTTGAAGGTTGGGTATTGGGGATCTAAATTCCTGAGAAGAGGAGTGCCATAGTCTTATGAGTTGTCAGCAGCACGACTGCTATTGTGACTGTCATGGCTATGGCCCCCCGTGATTCCATTTTCGTACTTTTTGTTGACCTGGCGTCTTTCAAAGCAGCGCATAACATCGGGACCGTGCTAGCGGGTGTACTGACCTAGAATGTATGAACTTCTACTTACATGGCAACTACAAATACCATCTCGTACTGCTTTGTTGGCTCGACATGCTCGTAGGTACATGCAATGCTTGCAGGACCGCCTTGCTAGATTTTTGACGCTGACGGTGGGGGTTCTGTAGCATGGTACCCTAAAGCCCCCAACCTGGGCCTTCTGAACTTAAGCCCGAAAGTTATAAGCGACATGTACCCCCCTAACATCCTCAGAAAGATGAGAACAGGGCCAGCCACCTACCACCAGACCCCTAAAGCAGCCTTCAAGGAGCCATGCAGGGCTAAAGCCCAAAACCCCCAACCCTAAAACCTGAAACCCAGAACCCTAAAACCCAAAACCCAAGCCCCGTTTACTACGTCCCGCCCTAGCACCTGCCGGAACCTGACTAAGAAACCCTGGTCATACAACCCCAAAATAATAGGATTCATATAAGGAGCCCTAATAAAGACCCTTAATCAGGCTCCTCTATTACTTGCTTTTGACAGCCCTGAACCCTAAACCCTTAGAGCCCTTGAATTAGGTTCCTATAAAGAGGCACCTCCCGGAACCATTGGGAAGTCGAACCCGGGCCTCAGTGCCGGTTGCCCCGTGCATCAAGGGCTCAGGGTTTTGGCTTAGGGCTTTGAGCTTTGTTTTTTTTTTAGGCGCCTGAGCTTTGGGTTTAGGGCTTAGGGTTTGCGGGTTGGGGTGTTAGGTTTTGGCTTAGGGTTCTGGGTTTTGGCTGTAGGGTTTTGGGTGTTGGCTTTAGGGTTTTGGGTGTTGGGCTTCGGGCTTAGGTTTTGGGGAGCATGACCCACAAAAGCGGGAACTTGTAATGGGGCTGTGTATGTTCTTTAGAGTTCTTTATATGCTTAACTGCTATTGGGGGTTTATATGCTTTTTGGGGATCTTACCTGCATCTATGCTACAAGCGTCTATATTGCTTGTCTTGAGGGTTCTGTTGTTATATCAAAGGGTTTGGTAGATCTTCAATAAGGTTCTACGTGTCACGATTGGGTTTTCTACAGGGATTCACCGGATCCTTTTCGGATTTTTGAAAGGCCCTTTCAGTGTTCTGTTATATAAGGGCTTTATATGGGTTCTATTCACGAGGGTTTTAAGCGGGCTCTATATTATGGGTCATGGGTTCAAGGGTTTAGGGCTTCGGGTTCCCGGGCTGAAGGCTCAAGCTTCACATGCTTACCCTAAGGCTCCCAAAGGGGTCCGGGGCTTTCTGGGGGAAGGGTTTGGGCTTTGGGCCTTGGGGGCTAAGGTTTGGGATCTCACTACGAGGGTCCAGGAGCATTATCATTAGGGTAGGGTTTAATTTTTAGAACTTATAAGAATTAGAGCGATGCGGGGCCTTCAAGAGGAGGAATCATTCGAGCTTAGCTTTAGTATGGCGCAGTGGAAGTCGAATATAGGGCCTTCATAATCGGAAATGAATCTTGGTGGCCCATTCTACTGCAAGTTGCATTATAGGGACTACCAGGAGGGATTCATACGGTGGATGATATAAATCCTGCATCACCTGAAGGACCCTAAACTATGGGAATTATGGCATAATTCCTTATTATGGGTAATGCAGGATTTATATCATCAACAGTACTCCTAAGTATTCCTACACCTGTAGAAGATTCTTGGTTCCGGATCAAGCTGACTGCACGCAAGGGCGCAGGGGTTACAGAAGCCCCAAAGTTGGAAACCCAATAGCCTCAATCCTTCAAAAGTAGTGTGTAAGGAATCCCAGCACTATTTGGCTTAAAACCGGTTTCCAACTTTGTGGTGCCCTAAATAGTAGGATCCTTATTGTAAGGACCCCCCCAAAACAAGGTACCTCGTATTTTGGGAAACAACTTGACGGAGATTACTGTCGGGGCTTGGGGGGTCGCGGCTTTGGGGTTGAAGGCCAGTTTAGGCTCTAGGGTTTGCTGTCATCAAGCTCCGCTTGGTTGCTAAGGTAATGTGATTGAGACCTGGTTCAGGCTTTAGGGATTCAGGTTTAGGGATTAGGGTTTAGGGATTAGGGTGCAGGGTTTAGGGTTTAGGGAGGGTTTAGGGTTTAAGGCTGACTTCGATCGCATGGAGGGAAGCCAGCATCGAATCCTAGTCATAGTCAACCCGTTTAAAGACCCCGTCTCAAGCCCTTTGTGTTTAACCTGAACCCCAGACCCTGAACACTAAACCCTAATGAACCCTAAATTTTAAACCCCCACCCCTACATCCTAAACCCGGCCTTACGCCTTACACACCCACTTGTCGTGGATGCGACGCCAAGTCCTTCGCACAGGAACCGGCGGGTGGATGAGGACGTCTGGTTCCGGCTGCCTGTCATGTGGCGGGAGTTCTGGTTCAAGAAAAGGGGCTGACGGTTTAGGGTCTAGGATTTAGGGTTGAGAGTTTAGGGTTTATAGGGTTTTACGGGTTTAGGCTCGGGTTAGGGTTTGGGGTACGATTTGAAGTGAAGTCCTTTATTGGAGCCCTACTTTAAATCCCTCACTGAGAAACCCTTGCATCATAAGAGGTTGTATAATGTCTTGGGACGGGAAGCAGATTAATGTAGCAACCTCAGATACGAAATTTGGGGCTCAGTCATCAATATTCGGCATGCGGTTGGGTTGATGCTTGGGATTCGCATGTCGGTGCACGGATTGGGGTCTAGGATGGCTATGAGGAGTCTTTCTCGTCCTGCTAACAGCCCAGAATCCCATATCCTTAGCTGATCTGAAATCTTGAATTCTGAATCCCGAAATTCCTAAATCCGACGTTTTCTAAAGCTCTGCACCCTAAATCCAGGGTGAGTCCCCCACGTTTGCCGGGGCAAAGGTGGGTATAGAGATGTCGTGTCAAAGCCAACGGTTTGCCACAGCTTGAGTTTGTATGTTTCATAGGCGATGTCGTAAATTCGCTGGCATGCGCATAGGTTCGGTCTGTTCTAAGATTAAGACGAGGGCTTTTGCATTCCAGGGCTCTGGCCTCAGATGCTATGGCATTCAGAGCTGCATTCTTCAGATTCCCGCGTGGTCCAGAAGTGTTATGGATGACAGTAAATATAGCACGTCCCACATAAGTGCCGGTCCGATATCCTGCTTTTTCGGCTGGAGATGACGGGCACTCTGCACCCGAAACCATGGCGAGTGAAGGAATGGTCATGATACTGGGCAACCTCATTGATGACATACGAAAGGTGACGAGGATCCATACGAAGATTATGATGTTGATGCTGCTGCTGCTGCTGATGTGATGGTGATGACGATGAGGCCAGGGGTGTTCTTCATGATGAATGTATGACGATGATGATGTTCAAGACAGAGATGACATGGGTCCTTTGTCTGAAAGCATGATGATGGTGGTGATGATGATGAATATTACGATTACTGCTCTGATGCGGAAGCAGCCAAAGATAGGGCACGGGTGATGACGGTGACGATGGCGATGATGTTCATGTTCGTGCACATGTAGATGTTGATGCTGATAGTGATCCTGATGATGTTCATGTTTGGTGTTGAGATGATAACTGCTCTCATGTTGTTGTTGAAGACGATGATGCTGATGTTGGCGTTGATGCTGATGTTGATGAACATGTCCGCTGTCAGCCCTGCCCCCCACCACCCCTAAAGTCTCCTACATATGAGAACGGCAAACATGGTGGATGCACCCAAAATCCAGAGTTCTGAAACCTTGGTTCGATGAAACCTATTACCTAATGTGGGAGCCTCACTAAATCAAACAATGCTCTCCAGATCTGCTTTTAACGGGCCTCTATAAGGCTTACTACAAGGGTTGAGTATAAGAGCCTTAATTCAATAACGAGAACCGGGTGTTGCGATCGTGCCCTAAACCCTAAACCTAACAAGGAACCTTAAGGGATGATACTACTCATGGTTCAGGCCCCTGTACTTACTTCTCAAACACCCATGTTATTTTATGAAATTTTCACACTTTCAGAACAAGACCGCCGCTTAAGAACACCAGAAGCTGAAAAGTTGGCTCTTGGACCACTCAGCATCCTATCCTCGCAACACAGTTCAGAATGCACTGAAGAGCCCTCAGGAATACGATGGCGAATCATGCAGGGTTTAGGTTTAGGACTGCTTAGGGCCCTGAGGGGATACTAGGCCCCTATACTACCCTCGCAACACCTGCTCTTCGCAGCCGCTTTGGAGAAGCAGCTGCTTAATGTCGCCGCCAAGGTTGCTCCGTCGTCCAGCCTGGGAATCTTCACGCTTCGGGACTGGAGCTTGGGGTTCAGGGTTTAGGGATGCTTAGGGTTTAGTTATCCGACTTAGGGTTTTTAGGGTTCAGAGGCTGAGGGCTTCTGGGGTTTAGGGGCTTAGAGCTTTCAGGGTTTAGGGGTTTGGGTTCAGGGGTTTAGGGGTTTAGGGGTTCAGGGATTTAGGGTTTGGGGGTTTAGGGCTTATAGATGTAGAGTTGACTTAGCATTTCATCCGGTGTTTCGCTTTGACGGTTCAGGGGGGGAACGAAACACTTGAATGTTTGGCGGAGCCGTAATCGGCACCCACGCTTTATCCACCCCGAAGGTAGAAGGAAGAGGCCACCTCAAGTCACAAGCAAGCCCGGCGCTACTCCGTCAGCATTACAGCGCTTTATCCAGGTGCACGCAGCGGAATTAGCCTGGTTCGGCACATTCCACACCACAAGTGTGCCGGTCCGCAACATGTTAAAAGCTGCAAACGGCTGCAGCGTGTGCGATCTTCCAAGCTGTCGCAAGACCGAACGCTGATCTTCCCCCGTTGGCTTCCTCGATTGTTCTATCTTCTGGACCCTAAGTCGGGCGACATGTCCGCCGCTATGGAAAGTGTCTGAAACCTAAAACACCCAGCATCCGTTGCTTCCTTGCTAAATCTACTTCGGCTGACGCACCAATGAGGCTCCGAAACAGGACGAGCACCGAAACCCTAAACTCCAAAGCTTTAACGTCCAATACCTGCTTAGGTTTAGGGTTTCCTTACTCAAAACAGGTTACAGCCCGAGAAAAACAAATTGTTTGCCTGCCTGCTTGCCTCCTTCCTTCCTTCCTTGCTTGCTTCCTTGCTTGCTTGCTTCCTTCCTTGCTTGCTTGCTTTCCTTCCTGCCTTGCTTGCTTGCTTCCTGGCTTGCTTGCTTTCCTTCCTGCCTTGCTTGCTTGCTTGCTTCCTGCCTTCCTCGCTTGCTTGCTGGCTTGCATGGACCCGAGAACCGGAAAACATACAAAAACAAACTGAAAAACTACCGAACAAATAGCGCCTCCAATCTTAGACGACTTGCACTTGCAAACGAGCTTCTGTAGCGCCTTCTGCCCTGAATCCTAAAGCATGAACCCCTTGTCTGTAAGCCCCAAACCAACTGACTACCAACTGACTAGGACTAGGGTTTCGTGTTGAAAGGGGTTGCGGTCGGCCCTGCCAGCATCAGGAGGCGGACATGGGTGGTTGGCCAAACTATCTTCCCGCTTTGGGTCCTATTATCATAAGGCACCTAATATTTAAGGTACCCAACAAGGGGCCCTAACTGTGGCAACCACCCACATGATTAGTCTAGGACTTGTGAGCGGGTTTGGGCAGGCTTAGGGGCTCAGGGCCTTGGAGCTTTGCATCGGTTTAGGGTTTAGGGTTTAGGGTTTAGGGGCTTAAGGTTTAAGGTTTAGGGAGCCTAACTCAAGATCTTTCTGTTCTCGACCAGCAAAACCTAGGTAGTCTACTTCAGCCTCCGTTCCGTTCCAGAGTTCCAGGTTTTGGGCGAAAAGAGCTGCAGTTCGGACACACAACGCCCCACGACCTACAACCTACCCTAAACCCGAAACCCCAAACCCCTAAACTATAAACCCCAAAACCCCCAAACCCTAAATCCCTAAACCCCAAAACCACCAAACCCTAAATCCAAACCCCCCAACCCCACGTCTTGGGCCCTTAAGCCTTACACCCGAAGCTGCAACCCTGAATGCTCCCAAACCCGGAGCCCGATAGAATGACTGGTACGATTATTCCCATAGTTTAGGGTCCTTAAGGTAATGCAGGATTTATACCATAAACAGTAGTAGTGTTCCCTTGCTACGATGCCCAGTAGCCTAGCTCCCTTTTTGGTAGTGGGTAGCTGAATAAGGAACCTACGACTACAAAAGGGAATACGGGTACTACTGGGCATCCTAGCTTGTAGAGAAACATACTACCAAAGAACCGAACGAAGCCTGTAAAACCCTAATGACCTCATAGGACCCACATGGACCCCTGATACCCCTGCGAAAGGCCTTACAAACTACCTCGCCCCCAAGCCTCAGCCCTCCGGTGAGGACTCCTTGGGTGCCGACTTTTTCGGGAAGTGTGGATGAACGCACTGAACAACGAAGAGCTGAACCATCCGAGAGTCCACGCCCTTCGACGGCTCCGGCTAGGGTGTAGGGTTTGGGGTTTAGGAGGGCTTGGACAATTATTTCGATATCAACATGGATTCCGGGTACGCTGCTTCTGCGGAGTGGGTGGGGTGCATATGTGTGCACAAGGCAATACATAGAGGCATGTGTTTACTTTACAAGCTTTTGTTCGTGTCTTTACGCATGCATGTATACATGCATGTGTGGGTATACATCTATATATACATGTGTACACATACATACATACATACGCACATACATATGTATGTATATGAACATATCTTATAAGAACATGCCTACACATCTATGCATATATATATAAAGATATATTACATATCTGTCTATCTCTCTCAACCTATATATACACACATAAATAAATAAATATATATATATATATATATATGTACATACATACATACGAATGTATACATATATCTTTTTTGTGGATTCACGTCTGTCTGTCCTCTGTCTGTCACTGCCAGATCTCATGAAAGCTTAACAGTCCCATCAGTCTGCCTCCTCCTCGAGGGAGTTCAGCGTGTGCTCCTTCCAGCACTGAAGGATCAGGTCCTCATGCTGAGGGATTTAGGGTTTAGGGTTTTAGGGTTTAGGGGTTTAGGGGTTTAGGGTTCGGGTTTACGTAGGGTTTAGGGTTTAGGGTTTGGGGTTTAAGGTTTAGGGTTTAGGGTTAGGGTTTAGGGTTAGGGTTTAGGGTTTAGGGTCTGTGGGTTAAGTTCCAGGGCTTTGGGTTGAGGGACTTGAGAAAACGGCCTGAGGTACAACCATCAAAGGCGGCTCAACCGGTAGGCGCGATGAACACTGCACGCGGACCTAGCCATAAATTGATAGAAAAAATCAACTACGTACGCCATGGCAATGAAAGCAATAAGACCTGAGGGCCTGCGAATAGCATCATCAGCGCATCACGAACGATGTTAATTCCAGCTCTCTCTTAAGAGTAGTCGGGTTTAAGGCTTAGGGTTGAGGAGTTGGGCTTTGGGCCTTTATCCGCCCGACCCCACCCCCCGCGACACTCCAGACAAAACCAAGCCCAAACCCAACACGAAACCTGAATCCCAAATCATACATGTGCAACATCGAAGCATGAACCCAAAACCCTACGCCCTCAACCCGGAAAACGAAGCGCTGAAGCCTTAAACTTAATGCCTAATCCCAAAAGCCGCTAAACCACTAATCACCAATCCTAAACTCGAAATCTATTAACGCTCAACCCTAAACCCCTTGATTAACGGAACGCTGAAAGGAACCCTAAACCCTAATTCCAAAAGCCCCCCAGCACCCAAAGGGCTCCTCCCTCACTTCTTCGCCGCTTCTTGGCGCACTTACCCTCGATGCTTCTTCGCCTCGAAACGGCTCGGTTGAGAGGGTCGAGGGCGCCGTTGCAAAAGCCTTCCACGTGTGTATGTGCATGTGCATGTGCATGTGCATGCATACGCATGTGTGTGTGTATATATATATATATGCATATATCTATATATATATATATATATATATATATATATATATATATATAGAGAGAGAGAGAGTATGTATACCGGCATGTGTGTATATAAATATATGTGCATGTCTGTAGATATGTATATATATATGTATATGTATATAATATATACACACATGCCCCAAACACATATGTTTACATATGTATGTGTGCATGTATGTATGTACGTAGGTAGGTATGTATGTATGTGTATGTATATGCGCATCTATGTCTATGTACATCTACGTGTGCAAAAACTTACATAGGTATCTCACTAGATGTATTTAGCTGAACCTTCTTTTAACGAATCATATACAACAACCTATAAGGATTTGTGCGTACATATATATATATATATATATACATATATATATATATATATATATATATACACTTATTGATTATACGTATATACATAAACCAGTGTGTACGCACACATAAACATTTACCTATACATATGGGTGGGGGTTTTCTCAGACAAGTTTTTGGAAGGGTTCGTTAGAAAGGTCGTGCATTTGCGGATAACTCTAACTGCCGCGTGTGCCTGTGTATAGGAAATAATCTGTGCTGCAGGCAGAATGTAGGGGCCTGAACAATGTGAACCAAGGATTTGGGGTGCAATCTAGTACAATTACAGATTACCGGAGAGACTCTGCATGGAGCATGCCATCACTAACGTATTCAGACCCCAAACTCTCAACCCTCGTAAACCCCGACAATTCTGCAAACGCCCTTTATGTGGTGTAGAAAATTAAGGGCGCCGCTGAGGTAATCAAGCTTCTCGGACAGCAATCGCCAAGCCCTGGCACCGCGGTGACCCGAATGGTTGTTGGTCGTCTTTGCTTCCTTGAAGAGTTCAATGCTCACTACGGGTCAAGGATTCATTGCCGAACTACAGCTTCGAAGCTTAGCATTGCATGTTGCCGAGTGTGTATATGCACGTGTACATGTACATATTCATGTTCATGTTCATGCAGAGACAACTTTACATATGCATGTTCAGCTGCATACTCATACTCATATGCTTATGAAGAGTCACATGCATACGCATACTCGTATACGTGGTCATATTCATAAAGGTATGCATACACATGCTCGCATGCAAAAAACATAGCATAGCCTAGCATTGCGTTGCATATGATAGTATAGAAAAGAGCAGCACAGCACAGCGCAGCACTGCAGAGGATAGTATAGCGTATGCGTGCGCACGGGTACATATGCACAGACAATCTAAGTATCTTTGCAGACTTGCAGATGCCGCCAATATTGCTCCCAGAAGCTTTTCTGCTGCAAGTCTTGAGATTTGGCGTTGCCCTTAACAACTTATCTGTTGTCTGTTATGTTCAGTAGTGACTTTTCCTGTCCGTTACTACTAACTACTATTTCTGGTCAAGAGTTTCACACAAACACACAACCCCATGCATACGTGCACGCGTGCATATGTGTGGCACACACTTGCCAATTGCCTCTATCATCTTCTATCCTAGGTGATCCCCAGCGAGATACTTCCTGCGGTGACATCGCGCACCTGACTACAGCGAACATATACACACAGGCCTAAACACACAAGCATCTCATGTCGGGATGAGGACACAAAGCTTTGAACACGACGGACAGAATCAGAATCGTGGGCCAGGATGCTTAGAACGACTCATATTGTCGGGTTCAGGGTGCAGGACTAAGATTGCGGGTCTCATTTTGGGTTTAAAGACCATATCTAGACCTGCTGAACAAGCCAGAGCCGCGATGTACTTGCTGTGTGTCGTTGGTCCTTCGCGGAGGGGGGGGGCAACTAAAGGCACTTAAATCCCTATTCCCGACATCCGGAACCCTAAACCCTATAACCCACACACTTGAAACCTTAAAGCCCCATTTTTTCCCTTAATCCCAAACCCTAAACCCTACAAAGCCTCAAGCTTAAAACCTTAAAACCCGTTTCCCTAAATCCCGAGCCTTAAAGTAACCTTAAAGTAACTTAAAGCCCTACTCCTCTAAATCCCGAACCCCAGACCCTGCAAACCATGACCCTGCAAAACCTTGAAGCCCTATTCCCCTATGAGCCCTAGTACATTACTTGGGGGGTCGGGGGACTTAGTAAGTAGTTAGTAAGTAGACTTATAAGTACCCTAAAAGGGACCCTAATTGGGGTTATGGTACTTATAAGTCCCTAAAATAACCAGTTACTAAGTCCCCCGACCCTCCAAGTAGAGCCTTAAAGAGCCCCATTCCCTAAGTCCAGAACCCTAAACCCTACAAACCCTGACGCTTGCAACCTCAAAGCAGCCCCTACTTCCCCAATAAGCCACAGGAATGAAAGGTTCAACTTTCCGGTTCCTACTAAAACCACAAGAACCCAAAAAGTTTAAAGGTTTGGGTATTGGGGATCTAAGATTAAGGCCGATTAAGGCCCCGATATCACAGTACCCTTATAGATCCCTTGTAGTAGCCCTTATAAATAGACCCCTTTAAAAGGAACCTATTCCAAATATTAAGGCCCCTATTGGGGATCTAACCCTACAAAACCCCTAAACCCTGAACCCTAAAACCCCTAAACCCTACACCACTAAACCCTAAACCCTAAACCCTAAAGCCTAAACCCTCGAGACTCCGGACCTCGAGATGATCCGGGGTCGCCTCCGTGTGGCACAAGAAGCACCTGGTTTCCCAGACCCCCGCAAAAATCCAAGAAGTAGATGGCAGTTTCTGAAAATAGGGGTACCTTATTTAGGGGTCCTTATAATAAGGATCCTACTATTTAAGGTACTGTATTAGGGTCCCCTATTTTCGGAAACTCCCAGATCCCGTCCTATAAAGTGCCCTTAATAGTATAGGGCCCCAAATTAGGGGATCTACTTTCTAGATCCTCCCGGGAGTCTGATTTGGGGGTGGCTGTGTTTTTGAGGGGCTTCTCCAAGGGGGGCCCTTTAAGGGTTCCTTTAAGGGCTGGGCTTGGTGAGCGTTCATATGAGGCTCCAAAAAGGATTCTATCAACTTTTCTTCGTTTAGGCACTTCAGGCTTTCAGGTTCTGGTGGTTTTGGGCAAATGAAAAGACGCTCGATAAGGTTTCGATAGGTGGGCCACAAGAAGGATCCCCCACATCCCCCAATACCCTAAATAAATTATAATAGGATCCTGAAGATGACTTAATCCTTGACCTTTTGCGCCGAACCGGAACCACAAGATTTAGATCAACAAGGCTTATATGAAAAGAACCCCAAACCTTGTTTTTGTTAGTGTTTGGCTTTATTTGTCTTTAAAAGTTCTTAAGTTAAGGAATATGCGAGTATTACTTGTGGCCCGAAACCCCTACCTTCTAAAGAACTCTGTATAGAAGACATAAGGCAAATCGCTCGGCCAGCCTAAGCCCTATAAATCCTGAACCCTAAACCCCGGAAGCCCGAAACCCTAAACCCCTTGAACCCTAAACCCTAAACCCTAAACAAATCCCTTAAGCCCTGAACCCTTCAACCCTGTTCCCTAAACCCTAAACCCCTTTGACCCTAAACCCTAAACAAATCCCTTAAGCCCCGAACCCTTCAACCCTGTTCCCAAAAAACCCAAACCCCTTCAACCCTAAACCCTAAACACCATTCCATAAACCCTAATCAGATGGGTTGTTGTCAAAATTATGGCCCCTTTTTGGGAACCCTCTTTCCCCTACTTAAGCAACTTTCTGAACCAGCGCCCTTTTTGAGACTCACGGGAGTACCTGGGAGTTCCCGAAAATAGGGGACCCTAACGTAGTACCTCAAATAGTGTTTAGGGTTATAGGGTTTAGGAAAATCATCAGGATCGTAAGGTTTCGGAATTTAGGGTTTTGGGTTTGGGGGTGTGAAGGTATTTAAGGTGTAGGATTGGTAGACTTCGGTCCTAAACTCTAAACCCTAATCCCTAAACCCTAAACCCTAAACCCTGAACCCTAAACCCTAATCCCTAAACCCTAAACCCTAATCCCTAAACCCTAAACCCTAATCCCTAAACCCTAAACCCTAAATCCCTAAACCCTAAACCCTAAACCCCTAAACCCTAAACCCTAAATCCCTAAACCCTAAACCCTAAATCCTAAACCCTAAATCCCTAAACCCTAAACCCCCGAGGCACAGGCCACTTCCTGGAGTCAGACCACTCCTGGACGTACCTTGGCGGGACAAGGCCAAAGGGTTTAGTGTTCAGGGTTAAGGGGCTTAAGGGTTTACGGGTTTAGGGGTTTAGGGGCTTTAAGGAAGGGTTTTTGCGGTTTAGGATTTAGGCCCAAAAACGTGCGAAGATCATCGGGATCTTATGGTTTTGTGTTTTAAGCGCCTCTTTTCCAACTCGCAGGCTGAAATCCCAGGTCGGGAAGGCATGCGTGGGCAATTAACTACAGGATCTTAAGGTTCAGGGCTTGGGATTTTCAGTTTAGGGGTTAGGGCTTCTGGCGTTCGTTGTCTTGCGCACTTTGAACCTGCCCTTTAGGCCCTGAACTCGAAACTACTTCACCCTCGACCGGGCCAAAACGGACGACGCCAAAAAGGTATCCTGAGCCCCGCAACACCCCTCAATCGAAACCCTACACCCTAAACCCTGAAGCTTACTTCCTAAATTTATCCTAAACCCCCCCCACAAAAAAAAAACCTAAACCCTAAATCTTCAATCTGACCTTAGACTAACCCCTGAAGCCTCAAATCCTAAACCCTAAACCCCCAACCCTAAACCCTAAACCCCTTAGACTGGAAGGCACGCACGCAACCAAGCGGCACACAGCTTCCCGGAGGCCTTGGCAGGGATGGGTCGTCTGCTTAGGGTTTAGGGGTTGAGGGGCTTTGGGTTTAGGGGCTTGGGATTTACGGGCTTTCGGTTTAGGGGTTTAGGGAATTAGGGGATTAGGGGCCTAGGGTCTACAGGGAACTCCAGAAAGTTGGAATATGGCTTCATGGTAGGATACCCTATAATTTACCATAGAAGGGTTAGGATAGTCATATTCCAACTTTCTGGCTTTTACCTTAGGGGTTGGGGGTTAGGGTTTTAGGGTGGAGGGCGGTCGTCTGCGAGGGGGGGCCTCGGGGTTTCAGCGGCTGCGAGGTTTGGGTTTGGGGTTTAGGGCTTAGGGCTTAGGGTTTAGGGTTTAGGGTTTAGGGTTTAGGGCTTAGGGTTTAGGGTTTAGGGTTTAGGGCTAAAGCTTCGGAGTTTGGTGGTTGAGGTTGGAGGGCGCAGGGGTTTGGGTTCAAGGATTTTATATTTCGGGTTTCGGGTGTAGGGCTTTCACCCAGACTCCCGGAAGGATCTAGAAAGTAGATCCCCTAATTTGGGGCCCTGCAGTGCTAAAGGGTACTTTATAGGAACCCCCATTAAGGGATCTACTTTTTGTATCCTTCCGGGGGTCTAGGAAGGGATGAAGGTGTGGGACTTAGGATTATCTTCCTTGGGCTTGGTGTTTTGTGGTCATGAATTTGGACTTTCAGGGCATCTTGGGGCTGAAACGATGTTGCCAAGAAATGATAGACTCTAATCTGAACCTGGGCAATCCCAAGATGAGGGTTGCAGGTCAGGAGTTTAGGATGGCTTGAAATATCAGGCGACTTCGAAAGCTGGGTTATGGTCTGCTAAAATCCGGCACCGGCACTTGTAACTTCGATGTCTAACCCTCATCCAAGCACGAGTAAGGAACTTATACTAACCATGAATTTTCAAGTCTTCCCGCAAACCCAAACCCCCCCCTCAACCAAAACAAAGCCATGCCGACTTAGGCTATATACAAACATTTAGAACCACCTGAATTGGGGGGGGGGGGTATGATGTAGAAAAAAAAGTGTTGTTTGAATCAAGCCAGCCCACCCATGAATGAAGTTCCCTGATCCTCCCTATACCCTTAACCCGAAATTACCCGAAACCCCTAAACACCAAACCCCTGAAGCCCTAATTAAAAGCCCACCTTCAACCCCCAAAACCCGAAACCCAAACCTCTAAAGCCTAACCCCAAAGCTCTCAATATTTAGACCCGTCTGAGTGGTCCCGGCGCAGGCTGCAGCCCTGCCACAGGCTCTGGCCAAGGGCGTGCTGGCGGGTCAGCATCCTGCCAAGAAGCGAAAGAAGGCAACCCTGACAGGAACACTAAACCGTACAACCTACCTTTCAGGGAAACCTGAACGCTAATGGAACCCCTACGTGTTGGGAGGAGGGAGCACGTGGGCAGCCTAAGGGGTTTGGGTTTGAGGGTTTAGAGTTCAGAGCACTCTGAAAAGTTGTATTCGGATTGTGTAGGGCCTAGGGATTTATTGGGGTTGTATAAGGTGCCACCATCGAATTGATTCGATCGGGGATCAAACCAGTGCTAAGTCCTAACCGCATTTAAAGTGCTAACTCTCGACCGTAACCAAGTACTTCATGCCGCGGCGAACAACGGATCAACATAGCGGCCTGACCTATACATGAACATGCTCGATCTTGCCATTAATGTCTCCAGCCAAAGACCAATAGACCCTCCCAGTAAAGCAAGCACATGCGGCCTGTATCGTCCCTCTGAGAGAACTAACCTTCGGGCCCCCTCGACGCAGCTCTTCTCGTCGCGACGACGCGGAAGCCATTGAAACGAGCATACCACTTGTCTAGTTCATGGTTGGGATAGGATTGAACATTTACATGTTTATTCCTTCTTGAGATTAAGTGCCCATAAACATGTAAAATGTTACCCAACTATGACACAGTTGTAGCAGCAGAGCTAGGGCAGCTTCAGAATCGTCTGGCCTTGAACCCTGAACCCAAACAAAATCCTATGTGTCATTGAAGCGCTATCCAGATGCCCGGCATCCTGCTCCGGCCAGAACCACTGGTTTCCGTCAGAACTGCAGAAGTAGTCCAGCGGCTTATCTCAGGGAGCGCCGAGTAATAAGTGGAACAGGGTTTGGCGGTACATTATAGTATTTGAATGTCAGCGTTGGTTCGATTGTTTTACATAGCCCGGGCAATCATCGTCCCTGTCCGTACATAAGCGTAACTATGGGCTGGGACTGCACTCACCCGTGGGTCTACAGCAAGCAAAGCATTTCAATGCAGATGAACTGCCGCGCACCACATCTAGACATGCTGCAACCCTCTGGCAAGGCTCCAGTCTACCTTGGCTGACTTCTGAACCCCTCCTAAAAGTTAAACTTTTAGCATCCTTAACATAGTCAATATAGAAACCCTAAAAAGTTAAAGTCCTAAGAGGCAGCCAGAAGACCGCCAAGCTACTGTGGCTTCGAGGGCAGTTCGCTTCCTGAGCTCCGCACAGCTGCTCGATTGCCTCGCATGATTCAATGACTCAGGTTTAGGGTTGAGGGTCTCGGTGTTTAGGGTTTAGCTTCACCCCGAATAACCTACCATTTTAAGGACTTATATAAATTCAAATCATATTCGGAAACCCTGAAAAGGTAGATTATTTGGGGTTTAGGTACGGTTTAGACTCGCATGCAACACAGAACTGCATCTGCCCAAGAATGAGCCAACCACGATAGCCTTCGAGGCTTAAGGCCCAACCCTCAGGACTAGTTCATGGTTGGGACCGGATGAAAAATATACATTTTTATTCCTAAGTCCCCATAAAAATGTAAAATTTTACTCAACTGTGACAAAGAGGAGAGCTTTTGGCTCAAGCCCGGGGAATTCAGGGCCACAGTGGAGCTTGTTGGCAACTACTCTGCCGACAAGTGCGAGTCTCAGAGTCCCTCTTGGGTTCTTGTAGGGATGAATCACAGGTGCCCCTTTTCTACATACTGAGATCGTATCCTTAGCCGGCGCAAATCATTGTCTTGATCTGATCCTCTCAAAGTCCTTAAGAGGCGCTCGTGAATCCCGTTCTGAAGCGTAGCCTTTTGCACCGTGAAGTCTTACGACTGAGCACTGAACCTTAGACCCTAAACTGTAGAGGAAGCCCCAAATACCTAAACCCTAGGCCCTGACACCTGAGCCTTCAAAGCACCCTATATAAACCCCAAACACCAAGCCCCAAGCCCCAAGCCTAAACCGCAGACCCTAAACCATAAACCCCAAACCTCAAACCCAAAACCCCAAGCCCCAAACCCTAAAACCCCGAAATACTGAACCCCAACAGCTGGTGGCCTTCGACGCCAACCACTCGGCAGGTTCGGCTCGAGGTTCACGAAGTTTGCCTTGAGATTTGGGAGTTTCCGAAAATAGGGGACCCTAATATAGCACCCTAAATAGTATGATCCTTATTATAGAGACACCAGATAAGGTACGCCTAATCTTCGGAAACTCTAAACCCTAAATCCTAAACCCTTTATAGAACCCTTTTAGATCCCTTTAAGGATCCCTTTAGAGGTACCCCTAACTTTCCGAAGAGATTTCTTGGAGTTCGTTGCTTTGCTTTGTGTTGCTGTGGCTCTCGACCGGGGAGCCTACTACAGGGGCCTTAATAATTAGAATAAGGTTCCCTTTTAAAGGGGTCTATATAAGGGTTGCTATAAGGGATCTATAAGGGTGCTATAAGATAGGGGCCTCGATAGTTGGAATAAGATTATGGGGTATCTTATACTATAATGATGTCATCATAAGGAACCCCCACAAATAGTTTTGGTACTTATTTAAAGCCCCTATGGTACCGTATCCGTCCAAGGACCTCAGAGTTAGAACCCTAGACCGCATAAGGACCCCATAATAAGGTCCCTGGAGGCATGAGGCTATCGTAGGATTGAGGTCTTGGGTTGGCCTTTCACGTTTCGGGTGATTTCTTTGAGGTTCCACTCAAGCTTTCGGGGCGGCTATCCCCTAAACCTTAAACCCCTAAACCCCGAAACCCTAAGCCCTTTGTGAGGTTCTGGCTTTGTTGGATCAGGGGCCTCCTGAGGCTTCTGGAAGTTGGGGGCCTTGAGAGATGGTGGTTTGGGGGTGTAGGGCTGAGGGTTTAGGGAGGAGGACTGAGGGTTTGGGGTTATGGGGTTGGCCTAAGGGGCTTGGGGTTCGGGGTTCGGTTGTGTTTGCCCTTTTGGGTTTCTATTTATTGCGGGTTTGGGGATTCAAATCTCGGGCCGTCGGCTGTGAGTTTGGTGTTCAGAGTCTTCGGCATGACGGCTTGGGTGCTGCATTGAGGATCTACGGATTTGGGAAGAAGGTAGCGCGATGTTCTGTGGCTTCGTCCAGCTATTTCGTGGTTCAGGGCATGGGATCCTGAAATGGGATGGTTTTGGTGGTTTGGTGGTTGTGTGATCCACGCATGTTCGAATTATTTTCCTGGTGTGCCAGTGTAACCAGAAACGTACGAGTTTGTTTCGGTATCACGCACCCATCCTTGAATCCTAACATCTACACCCCAAGCCGAAACAAAAACCTGCCCTAAATACTGAATCGTGAAGAAAGACCTCAGCTGTACATAGAAAAGCTCCTGACGCCCCTGAAAATAACAGACTCGGCGCCTGTCCCTCGAGGAGGCGGTCGGCAATGCCTGCCGAAGCCACATGGGGTTTAGGGTTTAGGGATACTTTAACCCCAAGTAACCTACTTTTTAAGGACTTATATAAAGAAATCATATTACGGAACCCTAAAAAGGCAGGTTTCTCAGGGTTTAAGGATAGGACGAAGGCTCTTTCTCTCTGCGGAGCCAACTTTTTGAAGGGTCTTTGTGGTCGTCTTGAGGTTCGGAAGTTCTGCAGTTTCAGCTTTCTTTCACTATGCTCCAGAGGCAAGCTATCAGTGAGAACTCTAAACCCCCAGTCCTGAACCCTAAACCCCAAACCACCTATCAGTCAGAACTCTAACCCTTAGTCACTTAGTCCTAAACCCCTAAACCTAAAATCCAGGATTTAGACGACCACACATATTGCAACAAAGCCTCAAGACCCCAAAAGCAACTGAATGGTTCAGTGTTTCAATGAAGATTTACTGAGTCTACTGTAGGACCTTATACCGTATGAACCGGAAAAGCCCAAATCCAAGCTCCACAAGCTCCAAAACCCTTAAACCCTGAACCCCAAATCCATAATCCTTATATAACCTCTAAACACTAAACCAAAAATCCCTAAACCCTGAACCCAAAACTCCTAAACCCAACCCCTAAACCCGAAATCCCTAATCCCTAAACCCCAAAATCCCAAACTGGCGGAGAGACCCCGGCCTGGAGGCAGCCCGATGCCTTTCATCAAAACATGAGAGGCCCGATGCATATATGTTTGTGTAACCGTTCTATGTGCATATATATATATATATATACACGTACATATACATATATATATATATACACATGCATGCATGCATGCATGCATACATACATACATGTGCACCTATGTGTGTGTGTATATATATATATACATACAAGACACGTGTATCGCTACAGCCGTTTCAAGAGCACTCAGCACAAGCCGCCACCAACACAAACATTGGTAAACGAGTTCGAGATGAAAATGCACTACCACTACGACGATGCCGACGACGCCAACTACTCTTCATACGACCTGCAGGTGTGATCTGCTCCTGAGCCGACCCAAACTTCACCCTAAACCGTAACCCCGAAACCCTACACCCTGGAACCCCTAAACCCTAAACCCCACACCCCTAAACCCCTAAACCCCCTAAAACCCCTAAAACCCCTAAACTCCCTAAAACCCCTAAATCCCCTAAACCCTAAACCCCTAAAACCCCTAAAATCCCTAAACCCCTAAATCAGACGAGGAACCGTCAAGGAGTTGCGGCCGCTGTGCGAGCTCCCGAAGTCGGTGAAGGCGGTGGCCTGCTGTTTTTTTCTGCCTTGGGTTTAGGGTTTAGGGTTTAGGGTGGTTTAGGGTTGAAGGTTTACAGGCTTTAGGGCTTGGGTTTAGGGCTTAGGGTTTAGGGTTTAGGGTTTGGGCTTTAGGGCTCAGCCTTGGGTTTAGGGTTTAGGCTTTAGGGCTCAGCCTAGGGCTTAGGGTTTTAGGGTTAAGGGTTTAGGGTTTAGGGTTTAGCGTTTAGGGTTTAGGTTCTAGGGTTTAGGGTTTGGGCTTTCGGGCTCAGCCTAGGGCTTAGGGTTTTAGGGTTGAGGGTTTAGCGTTTAGGGTTTAGGTTTTAGGGTTTAAGGTTTAGGGCTCAGCCTTGGGTTTAGGTTTTTGGGTTTTGGGTTTAGGGTGGTTTAGGGTTTAAATTTGAGGCTTTAGGGTGGTTTAGGTTTGGGAAGGATTTACGAAGTGGGGGTTTGGGGCTTCTTACTTCCCCAATAAGCCACAGAAATGAAAGGTTAAACTTTTCCGGTCCATACTGAACCATAAGAACTCAAAAAGTTTAAAAAGGTTGGTCATTGGGGATCTATTGTTTTCAGGCTTAGAGTTTTGGAGTTTAAGCCTTCGGGGGTTCAGCCTTGGGAGTTTGGCGATTAGAGCTTTAGGGTTGAGGGTGTAGGGATTGATTAGGGGTTTTGGGTTTAGGGATTAATGTTTAGGGTTTCAGGTTTTGGGTTTAGGCATTAAGGGTTTAGGTTTTTTGAGATGAGGGTTTTGATTGATTAGGGGTTTAGGGCTTTAGGTTTAGGGTTTAGGGTTTAGGGATTAGGGATCACGGGTTAAGGGTTTAGGTTTCTTTGGGATCTGAGGGTTCTCGAGTTTAGGCCTCAGGCTTCTGAGGATCCACCTTATCATCGTTCAATCCCCAGAAGTCCTTGTCAACAATCACATCAGATGTGCCATCCTTTCAATGACGCTCCGTTTCTCTCTCGCCTGTCAATCGCTTTTCATCAACAGGCAATGTGCCTCGGAGGTATCTGAATCCCATCAGGTACTGGCGTGGTTTCACATGAAAACGAACTAACACGTTCTTGTCTTCGGCAGCCTGCCCATCTGTACTCTTCAGTCAACCTCATTGACCTGTCTGGCCTGGGGGGCTTGAAGCGGCTGTAGGGCTCCCAGTCTGGCAGGCCTCCCTTCCCAACCATGCTGATACTGGCAAACGGCACTCCATAGTGGAAGCGTTCGTGGAGCCGTGGTGTCGATGGTGTCGTGGTCGGGTGACGCCAGATACCCTGCAACGGGACAGGTGGCATTTGGAACCCAGGCCGGTGCCAAACAGACCTAGACCTAAGAGCAACCTAGGAATAAAAAGTGTGCGCTTTTTGGGTTAAAGGGGGTCATAAGGGAAAATAAACTACACTGCACTTAGAACCCTAGCAAAAATTGTAATTTCAGCTGTTTCTTAGGAATTATAGTAACCAAAAGTTAAATTTGTTCTAAGTACCCCTAAGTAAACCCTGAAAAAGGGAATAAGGGCCTGGGTCCTAGAGACTCAGAGCTCCGAAACCGGGCCTTGCTTCAGGAGGGCGATGACGCCTGCACGGGGACAACCATTCCAGTCACAATGTTCATAGTATAGGGGCCTTCATAATTCGAATAGTATAAGGGTTACTATAAGGGATCTATAAGGGTACTATAAAATAGGGGCCTTTATAGTTAGAATAATTTTTTGGGGCCCATGATACTATACTTATAATAAGGAATCCCCCGAAACACTATAGGTCATTGTTGAGGCCCCTATAGTAGCTTGTCAGCACATCATCGACGAGATAAAGCCAAGCCTGCGTCAACACAGGATTCCTGTCATGTTCATGTCGACTGCCTTCTGCCTGTCGATGTACTGCCCCCGCCCTACAATACAAATAGGTTCCGCACCTGGAGGATTCCCCCTAAACCCTAGGCCCTACCTATAGTCTCCATTGTAGTTCCTTTTGTGGGTTTCCTTATAGGATCCTTAATATATATTTGGTTAAACCTAAAAAAAGGAACTACCATGGAGACTATAGGTAAAACTGGAGTCTCAAGTTCGTCATATCCAAGCTTTGTCCCCCCTCAAGCACATATGCCGAAGCGTACTTCCCAAGTCCCAAACCTGCAAATGAACCCTCACAGACGCCAAACACCTTGAGTTTCAGGAACTGCGGGAAAGCTCGGAAAACCAGTCTCCACATCCTAGCACAGTGTCCTAAACCGAAACCAACAATTCTAAGCCCTCAACGAACACCTAAAATCACTAGAATCACTAGAACACCGCAAGCTCTAGAGCCCTGCATTCCTGACACCCCGCCCACACCCTTAAGCCCTAGTTGGGTGGTTGTCAAAATTATGGTCCTTTTTTGTGGTACCCCGAATATTAGGTGCCGTATAATAATACGGACCTAACAAGGGACCCTAATTTTGACAACCACCCAGTTAAAACACTGGAAACAACAGAAACCTGGAAATCCCACAGACCTGAGACTGGAAACCTTTCAAACCCTAGAAACCTTAGAAGGCTTGGATTACTGAAACCCGGCCGCGAACCCTACAAACCCCAGAAACCCTAGAAACACCAGAAACCCAGAAATCCTGGAAGCCCTGGAAACCCTGGAACGCTAGAAGCCCTTGAAATCCTGGAAACCCTGAACACTGCAACTTAGTTGCTGAGTTCTTGAGCCCCCAAAAGTGTACACTTTTGTTTTATAGTGGGTAATATTATCCCAAAAAGTGTAAAGTGTATCCACTAAGCTACTAACTTATCTTTGGTTAGTAGGGAATTTAGTAATGGGGTACAAGTATAACTACTACTACTACTACTACTACTACTACTACTACTACTACTACTACTACTGCTACTACTACCATTCTTCCATTCCCTTCTAACCAAAGGTAAGCTATAGGATGATCAAGGCCCCTGATATTATAGTACTCTTATAGATCCCTTATAGTAACCCTTATAGACCCCTTTATAAGGAATTCTGGCAAAGCCTTGAGCCAAGAAGATCCCCGGTCACAGGGCCCTGGCCGTCCGGGATGTTTAGCAGTCCTGGGCTTCCAACAGCTGCAGCTTCATGAGTCTGGGTTTAAGGTTTGGGCTTTATGAGTTTGGGTTTAAGGTTTTTGGGCTTTAGGGAGTTTAGGGTCTAGGGTTTGGGCTTTAAGAGTTTGGGTTTAAGTTCTTTTTGTGCTTTAGGGAGTTTAGGGTTTAAGGTTTGGGCTTTAGGGAGTTTAGGGTTTAAGGTTTGGGCTTTAGGGAGTTTAGGGTTTAAGGTTTGGGCTTTAGGGAGTGTAGGATTTTAGGGTTTGGGCTTTAGGGAGTGTAGGATTTTAGGGTTTGGGCTTTAGGGAGTTTAGGGTTTAGGGCTTGGGCTTTAGAGAGTTGAGGTGTAGGGCTTGGGGTTTAGGTTTTGGGGCCCGAAAAACTAAACCGAAGGGCCCGGAAGGACATCGTCCACTGGCCAGACAAAGAAGATTACGCACCCTAGCACTGACCCCAAATAGCAGAAACCGTGTCATGAAGGACATCTATATGGGTAGTTGTCAAGATTATGGCCCTTTTTGGGTACCCTAAATGATAGGTGCCGTCTTATATATAATAGGGACCCAAAAAGGGACCAGAATTTTGACAACCACCCACATAGATGAAGCCCCTGTGATGTGCGGGCCGGGGGCCGATCCCAGAAACCTTACTATGGGGTCCTTAAGGGGTCTAGGGCACCAAGTATGAGGTCCTTGGAGGGATAGGGTTAAGGTTTGGAGTTTAGGGCTACACTTACTCACGCATGCTTGGATGAGTATACAAGTACGCATGTATGCATGCATTTGTGCATGTGATTCCGTATAAGTGCGCGCATGCTCGCATGCACAAGGAAGTAAGTGTGTGTACACATGTATGTATGTACGCATACATGTACGTATGTGGGTGTATGTATGTAAGAAGGCAAGTAGGCCTGATGCCTGCAATTAGTGATGCATGCTTGCATCTGCTTCTGTCTGCACGCATGTATGTATGGCTGGTTGGCTGGTTGGCTGGTTGGATGGTTGGCTGGTTGGCTGGTTGGCTGGTTGGCTGGTTGGCTGGTTGGCTGGTTGGTTGGTTGACTGATGGATTCATTGATTGATTGGCTGCCTGGCTGGCTGCCTGGCTGGCTTACTGATTGATGGGTTGACTGATTGACTGATGCTAATTTTACATGTAAAATAAATTAGCTGTGGCATCCGCCTGCATGATTAACAAACTGCAATACCTCCTTTGCATTTGTATAAGCATATACTATATATGTGTATATATATATGCACACACATACACACAGGTTCACACCTAACCTCTGTCTGAACCCAGAAATCTGCATCTGTACTTGGAGGGTCGGTGGGCTTAGTAAGTAGGTAGTAAGTAGACTTATAAGTACCCTAACAGGGACCCTAATTGGGGTTACGGTACTTATAAGTCCCTATCTCGACAGAGAGATGCCTTAATGATTACAGCAGTGCCTAGGGCTTTGGAAACATTCCTTAAACCACTCAGGCCCTACTTGGAGGGGCAGGGGACTTAGTAAGTAGGTTATAAGTAGAGATATAAGTACCCTAAATGGAGTTACCCCAATTATAACCCTACTTATAACCTACTTACTAAGTCGCCTGCCCCTCTAAGTATATTAGGTGCAGCTGCGAGGCCAAGGCGGCGGCGGAGTTCCACAAGACGCCCCTGGTGCTCCTGGCGAACGACTTTGCTGCGCTCCCTCCCGCCCCGAACTCCGATAACTTAATCGACTAAGGGTTTGGGGTTTAGGGTTTGGGGTTTAGGGTTTAGGGTTCAGGGTGTTTCAAACCATAAACCTGCTGAAACAGACTAGCAAACCATTAAACGCACAACGCTGAACGCTACATTCTATAGGTAAACATCATAAAGCCCACAAGCATCTAGTGATGCCCCAGAAAGCCCATAAACCCTAAACCCTAAACCTTAAGCCATTATCAGGATGAACACCTCGACACCCTCCAAGTCGATATTATTTTTCTCCTATTTAACCTATGTTCTCTTTGTTCCTAGTTTTCCTATGTTTTCCTACATCTCCTATTTTGCTACTATGCTATTCCTATGTCTCTCTTAGTTCTCTCATGTTGTTCCTCTTTTTCTCTTATGTTATTCTATGTTCTCAGTTTTCCGTTTTTTGCTGGGTGTGTTCTACATTCCCTACTTTTATCCTATGTTATTCTCCTATTTTTCTCCTACGTTATTCTATTTTCTCTATTTTCATATTGTTCCTAGGTTTTTCCTATATTTCCTAGTTTTCTCCTATTGTGTTCCTATTTTTTTCTGCTATTTCCTATACAACCCTTAAGTATTTTCTATTTCTCTCCTACTTCTGGAAATCATGGTTTCTCCACACTGAGCACTCCTGAGATTGACATAACCCTACTCCCTAAAAGCCAGCAGAAACCCTCACCCGAACCCTAAGGATGAAATCCTAAGCCCTTAAAACTCAACCCTGAGCCCTTCAGGCTACCTAGAGCCCCCAACTCATAAGGGCTCTATTAAAGGGTGCTTGGGGGGGGTCCTGGTAAGCCCGAAATCCTGAAAAGCGCAAGCCTTAAATCCCGAAACCCCAGACCCTGAACCCAGAACCCCTAAACCCCAAACCCTAAATCCCTAAACCCTAAATCCCTAAACCCCTAAATCCTAAACCCCAAATCCCTAAACCCCTTTATAAAACCCTTATAGATCCCTTTAAAGGAACCCTTATAGACCCCTTTAAAGGAACCCTTCACCCTAAATCCAGGGTCGCCTGGAAAGCCTTGAAGGCTTCCTGCGCCTCTGCCAGCCAGGGCTGGCAGGCGGCCTGGAAAAAGTTCAAGAGCTTCCTTCCTTTCAGGGTCTTGAGGGTTTAGGGGGTTTAGGGATTTAGGGTTTAGGGGGTTTAGGGAGTTAGGGGTTAGGAGTTCAGAGTTTAGTTCAGGGTTTAGGGGTTCAGTGTTTAGGGTTTAGGGTTTAGGGTTGTGGGTTTACTTGGAGGATCATGGGACTTAGTAAGTAAGGTTATAAGTACCCTAACTGGGGTTATAAGTATAGTTACCCTAATTATAACCCTAGTTACTAAGTCCCATGATCCTTCAAGTAGGGTTGAGGGTTTAGGGTTGAGGGTTTGCGGTTGAAGGGTGCCTTGAAGCGGAGCATAGCAGTAGTTTACGGTATAGTTGGCACTGATGCCACGAGGCTCAGGAGAAAAATGAATCCGCAGAGCTTTTTTCCGGCCAGACTTAGGGTTCAAGGTCTTGAGGGTTTACGGTTGAGGGTGTAGGGTTTAGGGTTGAAGGCTTATTCAGGGCTAGGGTTTAGTCTTCAGGTTTAGGGTTTGGCATACCACAATGTTTCGGAAAGCCGTCATGGGGCTTAAGATCCCGGGCTTCGCATCTAGGGTTTCAGCGATTTGTGTTCGGGGTCGAGGGTCTGGCGGTACAGGGTTTAGGCCTTAGTTCGTTCAGTTCAGGGTTTGGGGTTCAGGGCCTAGGGCTCGTACAGGGGATTTTGAGCTTAGGGTTTAGGGTTTGGGGCGGGTGTATTATGGTTGACTGAGGATCTTTGGATAGGTGTCTATGTCGAGATCCCGTCTTGTACCACAGTGGAAAGGCGCAAGAACCAGATATCAGACTCAAGACATCTAGCAAAGGGTGAAGTTCTCCAAACTAGGGTCCCTTTGATGAGGATCGTATTTTTTAGGGTGCTGCACTATTTCGGGGATCCACAAAGGGACCCTAATTCACAGAACTACCCATGCGAGTGTATGCCACGATCGCAGCGACAGTAACTGAGCACACCAACTATGGCCGAATCGTCTTGGAATGCCCTTGGCATGAGCAGGAGAAGTGCAACATATCACAGCAGTAGTTTTTGATTACTTATCTAAAACCCCAAACCCTAAACACCTAAACATGTAAACTCCTGAACCCTAAACCCTAATCGAAGCCTTCAATCAGAAAACCAGGGTCACATACACTTTAGTACTGCAAGGTACATATGGGAGTTTCCGAAAATAGGGGGTACCTTTTTTGGGGGGTCCTTATGATAAGGGTCCTACTATTTAGGGGTACTGTATAAGGGTCCCGTTGGAAACCCCCATTTCTCATATGAACTCTTGCATAACACTGCAGTATAGGTGCTTTGCATGTTCCAACATAGTTAGTAAGTAACTTCATGCACTGTTAAGACACGTTACAGTGTCATGGCGGGGTATGTGGCAAAGCATATATACCTAACCCCTCAAACCCCGAACGCCAACACGCAGTAAACCCCGTCAAACCCCAGAAATCCACCTAAACTCCCTAAATCCCCTGAACCCCCATGACTCACTGGCCCAAAACCCAAGGGAATAAAAGTTGAAACTTTCAGAACCGACTACCTTATAAGAACCCCAAAAGTTGAAAAGTTTAGTTTACAGCCAATAAGATGAACCCTGAACTCCCACACCCCACACCGTCCCGACCTCAGCGGGCCGCGCAAAGGCATCGTGCCTTGTGGCACGTGCTGTGTCTTCTCTCTAAGGGCCTTGATCATTCGAGTAGGGCTCCCTTTAAGGGGTCCGTTAAATGAGGTCAACAAGGGAACCATAGTTGCAGGGTTTAGGGTTCAGGGCTGATTTAGGATTTCAGGGTTAAGGTTCAGGGATTCAGGGATTAGGATGCACGGTTTAAGGTTTAGCCTTCAGGATTTAGGGTTCAGGTTGCAAGATTTCGGGTTTAGGCATTATTGTATAGTAAGCCCCAAAAAGTTGGAAACCGGATCAAGGACAAATAGTGCGGGGATTCCCTATAAGTTATACTCTTATTTAATAATTGAAGCTATTGGGTTTCCAACCTTTGGGCTTCTACTGTACCCTGAACTCTGAAACCCTAAACCCCTGAACCCTAACCCCTAAACCCCTAAACCGTGGATTTTGGGCTATTCTATGAATTAAGGCCCCTATAGTAGGGGATCTAGGGTCCAAGGGTTCAGGATTTCACAAGCACTTTCCGACAAGAGGGGACCCTAATATAGTAATCTAAATAGTAGGATCCTTACTATAAGGACCCCAACATAAAGTGCCCCCTAATTTTCGGAAACCCTGAACCCTAAACCCTTATAGATCCCTTTAAGGAACCCTTATTAAAGGATGCCTTTACAGGTACCCCTAATTTTCGGAAGCTCACGTATTGGCTTATCCAGAGCTCCGTGGCTTCATGGCTCAGGGGATTTTGAATTCAGGGGTGGGTTGAAGGTGCGGAGGCTTTGAAGTTTTCTTTTTAAGTTGATGTGCCCTCTTTCTTCAAAGCGGCGCTGGCATTTTGCCCTCAAGTTAGTGGCTTTGAAGTTTAGGGTTTGGGGTTTAGGATTTAAGGTGTAGTTTTGGAGTTTAGGGTTGTTGCCTTTCTCCTTGCACCCGAGACACGTCTCGCACTCGACTTTCTTGTCGTTGAAGGCCTGTGACATTGGCGACATTGGCAAGACTTTAGATATTATTAGGCCCTAAACTCTAAACCCCTAAACCCTACACCCTAAACCCCTAAACCCTAAACCCCTACACCCTAAACCCCTACTGTTGCAAGAAGGGCAGCAACTTCAGCTCCGATCCCAAACCGCCCGAAGCCTTGAACCCAAATCTCGAAGCACACATTTAGGCTCCCATTTTTGGATGCAGCCTGCTGGGGATTCTGTCCATTTGGGACCCGCCTTGCACCACTCTCTGACCTCCTCGGCTGCAGCCTGCACTTGGACCGTTGAGGGTGTGGGGTTCACGATGGGTCTTAGGTGCTAGGGTTCAGGGGACCCTGGCTTGGGGCTTGGGGTCCTGGGTTTAGGGGCGGTTGAGGGTGTGGGGGCAGGTGTAGTGCTTGAACCATGGAGCTCTCTCTCCCAAAGAGCGAATCCAACTACAAAGCCCACACATCCACATTATACCAGTTCGTACCGTCGGAGCCATGCGTCGAAGATGAAGAAAAAACTAACCTCCAACGAATATTCTTCTTCACAGGATTTCTGCAGCATGTGCGGCACGGTGTATGACCAAGCTTGATGATTTCCTTTGCTGTGCCCAGGCGTTGGCACCCACGGAGGGAGTGATAGGATTTCCCACGCCGCACCGTTGCATACACATGTGCTTTGGGAACGGTTGCAACAAGCATTCCGCTCGAATGGATAACGATAAACACGATTTCCTCTTCCAAACGTGGGCCTTTATGTTATTGGGGTTCCGTAGATGAATCCTACTATTTGGGGATTATGGGCCCAGGGTTTCTTAATCAGGTTCCTGCATTAGACCCTAACCTTCACTGAAATGGGCTTTTGCGTAACCAGGGAGGAAAAAGTATAAACTTGTATTTCATAATAGTTCCTTCAAGGAAACAGTATTAAAGTATGGTACTCCAAAGCCCAGTAAATCCTAACCCCCCAACCCCAAGGCAAACTTGCAGTCCTTTCCCCTACTTAAGCAAATTTCCGAACTAGGGCCGGTTTAGGGTTTTGGGTTTAGGGATTTAGGGTTTTGAATTTAGGGATGTAGGGTTTTGGGTGTAGGGGGTGTCAGAGTATCTACCTGGGCTTCTAAGTAACCAGGGAGAAAAAAGGTATAAGCTTGTATTTCATAATGGCTCCTTTACGGAAAAATACTGTTGATTCGTTGATGGACAAAATCCTGCATTAATTTGACGACTCTAAACTATGGGAACTATGGTATATTCCGTATAATTGGCAATGCAGGATTCTGTCCATCAGCAGTATTGAAGTATGGTGCCGCAAAGCCCAGTAAATCCTAAGCCCCCAACCCCGAGGCAAACCTGCTGTCCTTTCCCCTACTTAAGCAACTTTCTGAACCAGGGCCCTTTCAGAGACTAAAGGGAGTACCTGGGAGTTTCCGAAAATAGGGGACTCTAATATAGTACCCTAAACAGTAAGATCCTGGTTATAAGGACACCCAAATACCTAATCTTCGGAAACTCCCACCGCGCTCTTACACTAAACACACCGCAAGTTATAGTATCCTTAAGGGAAGGGGCTCCAAGGGGGGTACATAGCCTAGTGATCCCTAACTCTCCCTAGTACTCCCTAAGGTTCCCCTAAGGATTCCTTGTACCCTCCCCCCCTTGAACCAGCCTCCCTTAAGGATCCTTAAGCAAGGGAGCCGCAACGCGGACAACCGACGAACTGATAACACTCGCGACGCCACCTGAACCCATCCAAGCTGAACAGTAGATGGGAGCTTCCGAAAATTAGGGGTACCTTAAAAGGGATCCTTTAAGGGTTCCTTAAAGGGATCTATAAGGGTTCTATAAAGGGTTTAGGGTTTGGAGTTTCCGAAAATCAGGGGTACCTTTTTCGGGGTCCTTCGAATAAGGGTACTCCTATCTAGGGACTATGCTAGGGTCCCCTATGATCGGAAACTCCCAGATAAAGAAGGGCCCCTACTTTTAAGGGTCATTTGGTCCTGCAGGCACCTTGAAAACACAAGCCCCAAGCCGGGATCCCGTAAACACGACTGCAGGCACCCGGGAGGATCCGTAGGTCCCTTTATGGGGGTTCCTGTAAAGTGCCCTTAGCAGTATAGGGTCCCAAATTAGGGGATCTACTTTCTAGATGCTCCCGGGGGTCTGGGAACAGGCACCTGTACAACCCGAGCGCAGCAGTACAATTTGTATAAGTCTCTAGAGCTTTTAAGCAAAAGCCTTGGGAACGGACCCCACCCTAAACACTGAACCCTAAACCCTAAAACCCTATCTCCTGAACCCGATAAAACCCTAAACCCCGAACCCTAAAACCCTAAACCCCGAACCTAAAGCCCTGAACCCTAAACCCTAAAACCCTAAACCTTGATCCCTAAACCCTAAAACCCTGAAGCCTGTCCGTTGAACCCTAAAACCTGTACAATCCCTGAACCCTAAACCCCGAACCCTCAACTCTAAACCCTAACCAACCCATGTCGACTGGCCTCGCCTCATTAAAGGGGACCAGAGACCAGGTCGTCTTGGAACCTCTGTCTGCTGTTCAACGGTGGAAGATTTGTGGGGGGGTTAAGGGTTTAAGGGTTTAGGGTTTATAGGGTTTAAGGGTTTAGGGTTCAGGGTTTTGGGTTTAAGGGTTAAGGTTTTTCTAGGGTTTTAGGGTTTAGGGTTTGGGTTGTGATCCGGGGTTTGTGCGGTCTTAAAGCGGCATTGAAAGGCTTGCAACCTGCGTTGTCGACTACTGAAGGCTGTTATAAGCTTTCATAGGGTATACTTTGAGAGCGTCATGTGCATGTGGGTTTTGTGCTGTTGGGGTTTATGTGTTTACGGCTTTACGGTGACGGTCTTCTAAGGCTTTCGCGGCTTTGTTGGTGCTTTGGGTCGGGCCCATGTGCACCCTGCCCTGCATGATTCCAGCTCCAGCTCTTCTAGTTGTCTTGCTTGGGGTTGTTTTCGGAGGCTTGGCTGAAATATTTGCATCCGGAACTCCCCAAAACTTGAAAGCGCCGCGATTGAAATCAACCGGTTAATGGGTGCTGGTGTCTTTGAGTTTCCGCTTTGTGGCTTGGCGTTTGAGGTTCGTGTTGGGTTTTGGGGGCGTTGCGTCCAGAGTCTGGGGCGTTGCAGTGTTGGGTGGTCGGGCGGCGGGGGTTTAAGTAATATAGGGGCCTTAATGATTAGAATAGGGATTTGGGGCCCAGTATAATTACTCTACAAGCAGGAACCCCCGAAACAGTATAGGTAATTATTAAGGCGAGGTGCTCCCCCTGGTCTGAGTAGCCCACGTTTTATCAGCTCTGAACGGGCATGCTGGGGCAGCAACTCCATAACCATTGGCCAGATCCTGAATCCGATCGCTCCTCCGACAAGCTGTGGTGCATTGAAGGCGCGAGTGCCAAGCAAGGCCCAAGCGATCAAAGCGGCATCGTCCCCCTCCGTCGTCGCTGCTGGGTTTGCGACTGACGGGAACATACTGTTCATGTTGGGGGGTTTGTAACCAGCGTTGATCAGTCCTGCGACGTCGATGTTTCCGCCGATCGCGGTCACTTCATTGAAGGACTGCCACTCACGTTGGCCTCCGCCATCCGCAGCGTCTATCCCGCCCATGTTCTCACATGAAACCATGGCCAACCACACGGACCAAAGCTTTTCGCACAGCCCCTCGATCTCCAAGTGATGGAATGCTTTGGCTCCAGCAGTTGGCAGGTCGCTGTTGGCTCTTCCTGGCACACACCCCTATATCATTGGGTTTTGCATCAGAGTTTTGGAGCTTCTGCGGCGGACTTCTGGCCTGTATGGTTGCATCGTTTAGGGGGTGGCGATCTGTAAGCAAAAATTATCGGGCTGTTGAAAGACCGATGGGCAGCACGAACTACAGCGAAGGCTAGGTTTTGGGATTTATTGTGAACCCTAAACTAAGCCTGAAAATACTAGGCACCAGACTGGGCCCTTTGCGGATTTGGGCGTTATGTGATCTAAGGTTCAGGGGTGGGTTTGGGTGCGGCGCCCTCTCAATAGCCGAGATCAGGCACCTTTTTCTGGGGCGCTCTTCTCCAGCAGCTTAGCGAGCTGCTCCGACAGCTTCTTCGCCTGCAAGGGACCACTCATAAAGAGTTGAGGACTGTCTCATCCGTGAAAATGCATCGTTCAAGAAGCTGTCGCCGGAGAATGCAACATATAATATACTCTACACAAGACGCTCCGTTCTACCGATACCCCGAACTGGGGAACGAATGCACCCAGAACTCAAACCCTAAACCCTCAACCAAAGCCACCGCGCCACCCTCCCCAACAACTACTAAGAGAGCATTACAACAAGCATCAAAGCGCAGTGCTAGCACACTACAAAACCATACGCGCACATCCATTTTCAACCAATCACGAACCCAAAGGGTGCTATGTACCAGTATAGCAGAATGTGGGGGTTCCCATATTAGGTATTACTATTATGACTTAGGGAAGTATTCCCCATAACAGTACATAGGACCCTTTGGGGAATTAGCAACCCCAGACCCCTAAACCCACAAGTTGTCACCTCGAAGCCGTGCAAGGCTTGCTCGGCATGAGGCAGCCACGGCGTCAGGATGGCCTGACATACACGATCTTACGTTCGGGCTGAAGGTATGGGGTCTAGGGAATTCTGTAGAGGATCCTTTAAGGTTAAGTTACGGTTTAAGGTTTAGGGCTTTTGCGATTTAGGTTTAGGGCTTTATCCCTTGAAGGGTCTCTAGAGGATCCTTTGCGGAGCTCTTTTTGACTTCTTTGGGAAAGTTGCGCAAGGTCCTTGATTGGCAGAGTTTTAGGATTTCCGATGGCCCAAGACTGCTATCGGTCATAGTTGGCGTGTTCTGTCACTGGCCGTACGATAGTGGCAAATATATATATATATATATATATACATATATATATATATACACCCCGTAAATACTCTAAGACCATAAAACCAAAACCCACTAAAACGTCTAAACCCCAACTTTAGGGTGTATAATGCTACTCGTGCGCTTGGTCTGAATGTCTGGAGAATCGGGCTTGCTCGTTGCGATACCATGCGGAAGATCCAGAAACGATGTAAAGCGTTACGTATTAGGTGTCGATTCAACAGTCCCCGATAGTATGAATAACTAATGCCCTATATCAAGCAACAACGGAAATTAAAAATCATCCCGGATCGATACATAGCATACTAGCCGGACCCTGTTCTGATTATAAGGACCCCAGGACCTCCGAGACGGAACCCCTCCTGAAACCTTCGTACAGAAGATTCTCTGTGATCGACCAGCATACTGTTTATGATATAAACCTTGCATTATAATGGTATATTCCTTAATATACGTACTGCAGGACTTATATCATCAATCGTGGTGCATGCACTGTGCGAACACTTCAGGTACGTAGGAGTGTCCGACCATGCATATGAAAAACAAAGCCCGCACCCAAAACCATAAGCCCTGGACCTGAACCCAGAACCTATACTCGAAGGACCGTCCTGAACCCCCCATACCCCCCATACCCCCCTAACCTTCTAGACCCAAAGCCGCAAAAACCCTCAACCATTCTAAACCCTAAACCAATCGCCGTCGCCTCTGCATCGCACCTTTGCTGTTTGTTGGCAGGATTAGGGTTTAGGGTTTAAGGCATGCTAGGACTTTAGGGTTCATAGCTCTAGGTTTTTTTGGCTCTCGGCTTTAGGGTTCAGGGTTGGGTTCAGAGTTATAGGGTTTAGGTATTGTTAGGGTATTAGGGTTTTGGGTTTAGGGTCATAGGGTTTAGGGCTTTGCAGTGGTTCAGGGCTTCAAAACCTGACTCCTGCCATGCAAAGCCGCGCATGCTGGCCAGAGATACCGGTCAGAGCTTTACAAACACCCCCAAGGCCCAAGAGTAAGTAAAACAATGGCCCAACACCTATGAAAGGCCTGTTCTACAGACTTTGGGGGTCCAGGTAAGGCTGTGGTCGTTTAGCATATTTTAGAGGTGTCAGCTGAGTTCAAGGGTTGAGAATTCGGAGGCTTAGGGCGCTTCCTTTCTCCCTGCAACCGAGACACTTGTCGAAATCGGCTTTCTTGACATGGACGGCCTGATGTTGGCAATAACATTGCAAGAAGGGCCGCAAAGTTAGGTTCAATGGCACCCTCCAACTATTTAAGCCCACCACCCTAAAACCTCATCCCACCCGATACCCTAATCCCTCATCCCGCCCCAGACCCCAAGCGCACCCTCGATCCTATCGGCTCGCCGGCTGCCCGTGACTAGGGCCCCCAAAATGCACATAAGCAAAAAATAGGGTAGGGATATCCCATATAAATCCCCTTATAATGAAGCCCAAAAGGGTAGGGATATCCCTCTAAAATGCTTATGCTTATATGCTTTTTGGGTCCCTAACTGACTCAGATTCAGGTTACCCGGCCTTGCACCACTCTCGGACCTCGTCGGCTGCAGCCTGCACTTGGACTATTGAGGGTCCGGGGTTCACGATGGGTCTTCGGTGCTAGGCTTGAGGGTCCAGGGTTTAGGGCTTGGGGTCCAGGGCTTAGGGGCAGCAAAGAGACTTGTGGCTCTGGGTGGCAACTGAGGCATCGTCATGGGGAAGATGTGCCCTGTAGGATCAGAAAAGTCTAGAAACCCCCGAAAGCCCCTAATCCTCAAAAACAGCCAGCTAGGTCTCATCGCGCTTCATGGCTCACAGCCGAAGCACCTACATGAACCTGAGCCGAAGGCTTCTCGTCAGATACGATAACGACACGTTCCTGCCACGTCTGCGCTTGCGGACTACGGCGGGGGGACGGGATACTTAAACTCCGTCCTCTAGCATCTTGGGCTGTGACTGGCTTTGTAGGGTTTAGGGTCTAGGGTTTAGGGACTACGTGGACCCCATAAGTATGTAGAATACTAGCCTTTTATGGGTATTGGGTCATTATTTTGCCTACTTTGGGGTTTAGAAACCCTAAACTCTAAACCCTAAACCCCAGGGACTACAAGGAACGGTTTACGGATGTAGGATCCTCGACTTCCCTGCGCGTCCCTGCGTCTGAACTGTGAGTTAGGCACCAAGCCCAGTCTCGGAGATGAAGCCAAAGCTAACAAATTGAATCCCAACCGGTCTTACTAGGTTTTTGAGTATACTGCAGCCTGTAGCATGATAAAATAGGCTCTATATGTCTATAAACCTGAAACCCTAAACCCTATGAACAATCCATAAACCCTAAACCTTAAACCCTAAACCCTCAAACCTAAACTCTAAACTCTGAACCCTACTAGCTTGGCCTCGGTGGTGGAGACCAGAGACCAGGTCGGCTGGGAACCTTCGTCTGCATTCTCTTTAGGTGTATGATTTAGGGTTTTGATTTGCAGGTTTGGAAAAAGCCTGTCAACAAGCTTGAAAGAAAAGTTTTCTATAGGTTGCGTGAGGGATTTGAGAAGGCTTGGAGCCTATGTTTCGTCAAGGCTTCACAGGGCTTGTTTCTGGTTTAATTATGCAGGCTTGCAGAGGGTTTCAGAGGGATTTGTCGGGCTTTACAGATGTTCTGAGGGTACTAAGGGCATGAGAATGGTTGTCAAAATTAGGGTCACTTTTTGGATCCCGAATATAATACGGCACCTAAGATTTAGGGTACCCCAAAAGGGACCACCCAAGGGCATGAGGGTCTAGGTTCAAACAGGTTCACGGATTAGGCGCTTCCGGGCGCCGAGGCCCTGGTTAGAGATGGTAGCTTTCAGGACCGGAGAGTTTTAAGGTCTCGCCGCCAAATACATGTCTCCAAACATGAGAGTTTCCGAAAATAGGGGGGGACCTTATTTTGGGGTCCTTTTTAATAAGGATCCTACTATTTAGGGTACTATATTAGGGTCCCCTATTTTCGGAAACTCCCATAGTCTACTTCTTCAAGATGAGCTCAATCTTGTCTTGGGTCGTAATCTTGCAGACCGCGCCGTCATCATACCTGAGCTTTCCTGTCGTGATTCCTGGGTGTTGTTGTCAATCATCTTGGATGCTTGAAAGAGACATTCTTGTAGTCTCCCTTCTTCAGCTCTTTATAAGCGCCACGCAGAACTTTGCGAAGGTCAGAGAAATTGCTTGAAGCACCCGTAGGAAGATCCCTATCGTTATCCTCATTATTGAAGAAGGCGTTGATAATGATGTTCTTCTCACGGTCACAGACCCTGAAAGCTACACACATAACTAAACTCATAAACCACCAACCCACAAACCCATAACATCCCCTACACCCACCAAAACCTCCAAAACCCTGAACCCTGAAAGGGGTTACTCGTGGGTTGGGCCGCGAGCCCCTCGCCCCAAATCCCGGGCCGCTGAATACCGGGCTGCTCTGTGCAATTGTTCAACAGAGCCGGATTTGTTTTCTAAAATGGGGTCCATATATAGGGATTATTGTAATCCATGGTTGCTACCAAAAAAGCTACTACAATTAAGTGAGGCTTACTATACGGGCTACTAGAAAGGTTGAGCACAGCGAGTAACCCCTGGGACCCGAAAAGCCTGACCGCCGAACACTGGCCTCCAAGCTGACGCCCTTTAAAAGGGGGCGTGAATTAGAATGTGGGGATTTGGGGGGTATATTGTAGTAGAATTATGGCAAGGCCCCCCCCCCCCCCCACAATCGTATTGGTAATTATTTGGGCCCCTTTATTATGTAAACCCCAAAGGTTCAAGAACATCCCCACGATTTGATCCAGTTCAGTGGCCTGTTCACATTCTTTTCAAGATAATAGAAATTGCGCTGGCGCTGAAAATTATAATAGCAACAGCACTAGCAATTGCCAATAGTAAAGCAATAGTAATAGTAATAGAAATACAAAAAGGAATAACAATAATAATAATAGTAATAATAATAATAATACTAATAATTGTCATCGTGAACAGGCACCTTTGTCGGGCGTGATCTTCTTGACCATCTTGGCAAGTTTTTCCGACATCTTCTTCGCCTGCCCAAACCACATAAACAGGGTCTGAACACTCAGCAACCGTGCCCCCTTGAACTGCGCATATACTTATTATGCTAAATGCATCGACCCTTGTTGAAGGGTTCAAGGCGCTTTCTCCCTGAATCACGCAACTTCCACGAACCTGTTGCTACCACGACGATCTCTCTTCCAACATTGCATCGTCCTGTCTTATGATACTGAATCATAGCGACAGCAGCGGACCCTAACATACCCTACACATTGAATTCCGGAATCTTCAACCCATATATCTGTAAAGCTCTTATAATCCGTAAATAAGCTTCTTATAAAACAGCTAACAAAAAATCAAAACCCTCTCGCGGTGCGTGGAAGCCCGTCAAACAAGCGCATGTTGGATGTTATCACAAGCTATACTATATTCTACTCTAAATATCGCGCTGCTGATTCGAAGGCGCTTTAGGCTTGTTGGCTATTTGTTGCTAGAGCCCGAAACTCAACGTTTCCAGCACTCCAAGTTGAAGGTTTGAGGTGTGCACAGCACTGAACTTCAGGCTCTTGTAGGGCTGGTTTACATAGGTGGTTGTCAAAATTATGGCCCTTTTTGGGTCCCTATTATGATACGCCACCTATTAATTAGGGTACCCCAAAAGGCGCCCTAATTTTGACAACCACCCACATAGGGGGTTGAAGCTCGGGGTTTAAGTACTGCTGGCGATAAAATCCTGCATGACACATAATGGGGAATACACCATAATTCCCATAGTGTAGGGTAATTAAGGTAATGCAGGATTTATATCATCCACCGAAATATATAAGGCCTACGAATTCGGGTCTATCGGGGCTTTTGGGTTCAGGGTTCCGGGCTTGGAGCTTTGCTGTGGCCTTCGAGTTGAGGGTTTGGGCCGATGCAAAGAAGTCTAGAGGCTAGATAGGACGTGGGTGGTTGTCAAAATTGTGGTCCCTTTTTGGGTCCTTATTATACTACGGCACCTATTATTACCCAAAAAGGGACCATAATTCTGACAACCCCCCACGTGAGTTCAATCCCTCACCCCTGAACCCTGAACCCTAAACCCTAAGTTCAAACCCTAAATCCCTAATCCCTAAACCCTGAACCTTAAATCCCTATCCCGTATAACCCTAAACCTTCGCTTCGGCACTCTCTGTGACCCCGAAGCTTTCGGTCCGCTGGCGGATGTCAAAATGGAGATTATCGGTACGAGGATAGAAACAAGAACCTCAACATACCTGTCCCTTGACAAGGGGGCCCCACGCCCTACGATTTTGAGAGCAAGAAACCAGCAAAGGACTGCTTTTTTCTCACCCCCAAAACAGTACCCACAGCACAGAGACACCAAACCCTAAACCCTAAACCCTTAGGTAGGACCCTGAACCCTGAACCCTGCTCTCCCACTGCTATCGGCCCTGGCACAGCCTCCCAAAATCAAAGGGATTCAGGGTTTTCCTGTAGTTTTTTTTTTGAAACTCCTTTTTCCGTCTACTGTAGGTTTTTTTTTGGAGGGGGGTTCTACTCTTTGAGTGTCGTGCTAAGTAGGGTCTTTATAAGGCTTCAAGGCGCCGGGTGCACAGAAATTGGAGCCACGGGTTTAGGGTTTAGGGTTTTAGGGTTTAGGGTTTAGGGTTTAGGGTTTAGGGTTTTAGGGTTTAGGGTTTAGGGTTTAGGGTTTGCGTGAAGGCCTCGTCCAGTTGTTGCTTCCTCCTTAGGCCGCGGATTACGAAACAGGGTCTTGGACAAAATCATAACGTCCTTCTTCATGAACCCGACACCCACACGCACGTTCAACCCCTTCGTGAGAGTTTCGAGTTCCGAGCTCAGACCTGCCCCTCATTCAGAGCGAATCAACACCAAATCCACAGCAGAAGATGCCGAGCAACTGTCGCTTTTGCTTTCTTTCCTCGGCCTGGCTTGGGCTTCGTCTTCCAGGGCTCCGATTCCGAGTATCCCGAATGAGTACGGGGCTTGGGGCTCAGGGTCCCTAAACCCGATCTCCTAAACCATAGACCCCTAGACCCCAAACCCTAAACCCTCTACCCTAAACCCTAACTCCTAAACCCGATCTCCTAAACCCTAAACCCTAAACTTCCTAAACCCTGAACTTCCTAAACCCTAAAATTCCTAAACCCTAAACTTCCTGAACCCTATGTAAACCCTAAGCTCTTGGGATTTCTGGCTTCGGACTGTTTCGGATCCGAGGCCTCCGGGCCCCCAGGCCTTTTGGGGGTAAAAGCCCTAAAGCCGGGCTCTTCGGTTCGAGAAGTGCCCAGTGGTACCCGGTTTAGGGTTTAGGGTTTAGGAAGTTTAGGGTTTAGGGTTGAGGGTTTGGGGTTTAAGGTTTAGGGTTTAGGGGTTTAGGGTTCAGGGGTTTAGGGGTTCAGGGTTTCAGGAGTTTAAGGTTTTAGGTTTTATGGTTTAGGGAGGATATGATCCATAAAAGCACCTTTAAACCGGGATAGGACCCAACAAAAACTGGAAAAAAAGGATGACATGACCCCAGTTACTGGTACGCTTACTTTTTCAAGGTACCTTGGCTACTGTACGTAGGAGGCCTCGGAGATTCTGCTGTTCAAGGTCTTGGGGTTGGGGTCTTGGGTGGATACGGTTGATGATATAAACCCTGCATTACCTTAAGGACCCTAGACTATGGGAATTATGGCATATTCCTTATTGTGGGTAATGCAGGATTCATATCATCAACAGATAGCTCATGGTGGCATAGAGCAAGTTGCAACAATCGAGCTCAACGGATGCAGCACATCTCAGAGCTTCGGGTGCTAGGCTGAAGAATCTCAGGCCCTACCACAAGCACCAAAGCCCTAACCCTCAACGAACCTAAACCCGAAACCCTAAACCCTGAACCCTGAATCCTAAACCCTAAACCCTCAACGAACCCAACACCCCAACCCATCCTCTTCAGCAGCTCGCTTCAAGCTCTTCTCCTTATCCCTCAGAGCCGTCTCCTTCTCCCTCAGATCGGGTTTAGGGTTTAGCGCGGGTTGAGGGTTTAGGGTTCATACAAAAAGGTGTCCCTTCGGGTTTAATTTTGGGGTGGACCTGTCAATCAAGCTGCTAGACCCTAAACCCTTAAACCCGTAAACCCCTAAACTCTAAGCCTCAAAAAGAAGGCCTTCTGCTGCGACGTACTTTAGTTTTGCGACTGCGAGGCACTTTGGTATTAGGGTTTGGGATTCGAGTCTTGGGGCTGTTTCCCCTTACAACAAATAAATCTGGCGGCTTTCTTATGGGCCTTAGGGTGCTTTTCAAAATCCCTGAACCCTAAACCCTAAACATTAAGCCCTTCTTGTCTTGAGGTTTTCGAACTTGCTTATTCTCGGCGCTTTAGGGTTCATTCAACTTGGTGTCGGGTATAGGTGGCAGATGGTGGAAGAATTTTTGAGCTGTGCGCGCGACTTTGAGGAATGGGACCATAATATGGGCCTAGCGCCGCCCAAGGTCACGCACACAACTATGCGGACGGGTGTATACGTGATAGAGATGCACAGTTGCCGCCATCTGGCTTGTACGGACAAGCACTGACAATTGGACCCATGCAACCTAGCAATGTTGGATGTTGAGGCCTATACAAGGACATTGCGCTGAGCAAATCCTACCCTAACCCACCGGAACCTACTTTTTTGTAGGCTCCCTATAAATTCCAAAATAGGGTTTATAATAACAGCCCAAAAGAATGTAGAGTTTGGTAGGTTAAGGTAAACCTTAAACGCGGAACCCTAAGTCCAAAACTCTGAGCACTGAGTCCTAGACCCCATCAGCCCTACGCTGTGATCAATACGGGCGGACACTCTTCCAATCCCAACTCGAACCATGAACAAGGCAGGAGCGCAGGAATACGCCTAACTTCAGGCAAGAGCCGTATCAATCGTGAACTTCAGAACAGCTCTTTCAGGATCTTAAAAGCCCTGGAAGAGCTTTGTGCAAACCCTTCGAAGACAACTCGAAAACCCTAAACCCTAAACCCCAAACCATAAAAAAGCCGACAAACCATAAAAAAAGCAGACAAACCATAAAACAAATGAACAAACCATAAAAACGCCGACAAACCATAAAAAAAGCCGACAAACCATAAAAAAGCCGACAAATGGAGTCTCCCAGAGCCGAGGCGCTCGATCTTTTGCGTGGCCTGGACGCACAAGGAACCCAGAGACTCCAATATCCCTTAATTAAGGAATATACCTTAAATCATATAAGGGATCCTACTATAATTTAAGGTATATTCCTTAATTCAGGGATATTGGAGTCTCTAGGAACAGACAAGAACACGATGTTCAGGAAAGCATGCTTACATACATGGAAATGTACCTGCGCAGGTACATGTACATATGCATGAGCATATAGACATACACATAATACACATGCGCACCGTGTATGTATACGTATACACATCTACATGTACACATGCATACACATATGCATGTACATAAGCATACACATAGTATATATGTGTCTACATATGTCTTGTCTTTGTCTGTGGCTATGGCTATGACTTTGGCTCCGGCTGTCTATGCCTATGACTGTGTCTACGTCTGGGTTCTATGTCTATGTATCTGTATGTGCATGTACATGCACAAGTGCATGTACACGGATACCTACATGTACGCACATCTCATATGCATGTGTATGTATACAATGTAGATGCGCATGCTTTTGCATATGCATAGGTCATTAGGTAGATATATGAACATGCATACATACACAGACATGTAGTCGGTACATCTATACCTACCTACTATACCTACCTACCTATCTATCTTCTGCCATTCTACCTAGCTACCGATATCTACTAACATACTTACCAAACACTGCATTGCAACAACATTCCTTTCCATTCCATTACATACGTGTCTTGTTTCAGGAAAGTGCCGACGCCAACCACATTGCGAACATCGAAGCCCGTGAATGCCATCCCCCCATAAGGTGGAAGCGAAACCTCCTATGAACGCGACTGCCTCAGAGGCAGCGGTATGATATGGAAGCATTGAGCGCGAAAACACCCTGGGAGCTTGTGCTAAAACCAGCTCAGGGTTTAGGGAGTTTAGTGCCTGGTGGGGCTTGGGGTTTTAAGACCCACTGGACAGGACACGGACGAACAAACAACGATGTCACTCTTGCGCTGTGAGGTCAACGAAAGTCAAACCCTATGCCTCCAGGGACCTTACTATGGGGTCCTTAAGGGGTCTAGGGGCCTAACTATGAGGTCCTTGGAGGGATAGGGAAATGCATGCTGCAACAAACTCTGACCGGCTACCTGGATTCCTGCTTGAACCCAAAGGGTCCTATGTACCGATATAGTAGAATGTGGGGTTTCCATATTAGGAACTACTATTATGACTTAGGGAAGTATCCCCCATAACAGTACATAGGACCCTTTGGGGAAGCGACCTGACAAACTGCAGACTTGGGAGATTGCCAAAAGAGCCATGACAACGCTATGCGGCTTTCCCCCCCAAACCTACGCCCCCACGATCTAAGAGCTAACACCCGAGGGGCGCAAAAAGGCGCCGCAGCGTGACCCGACAAACCCAAAAATGCGGCGCCGAAGGTCTTCAGACTCTAACCCAGAGAGCCCAATACCCCTTAATTAAGGAATATAGCTTAAATCATAATATGAGGCCCTATATAATTCAAGCCATATTCCTTAATTAAGGGGTATTGGGCTCTCTGGGAAACCACCCAAATCCATCCTGCGAGGCCTCTCTGATGAGCCTGCTTTCCGTCTTTCGTAGATCCTGCCATTTTCCCGGCACCTCCGAACATGCTGAATTAGCTTGTGGGTGATAGGAACGCTAGATTTTAAGGATAGGGGTTTGTTTTTCGTTTTAGGGTCTAGGTCTTTACGATGGGGCTTGTTTTAAGGTTTAGGGTTGAGGGTTTAGGGTTAGGGATAAGGTTTAGAGCGTAGGGCATAGCTGGCAATCGATCAAACAAGCCGCAGAAGTGAAAGGTTAAACTTTCCGGTTCCTACTGAACCATAAGGACAGAAAAAATTTAAAGGTTGAGTTAAGGACATGAGATAATTAGGGGCCTCAATGGTTACGCTGGGGCTCCTGAAAGGAGACCCTGAAAGGGAATATTGGAATATACTCTCGGGAGACGTCGTAATATAGTGTATAGATAGAAATACGGAAACTTGATAGTATTCCTGTTCCTGCGCTCACCAGGAGTGCGTCCCAGAACTTGCAAATTAAGAAACTGTGACGGGTTCCCCGAATGACAAGTCATCTACACTCTTCAGGGGAGACTCCACCACCGACGTGACCCACACCCCAAGCTCACTGAGCCCAGAAACACCTGAAACGAAGGAATAGTAGTGGTAAACATTCCATAGGATTTAAGGTTTAGGGTATTAAAGTACCCTTGTTCTTATACCCTTGTAGTACCCTTACCCTAGCACCTTAAGGTATGGCACGCTTGTATGGTACCGTTGTTATACATTCAACCCCTCCTAAAGACAAATAACTGCAAATAAGACATGTCAACCTCGCGCAGAAGCCATTGAATCCCTTGCAAGACCCGTTAGACCCTCTCCGAGCCCTAGACCCTAAACTCTAAACTGGAAGCCCGAAGCCGTAAAACTCTCATCTGGGTTGTAGTTTTTGGGGCTCTTAAAAGTACTTCAAAATACGTACCTCTATGGGAACCATAAAGGGAACTTACAAAAGTTTCCCAACCTGCCACCTAGTCATGAACCTGACCACAACCTTCCTCGTCGCCCTGAACACGGAAGGGACCTGGGCGCCGAAAATCGCATCGATCTTCGCCTTCTTGGAGGGTCGGGGGACTTAATAACTGGTTATTTTAAGGACTTATAAGTACCATAACCCCAATTAGGGTCCCTTTTAGGGTACTTATAAGTCTACTTACTACCTACTTACTAAGTCCCCGACCCTCCAAGTTGTGGGCCATCGGGATGGTTCTAGGGTCAGGTTCTCGTAGCCCTTTCATAAAAATTAAGGATACGCTTGTTCCTTCTAATTCTGTTTGAATAGGGAGAACTAAGAAGAAGAAGGGCAAAAGAGTACTACTCAGGCACCGAGAGGGTCTTGTGAAGCGGGGTTGCGTCAGGTATCTCAATGGCTCACAGGGTTGTATAGGCATGTCGTAGCACGTTCTTCCATCTGGAGACACCTTCACTAAGGGTGGTGGTGTAGGATGCTTGAATGGTGTGTAATTACTTTTTCGATGGCTCATCTGATGGGACGTTATGAAGCTTTTGGTGGCCTATATGAATGGTTTTAGAGTGGCGTACTGTATAAGGGAAATTGCAGTATACTTATGTCACACTTCGTACGGGTTTATGAGGTTCAGGGTTCGAGTTAGGACGGGCCAGAGCACCAGACTCGGCACGCTAAAAAAGCTCAGCCAGAGCAGGAGACGCTTCCACCCGCAAATGGCGGTACGCGGTTTCGCACTCCGCTTGCAACTCCAACTTCGTGAGTCTCTGGTCCGTTTCGCTTCGGTGGTCCTGCAACTCTTTGACCTGCTGGGCCAAGTCATCCATCTTGCGTTTGCGGCTGCTCCATCAGGCATTTCTGCCGTGTGCAACAGACTCAGGTTAGGCTTGCGCTGTAAGCCAAAAAGTGCTACTCCATGCGGCGTGTTCCGACAGTGACCTCGTGGAGAAATGGTGTGCTCACCCTACTTCTGAACCCCTCCTAAAAACTAAACTTTTAACCCCCTTATTGTCTTACTTCCCCAATAAGCCACAGAAATGAAAGGTTGAACTTTCCGGTTCCTACTACGCCATAAGAACCCAAAAAGTTTAAAGGTTGGGTATTGGGGAGCTAAGTTGTGGTTCACATGCAAAACTTCCTAGACCCCAAAGCCTAAACCCTAAACCACCCTAACCCTAAACCCCAAAAAGTTACTAAACTCCGAAGAGCCCACCATAAACCACCCCAACCCTTAACCGCGAAAGTTTTTTTTTAACTCCTCAGAGCCCACCAGAAGAACGCCAAGGTTAGGGACAGCCATTAGGGCGTGGAGCCTTGAGGGGCTGCCGTTTAGGGTCTAGGGTTTAGGGTCAGGGTTTGGGGTTGGGGTTTAGGGTTTAGGGCTTAGTGTCCAGGGTTTGGGGTTGGGGTTTAAGGTTTACAGGGTTTAGGGTTTAGGGTCCAGGGTTTAGGGGTGCTTTACTGTCTGGTTCTTAGTAGGGAATGGGGAGTGGATCGCTATAGTAGTCCCTGTATAATCCCCAATAGTAGTCCCAAACATCCATCCCCCATTCCCTACTAAGCACCAGGGAGTTTAGGATTCAGGGTGTTGAAGATTTCGGCGTTCAAGCTGAAGAGCTTAGAGAGCTTAGTGCTTTGGGCTTAGTTTGGTGAAAAGGTTCAATATAGGGGCCTTAATAATTAGAATGGGGTTTTAGGGGCCCATTATACTACAATTATGATAAGGGGGCGCTAACAAAGTATAGGTAATTAGAAGCCTTGCAGTAGTGAGCTTAGTGTTTAGTGCAACAACAAGGGTTTAGGGTTCAAGGCTTCCGGTTTGGAGGCTGTGCGATGTTGTACCGCTTTGGCGGGTTTCGGAATGAGCTTTCTGCTTGGGGCTTCTTCAGCGCCTTTGTCGTCGGTAAGTAAGCTTTACAATTTACAGAGTTTAAAGTTTAAAGGGGAACCTATTCTGTTGGGAATTTGAACTGACGGCTTTCTTAATCAGCTTCGTACATTCTTGTGCTCGTCCGGCAAGGCTATTGACCGCATGTCTGGTGACATCCTAAACCCTTTTACCCTACGCCCTAAAACCCTAAACCCTAAACCCTTCTACCCTACGCCCTAAACCCAAAAGCCTCGACCCCTAATCCCCTGAACCCTGAATGCAAGCGACCATTCGCATCTTAGCGTTTAGGTTTTAGAGATTAAGGTTGAGGGTTTATGGCTCAAGGTTTAGGGTTTAGGGGTCCCGAGCCTCCCCCAACGCAGCTAATGTAGGGGCCTTAATAATTAGAATAGGGTTTTGGGGCCCGTTATACTATCAAAGGAAGCCCACAAATAGTACTAAACCCTAAACCCTAAACGGCCCCCGTATTACAGCGCACCTGTGCATCATCAAGGATCCTCTTCGCCTCACCTCCCAGGGACGTCAAGAGGGGCTAACCAGAGACTTCACGATTTCGGGTCTGTGGGCGTAGGGTTTACCTAAACCCCTGAAACCTTAAACCCCAAACCCTGAAACCCTAAACATTTAGGGTTTAGGGGTTTAGGGTTTAGGGGCTAAAGGGTTTAGGGCTTAAGGTTTAGGGCTTAAGCACCCAACCCCTCTCAAGAACCATTTTGCCCCGCACAAACTCTCGTTTCACGGTGACCCTTTCGGATGAGTTAGGGTTTATGAAGCCTGAACCGTCGGTCCGCACTATAGAGGGGTGGAGTTCTGGGAAGACCTACACTCCGACATTCGGGGGATTTCTCTAAACCCCGCAGGAGGGTTTAGAACCCAGAGTCGCCTTGGCCTTCGCATGATAACGTATAGTTTAGAAGCTCCCCCCACCCTGTAATAGTGACTATGAGGATTATGTGAATACTATATTAGGGCACTATTATATTCCTATTATACCACTATTACAGGGTGGGGGCAGCTTCTAACGCATACTCGTACGGCGGCTCGTAGGGGGATGCCATTGTTGCTAGGTATTCAGACCCCTCGATTTCGATATAAACCCTCAACATTAGGCAAAAAGCATGGGCTCAGGGCGACCGCTTTGGGCCAGGAGCCTACAAACCCTACATCCTAAACTCACTCGAACCCTGCAGCCTGAATTCAAAACCTGTACTTATACCACTGAAACAGCACAACCTCATGAATCCGAATAGACCGAAAAACCTGAAACGCGAAAACTTTGCCACACGGCCCCATCTCATGTGGGGAGTCTGCCAGCAAGCCCGGAAACCTTAAACCCAGAGCGCGATATCCCAAACCCTTAACCGAAACCGCAACACTTTGACCCCGAAATCCCAGCAATTGAACAAGAAACCCCAAAACACGCCTACGGTGGTCTCTTTCAACTCCCACAAATAGTCCATGGTGGGCCTTGGGCAGCCCCAAGCGCTGAAACCCCACACCCCTCAACTGATCGTCTCCGTAGTTCCTGAGTTCCTCAGCCCCCAAAAAGTTTACATACACTTTCGGTTTTATCGTGGGTACCCAGAGGCCCCATAGTAGTTCCTTGTTAGGATTACCTTATAGGACTCTATATATATGAACCCCCAAAAGGAACTACTTTGAACCCTCTGGGTAGTATTATCCCAAAAAGTGTATAGTGGATCCACTCAGCTACTAGGTCTACGAGGTGTTTTTTTGGGATCTTTGCATGGCATCAACCTCAGACCGTAAATACCCTATACAGGAAACTCCGTAAAGTTGGAACCGGATCAAGGCCGAATAGTGCTGGGATTCCCTGTACATTACTCTGAAGGATTGGGGCTATTGGGTTTCCAACCTTCTACGAGATATTTTATGTAGCCTTATGTACCCTGTGTACTCTATATACCCTTTTATCCTATACCTGCAATTACACCCCATATACTCTAGACATACAAGACTACCCTAGATGTCCTAGATGCCCGAAATAATAGACCCTGAACCGTTCACCTTGAATCCTGGGTATGATTGGGATTCGCACGGTGTTGGCGCCTGGATATTATATAATCAGTAGAAAGGGGTTGCGGAGTATTCTACAGTCAATGTTTTTATCACAGGGAGCCCTCCTCTGAAACCCCGAAACCTTAAACCCAAAACCCTAACCCTAAACCCTAAACCCTAAACCCTAACCCTAAACCCTAAACCCTAAACCTTAAACCTTAAACCCTAAACCCTAAACCCTAAACCCAAAACCCTAAACCTTAAACCCTAAACCCTAAACCCATTAAACCTTAAACCCTAAACCCTAAACCCTAAACCTTAAACCCTGAACCCTTAACCCTTGAACCCTGAACCCTTAAACCCTAAACCTTAAATTATTAAACCCTAAACCCTAAACCCTAAACCTTAAACCCTAAACCCTGAACCCTTAACCCTTAACCCTTAAACCCTAAACCCTAAATTATTAAACCTTAAACCCTAAACCCTTAAACCCTAAACCCTAAACCCTTAACCCTTGAACCCTAAACCCTACACCTTAAACCCTAGACCCTAAACCCTTAACCCTTAACCCTTAAACCCTGAACCCGTTTAGCAGGGATTGGAGCTTCGTACTTGCGACTGATGAGCCTCAGGGCTTCCGTGGTTGAGGGCGGCTTTGGGTTTAGGGATTAGGGTTTAGGGTTTAGGGATTAGGGTTTAGGGTTTAGGGATTAGGGTTTAGGGATTAGGGATTAGGGTTTAGGGTTTAGGGATTAGGGATTGGCGTTTGGGGTTTAGGGTTTAGGGATTGGGGTTTGGGGTTTAGGGTTTAGGGATTGGGGTTTGGGGTTTAGGGTTTAGGGATTTCAACGATGTGAGGTTTTTTCAGGATATAGCTTTCATCTAAGGTTAACAGGACCAGCTATTGCCATAGAGCTCCTCCATATACAGTAAACCCTTAATGCTATACCCTTAGATTGAAAGTTTGGGCGTACTGTAACGGCCAGACTCCCCTGCCACCCCTTTGCTACCAGGAGTACAGTCGATGGTGCAATCTCCAAGAAAGGGCTACTATCTCAGCCACTCTTAAGACTCTCAGCAATCAGGAGGCGTGTAGGGTACTGTCGGAACCTCATTGAGAAGTCTCTTGGTCTTGTTAGGCTTCTACGGATGGACCAACAATGGCTGCTGCGAAAAACGACGGAAATTCCATATCATATATACTAAAAATAAAATTGAGTAAACGCTCGGTGTAGTTTCAGCATTGATCATACTCATCCCTGCCCCCGGAACCCTTAAACCCCTAAGCCCCCAAGCATTAAACCCCAAACCCGACTATCCTAAACGCCCAAAGCCTAACCTAAACCTTCATCCCTCAAAGCCCGCTTGATACACTTTTGCGGACCAGCAAAGAGAAGCACGGTCCTTGAAACCCTCAAGTACTTCCGCTACAGAAAGCTTTTGGGTGTCGGCTTGAGGCTTCGGGTTTAGGCTTTGGGTTCAAGACGAGAACGGCTTGAGGTCTATGGACACTCAGACAACCCCGCAAACCCTAAACCCTAATCCCTCACCTCGAAATGCTAAACTTCTAAACCCTGAACCCCGTAACCCTAATCCCTCAACCCAAAACCGTAGAGCCGGCTTCTGGGAGTCGCACTTGACGTGCGCATCCCTGGCATTTGGGCTTCGGCAAGGAAGCTCCAGCTCAGGCTGGGGTATGTAGGTTTTTTTTTAGTTTGTAGGGTTTTTTTTAAAGTGCAATGACACTCCTTTTCTGAAGTTTGTAGGGTTTAGGGTTTGCAGGGTTTGTAGGGTTTGTCGGGTTTGTAGGATTTAGGGTCTAGGGTTTGTAGATTTGTGGAGGGTTTAGGGCCTAAGGGCTTAAGGGTTTAGGGTTTGTAGGATTCGTGCTTGTGGATTAGTTGGACATAGGGGTTCAGCCCCCACGCCCCAAACCCTAGCTAGGATACCCAGTAACCTAAGAATAAAAAGGCCTCTCTTTTTGGTATTGGGTAACTTTATAAGGAACCTAGGACTACAAAAAGGGAATAAGGGTACTACTGGGCATCCTAGCTAAACAAGCAGGGTTTGGTTGTGATTGCAGGGTTGAAGATCAAGGCTGATCTCTCTGGGGATTCTTTCTTGTGGGGATTCTACGAATCTACTGCTACTGCTGATGGACAAAATCCTGCATGACCCTAAGGACTCTGAACTATGGGAACTATGGTATATTCCTTATAATGGGTAATGCAGGATTGTCCATCAACAGTAGTATCCCCGAGAGAGTATCCCAGATCTGCTCTCACCAGTGTTCCGAAGGAGCCCTGTATGCGCTCACCGATATGCCCTGTCGAGCATGGAAAGGTGTCTAAACAAGGTCCTCATAGGCGATGTCAAGACTTTTGAAACCTTGATTTCTAGGTATCCTTAGGCTATGTTTCAGGTTCCGAAATGTCGGAATCAGGTATTGTGCGCTTAACAATCCCTGCTTTAGAAGACTCTATAGGGTTCTACAAGGGCTTAAGGGTTTAGGGGCCAAAGCATTAGATGAGCTTTCGGGGTGCATTATGGCATGATCACAAGGACCATCACGGGGTACGACTACACATTGTCCAGGCCGCTGTCGAAGCTCAGGACCCTCACAAGAGCATGATCATAATGACGGAGTCCAGCAACCCCTAACTTCAGACCAGGGTTCGGTGATACCTGTCGCCGAAACAAAAAAACCTACCTTTCCAGGGTTCCTTACTGGTGTTTCTAGATATAGTTCCTTAACAACATAGTCTTTTCGGCCACAGGTAGGGAAGAGGGATTAGGGTTTGGGGGAAATTCCGGCCTCAGATCCCTGTGCGTCTTCTCGAGCTGTTCCAAGGCGCGTGCCTTTCTCGAGCTGTTTTTTTGTGGTGAGGTGGTTTAGGGTTTGGACAGTGACCGCACGCATGGGAATACCCATACAGTTCTTTTGAAGGACGAGAAGCTGACATTAAGCGGAAACGCATGTTTTCATGTCCATGGCGGCACCTGTGAAATTCATGTCCGGCATAGCGGTAGATCTCATCCATGTAGCGATGAAGGGCCTCTTTGTTCTTGTTGGACAAGTCAGATTACGCGATGACTTCAACGCAGAAGTTAAACTTCTGAAAACGTCGAACTTTCAGCGCGTTGGAGATCAGCAAAATGCACGCTCGGCCTTGTTGAGCGGACTCATGGTCTTTGGATACTTGGCTCGCATCCAGGAGTGAACATGATCGAAGCTGTCTTCGAGGTTTCCGACGTACTCGCTGTCCTGTACAGCTGATTTGAGGTAAAAAAACTACGTATGGCCGTCAGTGTATTGAAACCAATGTTGTAGCTGTAGATTGCATCCAATAAGTCCCGCTGACTGAGGCGCTCTCGGTGATAGGCCTTCACCATAGCTTTGATGTCAATCGACTGTGTCGTCGAGTGCAGTCGATACAACTGATGTTGTATCATGCGGGTTAGGATTCCCCTGGCGCGTGAGGAGGAATAGTCTTAGCAGTCGATGAGAAAACAAGATTCGACCTAATCGAAGTCGAATGGTTGACGCTGGGGCGGTAAATGGTGTTTAGGGTTTAGGGTGTAGGTTTTGGGTTCGATCCCTCTGCAATTCGAGAGAACTCCTTGAGTGCTGCAACCCTAACCCCAGAACCCTAAACCTCAAGCCTGAAACCCTAAACCCTAAACTCCAAACCCTAAACCCTAAACCCTAGACCCTAAATCCGAAGCCCTATAGGGCCCAAACCCCAAACCCGAAAATGCTCGAACATCGGGAGGTCAGGAGGTGAACCTGACGATCGTGCCCTAACCTATGGGCCGTAAATGATCAGACAACGGTTCGGGGCATGGAGTTATAATGGGATCATAGTATCGGTTTAGGGTTTAGGGTTTATAGGGTTTAGGAACAGTATATATCGGTTTAGGGCTTAGGGTGTTTAGGGTCTAGGGTTTAGGAACCCTAAACCCTAAAGCATAGTATCGGTTGTTCAGGATCCTACATTGGCTTCAACTGCATCTTTGAAGGCATGGTACGGCATTTGAAGGTTTGGGGCTTTAAGCCTGGCTGCAATATGCACATGCATGCATGTTCATACGTACTATATACGAACATACATAGGTACGTCCATACATGCATCCACACATACACAAGATACAGACCTGTCATACATACATACATACATACATACATACATACATACTTGTGTGTGCGCGCTGGCGAAATTAATTACGTACCGAGCCATGTCGTTATTTATGTACTGACCGGCTCATTTCTTCGAGTCTGCGTCCTTGCAATTCAACGAATCTCTCTTCCGCATGTGTAGGGTGCGGGGTTTGCGGATTTGGGCAATATAGGGGCCTTCATAATTAGAATAGCGTTTTGGGGCCCAATTTACTGTAGTTATAATACGGAACCCCCACAATAGTATTGGTAATTATTTAGGACCCTACAGTATACGCTGGTAAAGGGAACTCCAGAAAGTTGGAATATGGATTAATGGTAGGATCCCCTATAACTTACCTTAAAGGGGTTACGATAATGATATTCCAACTTTCTGGCTTCTACTGTGTGGCGTGGCCAAGGGACAGTGGCCAGGAGGCGCTCTTCCAGAGGAGTCGGATCTGTGCTGTCCTGGGATGGAGTGCGCAAAGCTCTGGATTTCCGTCTTTAGGGGTTTGAGGTTTAGGGGTTCAGGGGTTTAAGGGTTTAGGGGTTTAGGGTTTAGGGTCTAGGGTTTAGGGTTAGGGTTTGGGGAGTTCTACCAGGGTTTTCGATGGCGTTTATAGGTTTTCGCGAGGCTTGCTTATAAGGTTTGCAAGAGTTCTGGGGTTTTAAGGCTTGAAGGATTAGGGTATAGGACATGCCCAAAACACCGTCCGAGAGACTACTACGGGGACTTGGGTTTAGAGGACTTATAAACGGAGATATTGTCAATGAGGGAATCTCGTGGTCTGTTCCTTTGTATTCCAGAGGACTATGACTGGACTTTGAAGTAACCAGGGAGAATTAAAGTCCAGACTTTATTTCATAATGGCTCCTTTACGGAACAGGTACCAAAAACACAGTATTCAAGTATGGTACTCCAAACCCAGGATGAGGTAGAAGATTCCGGCTCGGGCTTGGTGCTGCTGGGACGTAGGGCTTAGGCTTTAGGGCTTTGGGATCTGGGGTCGGTGGTCTGGCGTTTCGGCTTTGGGCTTTCAGGCCTCAACATTTGGGCGCACCGCTTAGGGCTCAGTGTTCAGGCTTAGGAAAAGGTTCTTTCTAATTTTATATGGATGCTGTAGGATGCGTGCGTCTGCGCAGATGCATCTCCACGGCTTCAAACAATGGAGCCAGGGCGCTCTTTGTGGCTTGCTGGGATGTACCAGCTCTTTCTGGGCTTAAAGTTAAATGCCTGGGGTTAGGGTTTAGGGTTAAGGTTGCGGCGGTTTGGAGTCTTTTTGGGGGCTTAGCGGTCGTAGAGTCCATTCCCAAGGGTTTCAGGGTTTAGGGTTTAGGGGTTTAGGGTTCCGCTAGATGCACACGCTGCTGCTGCGGCGCTTGTCGCATGCAACCTCGCCAGACACTCGTCTCGAAAACATGTACACTGAAAACTCAATAGCGTAGAGACATATCTATACAGCATATAACTGGAGTTTTTGCGTGCACAGCAAAAAGGGGTCCTCGTTTATGCAATAAACATAGTGAGAGACAGAGGAAGACAACCGATAAACATCCATTGTGCATCGCAACCTTGAGCGAATATCGCATTCAAGCGTCAACGAAGTCGTGGATCGCAGCTATGGCCTGCAAAGAGCAATCGCGGCGAGTTCTTGTTCTGTTAGTCTGTTTACCACCATGCAGCTGTTCGTAATCACTGTGACACTACATGGAACATCAGATTTGCTGCTAATTGGATGAAGGCTTGCTAGCTTCCAGCAAAACCGAGATTTGGCTATATACGGCTAATGCCCTCATGCGCTGGATGAAGCCGTCGGCAGCTGTAACAGCCAGCCAAGTGCGTGACCAAACGAGAAAGACGAAAGCACTATGCCTCGGGACTCTTATTGGCTTGCAATACAAACCCAACCACGGCTACCAGTACCAATATTACTCCTAGGGTTCCTTAAAACTAGGTATGGTATCATGGGCCCCAAAACCCTATGAAAAAAAAGGCCCATAAAAAAATAGTACCTTTATAGATCCCTTATAATAGCCCTTCTGTAGACCCCTTTAAAGGGAACGTTATTCTTACTTTATATGGACCCCTTATATATCGACCCCCTCCAAAAGATCCCTTTGAAGGAACCCGATGCTCCCAAGGCCCTCCTACCTGCCTTGCCGTCTCGTGACGACGAAACCCAGCCACAAACCCCCAAAGGCCGAATTGAAAACGGACCCTTCCACGGTTTAGTGCTTCGGGTTTTGGTTAAGGATTTAGGGTTTTTCCAAGTACTCAAATAGTAAGGTTGTAGGTCCCAAAATCCATGCTCTGATTGGTTTTGGGACCTTGAATCCCTACTATTTGGGTACTTGGACCCTTAGGGGAACCCTCATGGAACCCTTACATGCAATCCCAAAACCTGATACAATAAGTCTTGAAGGCTCAACTACGATCTATACCTAAACCCCTAAACCATAGACCCTCAACCCTAAATCCCGAAACCCTATACCCTGAAAGGAAGGCATCATGTGATGGCTTCAGCAACAGGGTGGTGCAGGAGTTTTAATAATTGGAACCGGGTTTCTTGAAGGGTTTAGGGGTGTAGGGTCGTATCAAACATCTGTATTAATCATTACTCGTCTGAACCTGCTCTGCACTCCAAAGTTTGGGCTACCGCTGTTGTAAACTTTAAGGAGTTGGTCCAGCAGGGGGTATCGGGTAATGTAGCGGCGTTCATGACAAGAATAGGGTTTTGGGGCCAGCTATTACACTACCACTATCATAAGGACCCCCCCCCCCCACCCCCCCAAAAAAAACTGGCACTTATGAGCAGCTCCTCGCGCTCACCGTTCTCCTTGACGTTGGACTTGCGGATGCGCTCCATCAAGGGGTCCAGCACCACCTCTCAAAGGATCAGGGGATAAGCAGAGTGAGGGTTTCATTTCAGGTTCCTCTTAGTAGTTTTCGTGATCCTTGCAGGATCAGGGGAGGTGGCTAGTAGGGACATCATCTATATAGACAGCAACGTAACTTAAGCATGTCTGCTTCTACCCCCGCTGAATGAAGATGCTTATAACGTTAATGTTAGTAAGGTAGCTTGGGTGATACCTACTTCGTGATACCTATACTTCCACCCCGACTCAGGATGCGTATGACCTTACCTGCCCGCCTCTGGACCTTAGAAGCGGCGCCATCAGCGTGCCAAAACCTCAGATCAAAGGGCCTGGAACAAGAACAACAAGAGGCAAAGGAATGTGAAAGCTACCTGTTGCCATCACTAAAGAAAATTATTTTTCAACGCGTTGGTGTCTCGTTTCGTGCATGTAGCGTACTCACCTTGCAACCGGCAACCCCTAAACCCTAAACCCTAACCCACTTCAAGTGGGCTTGGATCTGCTTACATGATCTCGGCACTGAGCAAGTAATAAAGGAGCCTTAATAATTAGAATAGGGTTTTGGGGCCCCCATAGTACATGATCTAGGGCACTTAGCACGTAGGGCTAGAAGTACCTTACATGGGGTGTAACTATGATTACCTTACTTCTAACGCTAATCACTAAATCCACTGATCCTTTGGAGTACCCAAACACCGACCAACACTGGACCATCACCCTGGATTCATTAACCCATATATAAACCTATACTTGTTCAGGCACCGAAATACACTGTATTGTACAGAGTGAACCTTTCTGGAGCCCTTGTGGAGACCATTCGGGAACCCTTAGAGGAACCCTACTTTGCCAAGCACCCTTTTCCTGATTACGGGGTCTATCTCGCTTCACACTAAACCTTGGTAAGGAATTTATACATCCCTGTAGAACCCTTGTGACCCCCTTTGTATGGAAATTCAGGGAACCTATAACCCTGTAGAACCCTTAGGAATCCGATCCGGGGATCCTTATGGGGTTCAAAGGACCCCTGCAAAGAACCTATGCAGATCGGCCCTCTGGGTGAGTTCGCCCGCCTCGAACAGAAAATTGTGCGGCAGCTGCTGCGCTTCGGGGAGCCTACCGGGCATGGGAGTGCCTGGGGCTTGGGGCTTCGGGCTTTCCGGTTTAGTTGGGGCTTTAATTGAGGCTGTTGGTGGTTCAGGTTTAGGATTGCTTCTTGCTTGACACCTTTTTCGGACTGCATGCGCTGACGAAAAGGCAGACGGTTTAGGGTTTAGAGTTTCAGGGGTTAGGAGTTTAGATGGCTTAAGGCTTACGGTTTAGCGTTGTGGCAGCAGAAGTAGGAAAGAAGCTCAACAAGCTGCGCACAAGGGGCAGAGGTAGTCGCCGAAGGGTCAAAAAATGCTCGGCGCAAAAACTGCTACAGCAAACTCCAGACCCCAAATTCTGAAATCAAGTCCTTCGTCAGTAACAGTGCAGGGACCTTAGTTACGCCGTTTGGAGCCCAAGGTTCTATCGGTAATCATTTCGGCCCCTATATTTGACCACTTAACCGGCAAACCCTAAGCCCTAAACCCTAAACCCATATTCTTGAATTTGACGCGCGTCTTTTGACTCAAGCCAATCCCGAAGAAGAAGAAGAAGACCTAAACCCCTAAACCCCCATATTGGTTTTTTCACCAGAGTTCAGTCCCGGAATAATACTGCGGCAAACCCGAAGCCATCAGCCTGAACCCTGAAGCCCTCAGCCCGAACCCTGCACCGCTAAACCGGTTTACGGTTTAGAGGTTTAGGGTTTAAAGGTTTAGGGGTTTAGGGGTTTAGGGTTTAAAGGTTTAGGGTTCAGGGGTTTAGGGTTTAAAGGTTCAGGCTTTAGGGGTTTAGGGTTTATAGGGTCTAAACCTTTAGGCCCTATCCCGTGCACACTCCTCAAGCCCTACTACTCCGGCCCAGACAATAAGAGCGCCAGAACATGTACACCCTAACAGAAATCCGTATAGTTGAAACCCTCAACCATAAACCCCTAGACTCTATCCCCTAAACCGTAAACCACTGAGCCCTAAACCCCTAGACCCTAACCCCTCCCCCCCCCCCACACCCCAAAGAGCCTCCAGCCCTCTTTCTGCATCAGCACGAGGAGGGCCCGGTGAAAGCCGGGCACCTCCTTGAAGTCTTGCCTTTGCTAGGATACCCAGTAACCTAAGAAAAAAAAAAGGCCTCTCTTTTTGGTATTGGGTAACTTTATAAGGAACCTAGGACTCCAAAAAGGGAATAAGGGTACTACTGGGCATCCTAGTTTGCAACTTTAGCATTTGATGCGGGCTTTGGGTTTAGGATGCGTGCCTCTTGGTATTGCTGCTTGAACCAGCCTTCAGTACTATGAACTCGTGCCTGCGGCTTTGTTGTTTTTGAGCTGTTTTCCGTATTATGTTAAAACTTTTGCTTCTGCCTCGTTCTCGCATGTTCAGTTTTTGGCTTTTCTATTTAAGCTTCTTTCTTGAAAATTAAAGAATGCAAGAGGTGCTGGGTGCACTGGTGTAGGCTGTAAGGAATGAGGGTCTTATTAGGTTGTAGCGGGTTACTTCTAGGGTCCATTGATGTGATATGAGGGGTGCTAAAGTAGGGGTTCCTATGTATATCTAAAAACAGCTCCCATTAAGGAGGTCCTTACGACATTACTCCAAGTACTTCTAGGGCCTTGACGGAGCCCTCACAAAAGTTCCAAGGGATCCGGGACCTTAGCAAGCACAGTTATAAGCACCTTAATCAAGAGTGCAACTAGATATGACTGTAGTCACCGACGAAAGGCCCTACTTGCTAGGTCCGCCCTACACCCTAAACCCTAAACCCGACTCACAGCCGAGGCACTCCTTCAAGAGGGACGACAAATAAGCTTCGGCCTTTGGCCAGTCCTGGCACCATTGCATAGGAGTCAAAGCGTAGGGTGTAGGATTTAGCGGATTGGGGGGTTTAGGGCTCACTGGTAGGCTGTAGGGTCGACTAGAGCCTCTGTAAAGAGAAGGGTTTAGGCTTAGGGTTGAGGATTGAGGGTTTAAAGCTTAGTGCGCAAGGTCTACAGTTGAGCATTGGGGGTTTAGGTAGGGTCTAGGGCTTGGGATTGAGGGTTTAGCATCTTTGCGCGCCGACAAAGCGAACCTGGACCACATAAAGCCTGGCTGTTTGGGGTTCCCTAATATCGAGTGCGTTATGTAAGATCCTTGAAAAGGTAGGCTTCTGGGGGTTAAGCAAGGGTTTAGAGTTTAGGGTGTAGGTTTTTCAATTTAAAGGTTGACAGTTGAGGGTTTGCGGTTCAGGGTTTAGGGTCTGGGACTTAGGGTTTGGGGTTCTTCAACCCCAGCCTAACACCTCTCGTTTCAAAACAAACTGTCGGTTAAAGTCAAGGGGCAGACTGCTCACAAAGCATTTCTCCCCAAGGGTCCAAGGACCTAATAATCATATACTCTCCGAAATAGGAACCTACGTAACTATTATCCTAAACCCAAGCACCTCATTATTGGGTCCTTTGGACCCTTGGGGTCAGGTGTTGGGGATGCCTGCAAAAAGAACGCAAGAGCCAGACTCTGCTATCAGTCTTGCACGAGGCAGCCCCGCAGGGGGTTGCCGAATCTGAGCCCAGTAACACACTGTATGAGTCCTATACTGGGGCATGGCACAAGCTAGCATGCAACACATCCCCACGACCCAGAAACACCAGAAAAAAACCGTCTGCTGATCAGTGCGCCTATCGCGGACATTGCAAGCTCAAACCTCTAAAGCCCCCAAGACCCTAAGCCCGAATCTCTAAATCCCTAATCCCTAAATCCCTAAAGCCTAAATCCCTAAACCCTAAACTGAACCCCTAACCCCTAAACCCTAAACCCCTGGACCCTAAACCATAAACCTTCTAGGGGGGCATCCCGGGTCCTGCGCCTTGAAGTTGACCTGCCGCACAAAGCAAAACCGACTTCGGCTCGGGTTGGGGGTTTTTGGGTTTAGAGTTTAGGATTTAGAGTTTTAGGGTTTAGGGTTCAGGGTTTTAGAATTCTAGGGTTTGGATTTTTAGGGTTTAGAGCTTTAGGGTTTTAGGATTTAGGGTGCTATAAAGGGTTCTCTTTGGTTGTCTAAAAGTACAAAAAAATAAGGGCTTTGGTTGAGGGCTGGGGGATTTGGAGGGTGAAGGGTCTAGGGTTGACAGTGGGATTCAGGATTCAGGGTTTGGGCTTTACAGTGGGATTCAGGCTTGAGGGCTTATAGTAGGGTTCAGGATTTAGGCTTTAGGGTTTGCGGATCAGTCACTGTCGTGTGCCTGGCAAAGGAGTTAATATCAGGCTCGTGCGGCGGGCCCCTGAACCCTAAACCCTAAACCGCACCCACGTCTTGCGCAGAACACGAATGTGGGCGGAAGCCGGCCGTGCTCGGCCAACCCAAACACAAGACTGCAACCTGCAATCTTGATTCATGCGACCCACAGTTAGGTGGCTACTAGAAGGTATCACTACAGGTGCTTTAGTATAGAGTTCCCGAGCTTCGTCTTCCCTAAACCTGAAACCCTAAACTCCACGTCCTAAATCCCAAAAATCTTGACCCAAAACCCTAGATACTAAACCCTAAATCCCCAAACCCCTAAACCCCAGAGCGCCTGCGTCAGCAGCGAAATCAGCACACGCATGCCATCTGCGTCATGGAAGCCGTTTTTCGCCTTGTGGGCTGCAGCCTACTGGGATCTTCAACACAGGGTTTGGGGTTCAGGGATTAGGGTTCTATTTTAGGTGCAGTGACTCTTTATCCGGGATTAGGGTTCAGGGTTTAGGGTTTAGGTTTTAGGGATTAGGGTTTAGGGATCAGGGTTTAGGGATTAGTGTTTAGGGTTTAAGGAGAATGGACTAGGGTTCAGAGTTTAGGGTTTAGCTATTGGGCAAACACATAGCGATAGCATATAGTAAATACACCCCCCGAAACCCCAGCTTGAACTGTTCTGTACACGTTTCCAAGACTCAAGGATGCTATACCTACTTCACGGCCACCGTTCAGGTCTCAACTCGAGCTGAGTGTTAAGAAGTTTACGAAGCTAGTTAGGGTTTAGGGTTTAGAGTTTAGGGTCTGCGGTTTAGGGTTTAGGGTTAAGAAATTTACGAAGCTGGTTATGCAAGCCCGCGGCACCCACCTGCCTCCGGCGTGAGGTCCTTCCAGCCTAAGGTCCATCTCTGGATGCACATTGCATGCAATAGGCTCTCCCAAAGGGTCCTATGTACTGTTGTGGGGAATACTTCCCTAAGTCATAATGATAATTCCTAATATGGAAATCCCACATTCTACATTCTACTATGTCGGTACATAGGACCCTTTGGGTCTTGAATCAACTTCATGTTCAGGTGTCGGCATGCTGCGGCCACCTCGTACATCTGTAGGAGGACCACATCTTGCGTAGCGCTCGCATCCCTAAACTCCTGAACCCACAGCCCCGCCCCAAACCTTAAGGACGAAATAAACCCTAAAAGTGTTTAAGGTTCATATACCATATAAGGTTCATAGTATATGGGTATAGGTCCCCTACTTTTAAAGGTGATTTGGTCCTTCAGGACCCCAGCATTCCTCACTTTGAAAGCCAGGAAGCGCTTGGCCACCTGCTCGACGACGTACCTCGGACTGTCGGCCCTAGAGCGTAGGGTACTTCTGCTCAGAGCCCTCGTTTGGGCTTACAGGATTGGGGACTAAGGGTATCTTGCGCTCCTTTTCGGTTCTGGCCTACTTCTCGGATTCTTTGAAAGTAGCCTTTAAAGGCTTAAGGCTTTAGGGTTTGGGATCAACTTCCGGAGTTCTGAGGTCCTTTCATGGCTCCATCATGCTCTGCTTGGTACATCCCCAAACCCGAAAGTTCAAAACCATCGCGTGGTCCACAAGGGCCCCCCCCAGAAGAAAATCCTGGCCAAGGGTTCTCCTTGTTAAGTAGGGTTGTCGGATTCATCTCGGGGCATTTGGGAGTTTGGACTGCGCGTACGCCAAACTCTCCTGAACGTCTAAATATCCGTAGACTCCGATAAAGCCATTTCAAACCCTCATAGAACCCTTTTTCAGCCTCACACGACGTTCCCCCAGACCCTAAACCCTGAATCCTTAACCTACAGGCAGGCGTCGGGACGGCAAGCTTGGTGTTCCCGTCGCGGGCCACAACCCGCATTATCTGCACCTCAGGCTGATCTGAGGGTCTCAGAGTCAAAGTCCAGGGGTTGCATGGGGTTGCCTTGAGGCTTTAAGGCTTTAGGGTTGGTTTAAGCGTCGGGATTGTAGGGCTTCGTAGTTTAGCTTTGAGGTTAAGCTTTAAGTTTCGGCCTGTTGCTTGACAGCACCCCTCGCAAAAGGTCCTATGTACCGACACAAAAGGATGTGCGGTTTCCATATATGACATATGAGGAATTACTATTATGACTTAGGGAAGTATTCCCCGTAACAGTACATAGGACCTTTGGGCTTTGTCCGCCAGCCCTAGTCTTTGAAGTGTCAGCTGCCGCCGGGAGGGACTCGACTACTTCGAGAAAAGCTCTGCCTTGTATCAAAGGGGAGAAGGAGGGACCCTTAATGGGGACCCCTACCCTATAACGGGCTATATCATGGGTATATAATAGCTATATTAAGGGTATATGTCTATAGGGGTCTTATTAAGGGTCCCTCCTTTTACCCTTGGATTGTAAGGGAAGTCTGCCGTTTCCTGGCGGAAGAAGCATTGGACCCCCAGCTCTCCGACTCCGCCCCCGACACTGACCAGACATCTTGAACCCTGAACCTCTAAACCCCAAGCCCCCAAACCCCTAAATCCCTAAATCCGTAAACCCTAAACTCCCCAAACCGAGACCCCAAACCCTTACACACAAAGTTCGTTCGGTTCGGTTTAGGGTTCAGGGTTCCCAAACCCTATAAAACCTATACAGAAAAGCCCCCAACCCCTAACTGCTACACTTTACTTAAACCCTACCTTAACCTACCAAACCCTACTTTTTTGTAGGTTCTTATTGTAAACCCTAATATGGGATTTATAGGGACCCTACAAAAAAGTAGGTTTTGGTAGGTCAAGGTAAGCCCCAAACCCTGCGCTTTAATGCGGGCGGAAGCGCGAAGAAGGAGACAGGCCGGGTCCCGGCGCCCAAGATGAAGCGAGCATCCTGTCGCCGGCCTGCTTCAAGAGAGGAGGGGTGCGTTTACTCTAAGGGTCCAAGTAGTTCCTATTTGTGGTTGTTGGTACCGAAAAGCCCTACAGACCTATAATAGGGAGTACTGGCACCCTCTGGGTTTCGGGTTTAGAGTTTAGGGTCTTAGAGTTCACGGTTTAGGGAGTATCAGGAGAGAAGCCGGCTTGTGACTTAGGTTGGGGGGTTTAGGGCTTTTGGGGGCTTAGAGAGAGATGAGGCTTTAAGGCTTAGCGTCTAGACGCTACTTCAGATTTTAGGGAATAAGGTTGCAAAGGTCTCGGGTGTACCCAGAGAGCCCAATACCCCTTAATTAAGGAATATGGCTTTAATCATAATATGAACCCCTGTATAATTTAAGCCATATTCCTTAATTAAGGGGTATTGGGCTCTCTGGGTGGGTGTCCCAGAAGGGTTTTGGGTCTTTCGGTGCTGGACTCCCGATCCCTCTAGAGTCCTTCAGCTAGCCACGGTTTAGGGGGTCGGGGCGAGGGTTTAGGGGGTTAGGGTGGATGATATAATTCATTGCATTACCTTGAGGGCCCTAAACTATGGGAATTATGGTATATTCCTTATTATGGGTACTCCAGGATTTATATCTTCAATCGTAGGGGTATCTTAGTATCTTCAAACAGCGGCACCCCAAAACAGTGAGGCTGAACGTGTCCAAGCACAGGCAGTGGTGCGGAGACTTGAAAATCCCAGGAAGTTGTGTCACTAGGATACCCAGTAACCTAATAATAAAAAGGCCTCTCTTTTTGGTATTGGGTAACTTTATAAGGAACCTAGGACTACAAAAAGGGAATAAGGGTACTACTGGGCATCCTAGTTTCACATGACTCACGATTGTTGGCTTAGAGTTATTCGGGTTTAGGGTTTACAGTAGAAGCCAGAAAGTTGGAATATCATGATCGTAAACCCCCGAAGGTAAATTATAGGGGATCCTACCATTAATCCATATTCCAACTTTCTGGAGTTCCCTTTAGAGCTATTCGGGTTTAGGGTTTAGGGATATACCTGCCGACTTGTCTCTTGTTAATCTGTTTGTTTCTCGGCGCATCTCATATATATTTGAGTAGTTGTCAAAATTATGGCCCCGCTCTGGGTCCCTAATATAGTAAGGCACCTATTATTTAAGGTACCCAAAAAGATTTTGACAACCACCCATCTGGAAGGAACCTTAATGCTGGGCTTTTGTGAGGCCTCGATCGATGGCCATGTGTACACACAGCCCACTGACCTTTCGCGCCCGGTCGTTCGTCTCGCCGATCTGCCTCTGATTGTCTGGGCTTCGCAAGGGTACACGAAACCCTAAACCCCTGAACCCTAAACCCCTAAACCCTAAACCCCTAAACCCTTGTAGGTAGTCAGTCCTCAAGTGGTTGCTTCGGGACAGTCCGCAATGGATGCATGCATAAACCCTAAACCCTAAACCCCTAAACCCTAGCACTGGCTCTGTTTTCCACAATGTGCGGGTTCAGAGGCGCTTTGGTATTGCGGTCGGAGGTTCGCGATATCTGCAAGACTGAGATTTTTGCGGCGTAGTTGAGGCTTGAGCGGTTTGTAGGGTGTGGTCTGCTTTAGGACTTAATAATAATCATCATGATGCCAAGAATACGCGAAATGTCCACATGACTCGCCTTTCGCCGTTGAAGGAGGGCCCAACATCCCTTCGCTTAGGATGCTTCCGATTTTAGGCAGACCGCTCACATGACGTAAAGGGCTTTCTCGAAGAATACAGGGTGCTCTCCGGTTTCCCTCCCGCTCAACTTTGCTGAGTTTGGAGATGTCGAGGGGGCCAGTCCTACCCTGAACCCCTCGACCCCAAATCCCAAAACCCTGAGACTCAAACCCCCTAGACCCCACCCCCCTACACCCCTAAACCCTAACCCCTACACCCCTAAACCCCTAAACCCCTAAACCCTAAACCCCCAACCCCCTAAACCCCTACACCCCTAAACCCCTAAACCCTACACCCCTAAACCCCTAAACCCCGAACCCCCTAACCCTAAACCCCGAACCCCCTAAACCCCGAACCCCCTAAACCCCAACTCCCCTAAACCCGAAGATCTCTCCCGACAGGGACCCAATCCGGGCAGGAGCACAGGGCCCAAAGCTTCTGAATCCTCCTGAACCACAACCCGGCGTAGGGTTTAGGGGTTAGGAGTTAGGGGTTAGGAGTTCAGAGTTTAGTTCAGGGTTTAGGGGTTCAGTGTTTAGGGTTTAGGGTTGAGGGTTTAGGGTTGTGGGTTTACTTGGAGGATCATGGGACTTAGTAAGTAAGGTTATAAGTACCCTAATTGGGGTTATAAGTATAGTTACCCTAATTATAACCCTCGTTACTAAGTCCCATGATCCTTTAAGTAGGGTTTAGGGGCTTGGGGGTTTAGGGGTTTAGGCTGTAGGGGTTTACGGTTTTACGGGTTTAGGGATTAGGGGTTTAGAGTTTGGGGTTTTACGAGGCTGTGTCGAGTGCATCGTATTATAGCGACCCTAAACTCATCTACATACCCAAATTGATGATAGAACCCCTACTGACCCAGAGGGTCCAAGTACCCAAGTTTTAGATACTAAAGACGATTCATATCTGGGACCTCACACCCTTACTATTTGGGTACTCGGACCCTCAGGGCAAAAACTCTTATAATATAAGCACTTCGGAGCTTTCTTGACACGAAACAGGACCTTACGCCCCGAAACCCAGCCCAACACGAGCCCCGGTAGGGAGAGCCCTTAGAGACATCCCCTGGAAACTGAACCGGTCGGCCGTTCTAAAACTTTAACCCTCAAAAAGCCTCAAAAAAAACTACCCTACATCCTAAACCCGAAACCCCCAAACTCCTCAAGACACTACCCTAAACCCTAAACCCTGAATCCCTAAAATCCTCAGGCCGGGATGCTCGAGGGTGGCCAGAAAATCCTCCAAGGTCCCGGACAAGCCCGTCAGCTTCTGCCAAGAAGTCGGGCTTCGTTGGGTTTAGGGTTTGGGTCCTTTCAAATTAGTGGTATGGAGTTGCGGCTTCGGGATTACGGTTCATCATAAGGCTTTGAGGCTTTGGGGGTTCAGAGGTGTAGGGGTGCGGTGTAAGGCTTTTAGCGCACTTTAGGTGCTTATGGTTTAGGGCTGTCGGGCTCTGGTCTGCGAGGGTATCAAGCTTCTACACCGAAATTTATAACGGTCTATCGGCTCCATGGGGTGCTTTAAGTGCTTATATAACACCTTGACACATAATGAAAATATAGGGGATTGGGTACCTGAAGTTATGGCTTGAGGCTTTAGGGGTTTAGGGCTTAGGCCAGGGCGTTAGGATGCTAGAATGCACGGCGGTTGTATTGAGCCTGAAGGATTCGTGATGTCTTGATCGGGTTTCTTCCTGGAGTATCATGAGCTGCCTTTTGGCAGGCAGCAGCATCGTGTTCTTCTCTCCCGTGCGCAACATGCGAACTAAGGCATGACGGGCACAGGGTGATGTAGGGGCCTTAATGATTAGAATAGGGCTTTGGGGCCCATTATACCATAATCAAAAATCAGGAACCCCCTAAAGCAGTATAGAAAATCATTAACGCCCCTACAGCAAGACTTCTTTCGTTTTGCGAAATGTGCCGAGCCTTGTCCAAGAGCCTTTCTCGCTGTAGATCCATTATAAACCCCTTTCAGGGACCCTAATAGTATAGGGAATTATTAAGGCCCTCCAGCAAGGCTTTTTTCGTTTTGCGGGGTGCCGAGCCTTGTCCAAGAGCCTTTCTCGTTGCCGCTCCTCCAGCTGCAGCTTCGGGCGGACGGCTTCCACTCCAAAGATGGCGAGGGTCTCGGCACTCTGACGTGGAGTTAAACGGGACCTTATTATAGTACCCCTGAAGAGCCCCTTACCTTATAGATCCCTTATAGTTGATCCCTTATAGTAGCCCCTTTTAGACCCCTCTAAAGGAACCCTATTCAGCTGCTGCCCTGTGATGGGAGGTCAAAAGAGGGGTTTAAGATTCTTGGGGTACGGATTCCCTGAAATGAACCCGATTCTGGACCCTAATCCCTACTTAACCCGCATAGGCTAAAACCCCTTTGGGCCTCCTATGACTCTGACGTGGAGTTGCTGCATGTTCCGGGGTTACCCAAAGGGTCCAAGTACCATTATAGTATGTACTTAGTAGGTATTTGGGCCCCAAGAGTATATACTCTACTATTACTTGTTCAGGAGTTTACTTGTTGGTATTCATAATAAAATTAGGATGGTTGCTGTTTTGGAGGCAGCCACCGGGGAGCTGTATCGCTTCATGCGGTGGCGAACCGAACTGCATGCTACCCCAGGCAGGACCTTCCTGCCTCCCGTGTAAGGAAGTTACCGTTTAGGGTCAGCACAAAGAGCAACGAATTTCCTGTCGGCTTTCACAACTTGACGTAATGAATCTGCCTTTTATTTTTTTGCCGTGGGTACTGCCTCCATACAGTAACCGTCCACAAGAAGTTCAACTGTTACTGCGTGGACTAGGATCTTTCAAAACCCATGGCTGGCCAGCCGGTGTACTTCATCCTCGGCCTCAAGACAACCTCTGTCTGGCCCTCCAAAACAGCCCAGGACTGGTGAGAACAAAGGCCCAACATGATGGACTTGTAACATCCCATAATTAAGGAACATATGACTCAAACAATAGCCTCTGCAAACGTATGTCACAGAGGAGTGAACCTAGCATTGTAACAGCGCAAAGTCATCAGAGGAAGCATACGATCTTCAACAAAGCCATGAAGCGAGGATCATGGCGATACTGGGCTATACTCACCTTTTGAAATGAATACTGAAATGATAATCGTTACAGGAACTGTAGAAAAGCTAAATAACAAGAAGATTCATCATACTCACCGCACAAGGGTTGATAAGACACACTGTGACCCTGGCCACGAACCACAGGAACAGCTACAACAGTAGTCTACAATAGTCATGCCCAACACCTGCATAACACAACCATCACAATCCTAAGCCTAAAGTCCAAAACACAGGGTATGCTGCAGAAACGTCCCACCAAACGAGGGTTTTAAAGTGAGTGCAACGGGGTTACGGGCTTGAGCTCAGGCTTTGGGGGTAGTGCTTCGGATCTCTTGCAAGATGGCCAACTGAAATTCATATGCCTGCAAGCCTGCAAGCACACTGAGGTCTTATGGCGTCGTCACGCTTCCGTCTTGTACTGGCTGCAGCAGGGCTCTACGAATCAGGCCAAAGCAAAAGAGCAAAGTTGGCCTGAAAGCTCTGATACGTACAGCTCTGGAACAAATACCTCCACACAAAAAACCCACTGAACCCAAAGGAAGGAAATCGGAAAATGTCTTTTACAAGCAAGCAAACCAACAAACCATGCGCCAGATGTCCTTATCAGAAGACTAGAAACCTATAAGTTGAGGACCGAGAAGCCAAGCAGAGCTGCAGATAACGCAGACCTGAATCGTGGCACGAATGGCTCAGGTCAGGGATAGACTTTACAAATTCTCTTGGAAGGGGATTCCGCAATGCCGATGTTGCTGCTATGGTGTTCTACCAGGTGACCAAATCAGGGTTTAGGGATAATTACCGATACTATTTCGGGGGTTCCTCATTACATTTATAGTATGGGCCCCAAAACCCTATTCGAACTGTTAAGCCCCTAGGATGCACCCAGAGGCCCCAAAGTAGTTCATTTTTGGGGTTCATATGTAGAATCCTATAAGTTAATCCCAAAAAAAAACTACTATGGGGCCTCTGGAGGATCATTGTGTTCTACCGGGAATGGCTCAGACCCACACCCGACGCTCTCGTCTTCTAAAGGACAGGACCCGAATCTCCAAACTCTAATGTCCAGAAGCCCCAAACCCCAAAGCCCTTAAACCCTAACCCTCAACCCTAAACCCTAAACCCCTAAACCCTAAACCCCTAAACCCCTAAACCCCTAAACCCCTAAACCCCTAAACCCTAAACCCTAAACCCCTAAACCCCTAAACCCCTAAACCCTAAACCCTAAACCCCTAAACCCCTAAACCCGAACCCGAAACCCAAAACTCAAAACAAACCGAAACCCCAGCAGGCGAACCATCCGAGCTGGATATGCGGAATCCACCCTTGCCACCTGACCTTAGTTGCTGAGTTCATAAGCCCCCAAAAGTGTACACTTTCAGTTTTATTATAGTGGGTCATACTATCCCAAAAAGTGTAAAGTGTATCCACTCAGCTACTGAGTGACAAAATGCACCCTCGA